TCTATATAGCAATCTGGGTGAATTGGCTTGTAGAAGACGTATGTTTTGCCAACCGTCTCTGTCCACAGCCCGGAATTTAAGTCTAATCGAGTTGAGTATGAATGATAAGATATTCAAAATCATATTTGCAATTCTAGTTTTGTCCTTGTTGCACGGCCATATCATAGACCAATCATGCCCGATAAGATGCAAAAATAGGAAAGAACGCCAAGAAAAGACAGACAAACACCTGGATACAAAATGACACACACGCTAAAAGGTCGACGATGTTATGGCAAGAGCATTTACTTGCGCTGACCATAGGCCTTGGTGGCATATTCACCCTTGTGGACGATCAGGTCCTGGGGACGGTAGTCCTCACGGCCAGAGAAATAGCTGTCCAGAATGTTCTTGGTACCCTCGGCATAGCGGATCTGAGCATCGATCGAAGTACCAGACATGTGAGGGACCATGGCGTTACCGCCGCCCCATGGGTGCTCGGCGTAGCGGAGAGGGTGATCCTTGGGAGCGGGCTGGGGGAACCAGACATCACCACCGTATCCGCGAAGGTGGCCAGACTTGAGGGCCTCAGCGACATCCTCCTTGACAACAATAGCACCACGAGCGGTGTTCACGAGCCATGAGCCTGAGTCAAGTCGTTAGTAAAAAGAGGCAGAATATTGCAGAGAGAAAAAATACTCACCAGGCTTCATCTTAGCGATGAGCTCCTTGTTGAAGAGACCCTGGGTGCTTTCGTGGAGGGGACAGTTAATGGTAACAATGTCACACTGGGACACCATGTCGGCAAGGTCCTCGACACGGCGGCAGCCGATCTCCTTCTCGACCTCAGGGCTCAGTGCCTGGTAGTCGTAGTAGAGAAGCTCCTTGCAGTCGAAGGGCTTCAAGCGGCGAAGAACACGCTCGCCAATACGGCCAACACCGACAGTTCCCACCACTTTGTTCTCAAGGTCGAATTCGTTCTTCGCGACAGCAGCAACATCCCACTCGCCATTGCGGATCTGGTCATGGGCGGGGACGAAGTTGCGAACCAGGGTCAGAATCGTCATCATAACATGCTCGGCCACGGAAACCACGTTGGAGCCGGTCACCTCAGCCACGGTGATACCACCGTTGGTCTTGTTGGCAGCATTGAGGTCGACGTGGTCGGAGCCAATACCGGCGGTGACGGCAAGCTTCAACTTCTTGGCCTTGGCGAGGCGCTCCGCAGTGAGATATCCGGGGTGGAAGCTGTGGTGGGTCAGTTAGCGCGATCCCGGTCGGACCGGGGAAAGTGACGTACGGAGTCGTAATGATAACTTCGGCATCGACAAGCTCCTTCTCGAACTTGGAGTTGGGGCCTTCCTTATCAGAGGTCGTCACCAGCGTGTGGCCCTGGTCTTCGAGCCACTTCCGGATGCCGAGCTCATTCTCAACGGTACCGAGAAGACGAGGTTGCTGCTTAGCATGTTCCTTGCCCTAGAAGAAGAGGCAATGTCAGCGTGCTCGGAATGGAAATGATAGCAGCGCGGTACTGCCACGATCAGGAATGCCTGAGGAATATGAGACGAACCTCGTAGAGGACCATAAGAACTTTGCTCTGAGCACTAGATGAGCTTGAGAAAGTCCGGGCAGCCCGGCTGACAGGGCTAGCCTTCAGAGCCGGGTTGGAGATCAAACGAGACACAGAGCGAGCAAAAGGCATTGTGAGTGAAGAGGTGCTTTTGAATTGTGATGATTGACAAAGGACTAATTGAATGTCTGGTTCATACAAAAAAGTCCCTGAGATCCGTGAGGACTTGTGTAATATTTAAAGGGAACGCCACGAGGGGAAGGGAGGGGAGGGGGTTTGGATAGACGGACATATCTCGGATATCATGAGATCAGACCGCATCCACGCCGGCTGGTCTAGACAGCAAGCAACGTTTGGAGGAGTAATAAACTTCTTTGCGGAGGTTGGTTCACGGCAGCTTCCCCTCATGAGGGGAACCGTTTTTCCATTCTCTGTGAAGGTGTCTCCGCATCTGCATCGGTCTCCACATCCCCCTTGAGAAGCGATGTTTCGTCGGATCCTAATATGGAATTGCACCCTTAGGCAAGTAATTTTTCCCGTAGTAAAACAACTCCTGTTTGAACGCTCCAAAGCGTCCTATAATTGATCTGAACACCTCTCGTTGCGTCGTTTACGGCACTTTGACGTTATGGATCCAGGAAATCGCCAAGAGGATCCACGTTCCGTCCCATCACGCCCCGAGTTGGGAAATACTAACCAGCCAATGGCCACCTAAAACCTCCAATTGGCCTCCAGAGGAAGCTTCATAGTTAACGGGCGCATCGAACGTTTCTTCCTGGATCTCACCCAACAGTACTCCTGCTGCATTGCCGCTAGATCATGACATGGGCGACTCTGTATTTTTTTTTTCTACCAAATAACGCCCGCCCTACGCCGCCATAAACCTACACAGATTCACCCATAAGGAAAGGAAGACCTGCCATAGTTTCACAATAAATATCTAAATATAGAGCGAGAGAAATCACGCACATATACACCTCGACTTCTGATGTACAATTCTCAAGTCTCAACTCGAACTACTCTCCGTCTGCGCTCCAACTATGCCCTGCAAACAAACGTGCCGTGGAAAGCCGTGTCTGCCTTTGGAATTGTCGCTTACTACTACATCGTTTACGCCTGATACTGTTGGACAAATGCCTTAGTCGCCGAGAGTTATCCGAGTTATCGCCTGGAAAATAACTGAATTGGGGTCCGACAGAAGCAACTACTTCGCCCCGTACAAAATTACCTTGGGGTTGCAGGAATGCTCGGCGACGACATGATTTCTTGACGAGATTACCATCAGAAATAGCCTGAATCAACCATGTCGACACAATTCCCATAGGATAGGTAACATGAACCGGCCCGATCAACGACCCACAGTGACCTGATCGCCCAGCGCCAGACATTCGACGAGAGTGGAACTCTTCCTTCCCCCCAGCGGCACCTTTTTTTTGCCTTCTGTTCCCGGGAAAAACTTCCCGGATTCTTGTGCACGCGGGGAAATCCACGATCGCATCCCCAATTTTTACTCCAACACCACACGGAGATACGGCACCTTCTGCAGAATGCGGGACGACAAAACCGTTCTCCACGTCGTCGACGACCAAAGGCGAACAATTTCCACAAGGTGTCATCTTCGGTAACATGGACATGCTCCGCTGCTGCCAATTGTCGAGGGTTCATCGACTGCGACCGCGTCAATTAAATCTGTCAGTGTTCGTGGTATTATTCTCGGCATTGAGTATTGTCGCGCATTCGTAAAGATTTCGTGGGTGATTGTTCAAGGTCGCTACATTTTGGGTGAAGTTGGGAGTCGTCGGAAAATGTTAAGTTCCCCATTTTTCCGACGACATTTTACCTGCGCCAGACACATTTCGACGCGCCGAATGGCCTAACATATTGCCATGGACAAGGAATAGTCATCACCGGTTGAGCTTATGAGTTGAAAAGAATTGTCCAACCCAAGTGGTCCGAAACCCGATCGCGACCGGGAGGTATGCATCGCGTGAATCTGCATTGTCTGACCAGCCGTACCAATGCGATGGCAAAGATGCTTGCCTTTCTAACGCAGGCCCTACTTGTCGCTGAAGAGCATGCTCGAGGCAGTGTCGTGTGGAATCATGTTCAACCAGGGCTGAACAAAGACACGTGAGTAGCGCGATAGATATCAGCTGACGCGACCAGCTTCTTCCGTGATCTGGAGGGCTATACATAGCCCTCTGGTACCTCTAGCCCTGCGATCGTCTATTGTGCCAAAAGTCCACGAGCCAGACTTCTTCTTTTGCCCGAACCCACGGCCTTGAGCGGTAGCGAGGATTTGCCTCCACAAATTCTGGCGTTAATGTGGTCTTTCGTAGCTCAGTCTCCTGAGCCCGAAAGACGTTCATATATGCAGCTGGGTCGGGGAGGGAGATATAAGTTGGTGCGACCCATATCACCCTCCCAAAGCGCTAATGGGTATTGTCAATCTGCTTGGAGTATGTACCACTCCACGAGTATCGTGGACTGGTCTTGGCGACATAATCGGCCCTCAGAACTATAGAGGGTAGGCAAAATTGCGATAGAGCCTCTTGACGAGGTACAAGCCGCCGTTAGCTACAGGAAGCACCAGATGATAATCCACATCGATGAGGCATAGTTGGTAACTAGAAGGGCAAATGGTAGACCGAATACGGCCATGGTGATGTCTAGAGCTAAGGCCTTAGCGAGGAAGAAATTGTAGAGGACAAGCAATCTTTTAGCCGCCAACCTATGCTTCAGGACGATGATAGTGTAAAAATCATCACAGCAGCCTATATACCTTTTCGTAGTTTGTCACGGGCGTACTTTGAGTTTTCTTCGCCTCGCTCCAGGGATTTAGAAAATGTCTTCGTGTCATGCTAAGCAGAGCTAGCAACCAGTAGCCATTGAAGTTCGAGCCCGCAACGTTATTTCTTTTGATACAAATGTAATGATCAAATAAATTGATTATGATATCCTGCGGAGACCACACAGCAGGGAGTCTCAGGGCAAAGTCGTCGTCACGCAATGTCACATCCCTACCCAGCATGGAAATATATATTTGGAGAACCACTACAGGTAGTAGCTAGTTGCGTCTATGACAGGCAACCATTGAGTAGCCCATACCAGGGACATGATAAAACAATGCTGCAGACATTTATACAGTGAAGACATATCTTCTGTATCATATCAGGGAGCATTAAGACCACTTTGGCGTGATCATGGCAAAATAACTTCAAAATTCCATGTTGACAATCTTGGCAGGGGTTGACACATGACCCAATGCGGTCAGTGCTCATTCCATAACGAAGCTAACCCTTTAGAGTTAGACTCATCGCGCTTCTACGCGATTGTAACAAGTGTCTCATGTTTGTTGATTATTCAATTATTATTATATGTAGTTATTCTCTCTATAACATAATGAGGTATCATCAAACACATCGCTGCAAACTAATCACCAATTGATACAGCCATCCTCACCCCCTTACTCCGTATAACAGCTTAACTTTTCTATATACACCCTGCCCTCACTAATGTCCTCGTCCATCGCCCAAATCAGTTCAAGTTGTGGGCGGCAACCTCCAAGAGGTTTTCCTCACCCAGGGCATTCTGAGTGTAGCGTGCGTTATACTTCAGGATCTTCTTGACCTTGTTGTAAGTCTGCACGTTGAGAGGGAGAGGCTCGGTGCTGAGGTACCAGACAACCTCCTCAGTGCAGGGAGGGGTGGTAAGGGAACCAGTGTACTGATAGACTCCGTGGCGAGTGAAGTGAGAACGAAGGCCCTCGAAGTCCAGCTCGCCAGTGGTGGTGTAAGTGCCGGCATCGGCGATGTCATCGATGTGAGCGAAAACAGAGTCGAAAAGGGGAACGGAGTAGCCGAACTCCGAGAGCTGGAAGAAGAAGCCGACGACAGCAGTCTCCTTGGCTAGAGGGAAATGGTCAGCGGTTGATTTACATGAGAAGACAGAATGATCGGGAACCTACCGGCAGTCTGGAAAACGAAGTGGACTTCCATGGGGAAGTATTCGTCGTTGACGCGGTGCTCACTGGGGGTATGGAAGTGGAACTGGGCGAGAGGGTAGGTCTTGTTGTTGGCCTCCAAGGAGCCATTGGTTAGGACAACCTCGAGACCAGAGCCCAGGTTCTCGAACTTGGCGTTGTCGGCCGAGGGCAGGTTGAGCTTGAGGGAGCCCGATGCAGCATAATCGATGGCATCGGTGTCAATGACAATGGGCGACTGGTGACTTCCCTTGGAGCAGGCCTCGTTGGCCTCATCAAGGCCAGCCCAGTTCAAGGGGCCGCCGAGGTTGGTGTAGTTAAACTTGTTGATGTCAACCAGGCCATCTGCCGCACGGCGCACGACACGGTTGGGGATGCAACTGGCTGATGCCACGGAAAGGAGGGGGAGAAAAGCAGTGATAAACTTCATGATGAATGAACAACGAACAACAAGATGACTGGGTTGAAAGCGAGGTAGCTACATGAGTGAGAGGCACGGTGCTACTTATACATCCCTGAAAGAAAACTTGTGGAACGTTACACCCTATTCTGGAGTCTCGCTAATTGTCTTTCTACGCGCAGTCGAGATCGATGGCCCACAGGCCCTATTCTGCTTCTATTCCGGAGTATGGCCCCTGCTTTAGTTCACAATGTTTCCACTCCAGATTCCCGGGGCCAGCGCTTTGTGCCGCAGCACTGCCGCTAAGGAACCCCGCAACGGGGCTTATGGGCCTACCTTTCATAAACCAGTCCCTGCTATCGAGTGGATGGCCAGGCTAGCTGCGTGGGCTGCTGAGATGTGGAATCGTGGCCCGAGATCGGCAGGTGCAAGAATGAAAATTTCCGAGGACCGGGAAGCGCTCACTTCGTGCCATTGAGTAGATATACATTAATAATCGCCTTAGCGTTCGAAAATCTTGACAGGATGTTGGGCCCTGTGTTCGCCAGGCCCTAAAGGGTGGACTCTTGCTGAACAGGAGCTGGGATATTCGTTTACTATGGGGCATTCGTAAAAGATCGTGAGTGCAAATGCTACGTCCTTTGACATCCGATTGTCAGGGGTATCATACTCAACCAAGGGAGGGGAGAGTTTGGAGAGGGGCAGACGGGATCTTTTACCGGAACTTTTCGGTAGTTCGGGGATCTTTCATACAGGCCAGTCCACGAGGACCCCATTGTATTTGTCTGGTGAAGTTGTGAACACTTTCGGAAAAAGTCCTAGCCCTGTTTAGGAAGTGCGGCAAGAATCCGTTGGGGCTGCGTCCTGCAGAGCCGCGGAGATACATTATCTTGCCGATCTCTTGCCCGGCCGGGTCGCTCGGATGCAAGATCAAGCCCACAACTACCGACGACAATCGTGTGGGACACTAATAAATAGTCCCAGTGTGCCTCCCTTGAATAGACCTTAGATGTGCGTGCGTGCGATATGATTCGCCAAGCCTGCAAACTGAATACTAAGCTTCGCCGGTTAATCGGAACTTTTGGGTTGTGGGCTGAGACAATTCGAAAAAAATAAGTCCTCGAGAGGCCGATCGACAGCCCAGATCGCTATGTTGCTAGAACGTGGGGTTCATTGGGCACTGCAGAATATTGCGTCTAGCTGAGGTAGTATCGCCTCCAATGGGCGCCTTTAGCAGAGCGCTATGAGTAGTGCCGTTGAATCGTGAGCCTTCCAGGACCACCCACCGTTGGTGAATACAATGGAGGTGAGTATCTTGGACTTCGCTCCTAGGATAGCTAAGGCTCACTGTTCTTCCCTAGATTATGATCGACAAATAAACTTACTCATTACCTAATTCCATCACAAAGTTATGGATACAGTCCCATGGTTCGGGTGCCGAATCTGAAGAACAGGCCCACTTGAACATCCTCGGATATCGTCCGATCTGAATTTGCTGTATTGATGGATCTAATTCCAATGTGCGGTCAGGACGGCATTTTGCGTCACTTGCGGATTCTAGATGAGTTCGATGCTCCAAGACGTTGCCAGAGACTATAAGGAACTACAGGTTATAGTTGTACGCCGTACAACAGGGAAGTGGATTTCCCTCCTACTGAGGCACGGTAGGAAACTATACAATCCTAAATTATTATTACTCTGTATTCATTCCCACACCAATTGCACCCTAAGCCCAAATCTATCTCCGCTGGGGATAGACGCTCCACCGAAATGGTGGCCAGCTGAAGCAAACTCAAGTGGGCTGGCTGACCAGGGTGGAGTCCAACTACGTCCGCATATTTTATTAGAATGAATGCCGCCGCCTCTACCAATAGCTGTACTTGGAATGCCGATTCTACCCATACCCTGAGACGGGTGGATGCTCACTCGACAGCTTCTCGTGTTCACTAGCGCTGGATGATCCTTCCTCTCACATAAGCCCTTCATCGCCCTCGCTCCTCAGGCTGGCACTATGTAAGGCACCTAATCAGGGTGTCAACTAGTACAAGGCCATTTTACCAAAAGATTAACATTACCCGCGAGATACCTCTCGCGGGCCCTAGAACTTACTAAGTAGCGCGCTGGATAAGCTAAGGTCCCCCGTGCCTTGTATACTTTTCACGGCTGGAAATTAGGCGAAATATTGGGTATACACTCTATTATACCTGACTACCGTCGTGATTGAGATTGTTAGAGATTTAGACGGAACTTGGAGTGGAGCGTGTGCATGAGTTTACGGACACGTCAAACAACGTCAGAGTTGGGTTGTAGTGCCAGAATCATCTTTGCCTAGGAGAACTCTGAGCCAGGCAATATACCCCCTGCAAGCTTGACGTCATCTTGGATCATTTGGTCTACATTGCCGATGGGAAATATAGAAAAGGGCTGCGGAGAGAGTGCTCCGCCACCCCATTTGATAGAGAATAAGATGACATGCTGTATTTCCTACGTTGGTAAACATGCACGGCTTATAGCTACTAGAGACCATATGCTCATAAGTTTCTTAAAATGTAACGTTCTTGCGATAATGCTCCATGACGACGAATATCAATGTGCTACCGAGACATGGTATTTTCACTACTTAGCAGTATACTAAGCGTATTTTCATAATATTACCTATTTAAACTAGAACGCCTAGAGTGAATGATGACCAGACATAAGTAAATAGATAAATAAATAAATATATATATATATATACTGATTTTAGGATAATTACAATAGGAATTATCAATTCTCACTATGAATCCTGTACATAGTGGAACCCGCAGGTCGGGTTATCTAGTCCTTGATTGGCTGAACCCGACCGGACATCTGGAATTCTACCCCGGAAATCACGGTCTTTGCCTCCATCTTCATAACCACACTTACCTGGATGTGAAGTAGAATCAACGACAATGCCTGATGGTGTTGACTTTACGCAGGTTGGCCTGAGTCGGAATTCTCATATTCCTGCTGTACGTACTGTTTGCTGGTATGGAGCGCAGCCACTAACGCGTTGCATAGTGTACCGAATGTCGAGCCCGAAAAGCGAAGGTTCAACCACTCTTGGCATGCTTCTTGCTGTAGTGTTTGTCATGTTGCCTCGCTGATACATAGCAGTGCACCAAGACTCGGCCGTCGTGTGCACACTGTAGAACTCTTAACAAGCCCTGTGTGTATCCAGAAAAGGTGAAGAGATCGCCTTTGACTCGGCAGTATGCTCTCACGTGATTCATGTATGGAACATCTCTTACTAACTTGACCACTGAGACACCTCACCGCAGTCGAAAGCAGATTGGAAGTGCTTGAAGCGGCACTGGGGAAGCTGTTTCCCGGCGGTGCCACGGAGACCATAATCCGTTCGTTGCTGAGCGACTCACCGGATTTCGATGCTTCTTCTCAGCCGAGCACAGAACCTGCCTCCGTTACCAATGTGCCTGTCGATTTGACAATTCAAAATGAACCATCTCTAGATTCCCAGCAGAAAGGTGCGTCTCTTCCGGCCCTTTGTCGGTGACGACTCTGAGAGGATAAACATATCCGATAACAGACAATTCACTAGATGATTTGGCCGATATTGAGATGAGAGAATCTCAGGGCTCCTTGGATGTTCACAGTTTGGACCCACAGCCGAGTGATCTCCCGCCTTCGATGACAGACATAGATGAGACTAGGCTGATTCGAGCGTATTTTGAGCATTATCATACCATCTTCCCGTTCATCCATGAAACAACATTCATGAAACAACATGAAACCGGGAGCCTTGTTCCCCAAGACCGCGAATGGGAGATTCTCCGCGATATGGTATTGGCAGTCGGATCATGGTGCCTCCAGGACAATGACTACTTAAGCAACGGTCACATCTTTGCTCAGCGAGCAAAGAAGAGGTTGGACCAGTTATCTATTCTTGGTCAATCTTCGATTAGCCTAGTTCAGGCTCTACTACTAATGAATCACTACCACGAAAAGTATGGCCAGCCGAAAGATAGCTGGACGTTTCTCGGCCTTGCAACACGGATGTCGATCGGCTTGGGGCTCCACCAACAGTTAACATATTCTCGTGATGATATTTCCCCCTTGGTTAAAGAGATTTGGCGACGGGTTTGGTGGAGCGTTTATTGCTTTGATAGTTGCTCATCAAAGATCCATGGTCTACCCATTCTGTTGCCGGAGGATAAACTGATTACTGTCAAGCCTGTATCGAATATAGCTGATGAGGTATTCATTTTATCCCCCTTAATAAAAGTATCATTACTGCTGCTGCTAACATCCTACCAAGGACCTGACAGAGGCAACTCGGCTCCATCCAAATGAGCGTGACAATTGGACAATATATACCGGATTGATTTTGCAGTCTAGCTATCACCGGATGGCAAACAGCATTAACAATAGGATACTGTCTACCGATCAAATAACGCTCTTTGATATGAATACATACGAACAAATGATTAACGATTGGCATAACAACCTCACCCTCTGCACGCAACATACCAAGGTGGATGAGCTGCCTGTCTGGGCTCGGTATGCACGCGATCGGCAAATGCTGTGTGATCGGAGCCTCCGACTTCTCATTCATCGCCCAGCACTTCTGGACTGGCTGAGAAGGAAGCAGATATCTCGTGGCCAGGCTATCCTGGGGGAGGAACCAAGCGAGCGACAATGCCGCACTAGTGGTCTAAACCTGGCTCGTGGTACCATAAAGCTTACTTCACGGCTGATTCAAGAGCATCAGTATTCCAATGTTACTCTTCCTTTTATCCTGTTTGTGCCAACCCCCCCTTGATCCTGACTGCTGACGAAAGGTTGACTGACATTATCTCGGTCACCTCAGATATGCTCTTCTGCACGCCGTCCTCGTTCCTATTATCCATCTGAAGGCTGATCAGTCTGTTCCCGAGTCTATAACATGGCTTCAAGACATTGACGAGGCCAAGCAAACGCTGTCCTTCGTTTCAGTTCAGCACGACGCCTTGGCAACTCATTTTCTTGTCATTCTCAACCGCATCACTCCGTCTTCTTTTATAGTCACTGACGAGAACGAGAACCGCAACTCAGACCCGCTACAGCCCAGTGACCTCCAGCCTGCGCCGACGGGCATATTTGGTAACAGTGAGCTCGGATTGTTAGACCCTACCATCGAGGGGCCTACATCCCGCTTGGCCTTCTCGGATTGGATAAACAGTATGCCATAGGATAGATGCTTATATTCCAACATCTTGACGATGAATACACACTTTGTTCGAAAGGCCTCAGTCCGATTATCAGGCTCCCCAGATCGGTTGACCTAGCGTTTTAAGCTGCCGAGATGCCCTTACGTTGTCTTTTAACTTTCATGAATGATTCACAAAGATGTATATCACCCTGACTCAGTGGAAGAGAAACAAAGTTTCAAATTGTCTAGCCCAGTACAAAGCTTTTACACCCCAGGTCCCTCTACACATTCGATCCCGCATTCTGGTATGATCCACTCAATTCCTCAATTCTGTGGGATTGCATGAACTGCTGGAACGTTATTGGCTGCACCGTTGGATACTTGCCATTATCCAACTCCGGTTTGAGATAGGTCTGTCCATTGATACAGTAATACTGGTAGAACCTGAATTGCATCGTCAGCATTCAAACCTCAAACCACAGTCAAGAAATAGAAACACACAGGGCTAGGTATCCATAAATATCCGAAGGATCCTTATCATAGATTGAGTGCATTCGGTGATACAGATCCTCCTTGGACCCGAGTCGTACTAGCCGTGGTCTCTTGCCATAGACTTCAGCAAAGTCATCAGCGATCTGGTGGATGTTCTTTCTGTCGCCCAGAACTATGACGAATTAGCCCCAAAATACGGACTGGTGATGTCTATAGCTCGCACAGAACTCACAGTGTTGCATGCCGACGGCATTCGGGTCCGTCGCAACAGCCGCCACGAACGCAGCCGCAGTGTCATAGGTAGTGGACTCCCAAACCTCATGGCCGTCTCCCCAGTACGAGAAGGTTATCTCCGCAGGATCAAAGACGCCGAAGTACCCGCTCCAGAAGGTCTCCATAAACGCCCCGATCAGCACATGAACCCCCTGAACAGTGGCCTTGGAGTCTAGATGCGCCTTGACGAGCTTCATCGGATCCTTGGCTGGATGCTGGCCCAGCTCCAGCTTTGTGAAGTCGAGGCAGTAGTCACTCGCCAGATAGCGCGTGACCCCTTCGAGCTCGCACGCATCCACGAGCACCTTCTGCCCGTCGGTCATGAACTGATTGTCGCCTAAATAGCAGCAGACAACAACATGGCACCCGCGCACGAACGCTCGAGCGTCCACCAAGCTCATGGCGTCACCTTGAATCGTGGTGATGCGGTCGGACGTGCGAAAGTGGTCGGGCAACTTGGAGGCATTGCGGCAAAAGCCCCGAATGTGGACTTCTGCATGGGTCTGCAGCAAATGCTTGACTACAAGTCGCGCAAATTTGCCTGTGATGCCTGCGATGCCGACAGTGAAGGTCATATTGTTTAGGAAAATTGTAAATATCCGAGTATCAAAGGGATATGGTGTCGAGTGGCTTTATAAGACAACGAATGGACCAAAAGCCGCCATGCCTCTGCGTGTTAGAGACCATTTAAATACACTGGCTTTTGAGAAAATGAATTTGGGGCCATGAATCATTACAAATACAAACATCGTCAAATGAGGTTGTCAACTTGCCTCCAACCAATGAAATCGTCGGTTGACAGTCGTCCGGACGGGGTGGCATCGGCTATCCAGCCATTCCACGGTGGCGCTGGCGTTGCCCAAAACTCAACCTGGTCTCAAAGTCATGTCGGTCAGCCCTACATGCGGCTCGGTCGCTCAATATGCAATGATGTAGGTATGTATGACTTCATCGTCTTACTCTACGGCTCCTTGGTGGGAGTCAATATCATCAACCGGTGCACCTCGCTTTATGTATGAACTGAGTTAAAATACGGACCGGAGTGGGCCACCTAAAGCGAAAGAAGCAGTTTAAAGAGAATCGCATTACAAACTACCGGAGAAAAATATATTGAATGGACCAAGACTTTTGGATACTCTAATAGGTTGTTTCCTCATTCAACACGACCTGATCTAATTTACAAGTACATTGTCAAATAACATCGTTAATCCTAAACCTAGTGTAGGCTTCGACCAACAGCCCTTGAGATATTTAACGATAGTGAAATGAGAAATCCAACACAATAAGCCTCGCCAGGCGCTGGGGACCTCCCTGTCTGTCGATTTAGGCAAGGCAGACACCGTCGATGTGCTGCTTGCGATAGAGACCAATGCGGCATTCAGTTCCATCAGGGTAGTTATTGAGGGAGGCTTGAAACTCCGCAAGGTCATAGTACGACTTTAATGCCGCAGTCGATTCCCAAATAGCGTAGTTGAGCATTGTGTCGCTACCGTTGACGCCACGGTGAAGTTGGGTTGAGATAAAGCCAGGCTGCTTCTTGGCCAGGTCGGCATCTATCTTCCAAGCAGCGAAGGCCTCGTCCATCTTACCGGCCGGAATGTGAAAAGTGTTGACTAGCACGCAGGAGCCGGCTTCGGGATGTTCCTCGAGCTGCTTGACCAGTGGAGTGCGAAGGTCGATGTCTATGAAAGTAGCACCCATCTTGATGGTTTAGAGGAATATTATTGAGATTCAACGAAGAATAGTAAATTGGTTTTCCAAATGGAGATTTGATGGTAAGAAATGCATCTTCCCTCTCTCATGGCTAGGAATTTAAAGAAACATATACTCGATACTGTTTACATCGTGATTCTGTTCGAGGTGGTCGGACCGAATATGATCGTCCTTGACGGCACGGTAGACAATCAGTGGGGACGGAGTAGACTCTACCGACGATTTGTTTGGCCAACCGTGTGGGTCATGAATATTCTTCTCTGGTATGACATTCTTTAGCGCTCGGTACTTCATAAATCGGAACATTATAGAACGAAATATTATCTAGCAGGAGGTCCTAGGTTTCACAATGTTGTCACATACCCACAGAGAAGGATTATGCTATACTTGACGATATAAGTAAGGCTCCGCATTCCTAATCAAATATGGGTCCGGACAACGCTCTACCGTGAATCTGATTGAGCAGTGATGAGATGACGATGTGCCATATTCTTGATAGGATCTTTCGCGGCTTGGCTGCGTTTCGTTCGGGGACATCGGCCTTCTCGCCCTCCGAGCAAAACTCTCTCATCAGTGAGTCTGACAAAGCGAAATGGTGTCTTTGCTTGGTATAGAACTATCGTGTTGTCTTCCTGGTTGTCATGCTACCCGAATATCATTCCTCGCACTAAATTAGCGCTTCGACTCATATCATACATGTAAACGGAAAGAGCGTCCGCCGATTCTGACGTGTTCGAAGATATCTACACGAGGCGAGTATGCTCGCCCTCGGCGATTCACTAGACGATGTAGTTGTATATTTACCCCTCTATTATGACGGGTTTGCTAAATCACAGGTCTATCACTTGTGTTTTCCGTAGGCAGCTGGCGCGTCCGTTTTTACAAGTCTTGAAGATTGGTGAAAGAGTTCGCACGGACATCAAACGCAACCATATGATGATAGCTATAGCTTGCAACGAACGGAGGTTTTAGACGGCTCTCACATCCTGTAAATCTTGTATTTGAAATACGTCTAGTGGGCTTCTTCATAGTTAAAGACCAAACTGATATTTCTTGGCATACAAGCCAACTCGCACTTCGCAATCTTCCAATCGTCAGTAAAACTCTTAGCAACAGCTTAGTTCCCCACATGGCGCTCTTTTTGCGTAGAGATAAGATGGATGGATTGAGTACACTTGAAAAGAAGACACAGCGCCACATCTCTTTCATCCCCCTCAGCCCAAGTTAAAGGCCAGGCATCCGAACAGGCGATGCAGCTATCTGGCAAACCGCGATGTAATTTGTGCTTACTAGATTATTAAATATTTCCAATGTTCAATCGTCAAGACATCAGCTTCCGCTCTTAGGTCGATTCTGGCGGCTTGGTGATGTTTGTCAATTTGTCCCTATATGCAGTCAACATCTTTAATCACAGAAAGAACAAGAGATTAAAGAAAAGTCGAATTGGATTACCCGTTCAGCTTCTTAATGAGCATACCAAGCCCTTCATGAGAGTAGTCCTTGGCATTCCACATATCCTTATGATACACAACCTTCTCATTAGGCTTTTCGCCTTCAAGCCTAAGGCTGATAAGACTGTCTGCAACTTTGGCGGCATGAATACCAGCAAAAGTGTACTTCTGCCGCTGCTTCCAGACAAGTTCGTGCTCCGTCGACGACGTGACTTCCGTAGCCAGCGTCTCAGACTTGGAAAACAGTTTCGGGATACCATACCACTGGCCTGCTATCTTGTATCTACGATTTATCAGTGAATGCTGTCTGAGGGTCAGGGTTTCAACCAATACCGCGTGTCGCAGTAACTGAATGGATCGTCGTAGATGGCCTTCTCGGCATAGACCTTCATATCGTCTTCCGAGGCACTGCCCCCGTAAAGAGCAATGATGCTTTTCTGGATTGCCGCCCGTGAAGGCGAAACTGAGATCGACCTCTCTGGGTGAGGCACGTAGTCTACATCGCCATTCAGGTTCTTTGGTCGCTCAGGATGTGGCTCGATGTCCCTTGGGTCAGGGTGTGGGGATGTTGACGATGGCATCTTCGATGGGGAAGGCGAGAGTGTCAACTTATAGGTGATGACCACACTGTACAGAGATTTGTAGTGTTGTACCCTTGAGGAGACAAGAAAGAATTAGGCCAAGCCCTGTTGATATGCCAGACCGCTGGACAAGCATGACGTCACCCGAGTGTCAGTAACCTGACTTCGATGGACCCTAAAAGACTCTATGGCTCATCCCAGAGAAATGTTTGATTTTCTTTTGCTGTGAACATAAGGCCCATGAATTTGTCAGGCTCGAGAAGATCAACAGTCGGACCTCTGGCACATTGTGCCTATCTGCCCGACCAAGAAAACAGCATATCAGAGTGTGAGGGCCCAGAGATTGTCTCTTACACACGTTGGCTCCCACTAATCGCACACGATGAGCTCTTCTAATCTCTGTCAATATTAGTGCGCCCCAGCCATCATATGTCTTTGAATGTTTCAACTCTGCCACTTTTGTGTTTGCCTTGCCTCGGGAGCCTTCTCATTCTCCTTCTAATATATGCCTTCCTACATAAGTCTGCTTCCGATCTGGTGCTACTAGAATTACACGCTTTGGTAGGGTATTCACATATCTGGGCTGCACCTCAACGGTCAATAGCAGCAACATGGAGTCGCTTTGCTTTACTCGAGGTTTTCTCGGGGCTAGGTTTGGCAAAGTTCGCTAAGCAGGAGCCTTCCTTATCTTCGCATGGAGATCTAGCTTATTATATGCACTGCCACAATGTGTTTTAGAGGGGTATTAAAATGCAAGGCCTGGGTGCCTGATTGTTCATGGCTGTCTTAACCCTTTTGTTCTCTCTGGACAGATATATGACGGCCTCATTTGTCCACCTTGTAGCACATACCGTAGAATTCTAGAAAACAGCAAAGAAAATTTTTGTTTCTCAAAGAAATATATAAATCATGGTGCAAGATCGAGACATGCAAATTCCGGTGGAGCCATGACTTTGCACCAATGTGTTCGCCGGGCTCCGAGCGCTCGCGGGTTGCAACTCCTCGGGAAGCCTACTGTACATTGTGCACACTACCAATCCACTGGCACACAGAGTCCATATTGCTCTATGAAATACATTATGATGAGCTACATACGTATTAAGCCTCCTGAGCTTGGTATTAACCTAGGTTAATAAGCATTACAAAGCAATGGCCCTTCATCGGCCGAGGCTATATATAGAGTTGTGCCAGAGTGGGTCGAGACCAAATTTTGGGACAAGCAATGCAACTCTAGCCAGGCTACGGCTTCGGCCAAAGTATATCTACGCCTATTGAAGCCAACGGTTGTTCTTGTACTCCGTGGGGACCCGCACGCCCAAAAGCTAATCCTGTGCAGAGTTAATCCCTTGGTCCCTTAATTCGGGGGACCCTGTGCTTGCACACAACATGAAAGGATAATGGGTTCCGGCTGTTACCATTGGCCCTGGAGAAGTGTTACATGCTGCCAGCCTCTGGTTTGTTGTCTTGACGTAGCATTTTCGCCAACTTGTCCACCTACACTACAGCTATACCAACGGTTGTAACTGGGGAATAGGTACGGATATATGCGGAGTTCTAATGAACCAAATAATGTTAGTGCATTAGTACTGGCCACGGATATCTAAGACATTGGCACTGGCAAGCGTCGGTGACTGTCGATCCCTTGACATATGGCCCACCCAATACTTTGGGTCAGTTGTGACTAGCTCAATCACGCAACTTCTGTTAAGAGAACTTCATTCTAGCCCTTCACAAAGGCCTAGAGGATATATGAACTTTAATAAGGAACGCGTTACTATTTCCCTTTCTAGTGGCTATCCCCGAAACCCAATCGCCTACTCGGAGACTATCTCTTCCGGTCATCGCCAGTAAACTTAGTCGGTCAACCGAGATTGCCCTGCCGCGGAAATGGTTTCTCGGGCTGAATCTTCGCACGGTAAATTGTTCCCGCGCTCGGGGACAGAAAATAAATGTAGGATTGGCGTTCAAGAGACACATGGACCCCCTTGTCAAACACCTTCACTACAAAGCTTGGTTCTTTAGCTTTAGATTTAGGAAGTAAACCATCGTATTGTACACAGAACGGATGGTGTCACATGGTCCCACACTTTGATGTAAATATTGTCCACGGGTTGTCTATGCATTCAGGGGTCGAGATAACAACTAAAAGACGTCTAAGACAGAATAAAGTGATGAAAGAGGACGTATAATAATTACAGGCATGTAACACGTGAGAGACTAAGCCATCAAGCAGCCAGCTGCCGTATCAAGAAGGTCCACGGCCCAAGAGTTCCTCGGGTTGCGTTGTAGATCTTGCCTCTCCTGGATCTTAAGCTTTCGAACCTGGCAGCATAGAACGGAACGGAATTGTCAGCATCACCGGACATGAACCACGGTACCGTAGACCCCGATCAATTGAACGTACCATAGAGACCCTACCAAGTCTCATGCAGCCGGCGCGGATCCAACTCGCTATCTGGCCTCGTGGGTCACCTCAATCCGGTTCGAGACTACAATACTGCTTGCGACGGTTCCAGTGGGAGACAAAGGGTGTGTCTTCAAGTTGTGCATTTTAACGTCGCCGACCATTCGTTCCTCGCTCTCGGTCAATGTGAGGGTCCCCGATGTAGGATACCCACTCGAGGGCTTTCGGCGATTCCGACTCCGCGAGTCACCGCCCCCGCCACCAATGCTCTGGAATCCACTAGGGTATTTGTGCGTCGGGGTTGAGTTGAATGCACTTCCGTAAACGCGTCCGAGCCAGGATTTGAATAGATGGAATATCATCGGTAGATTTGTCGTCATAACTGCGACGAATGTCTCACGTGTGCCCCATGCGCCGCTTAGCTCTGCACCGTGGAGGGGGTCCTGGACGTGGTTAGAAGCATAGCCCCGCGTGCGCGAAGGAGGATGATAGGTGCACTTACCACCAGGACGAAGATACTCTTCAGCGTGGCGCAGACGAGAACGAACACGCCGGCGCTGAGTACAACTGTAGAAGCTATCTTCTTCACCAATCTCAATTTAGTGCTCCATAAGACTGGAATTGGGATCGTTATCAGGTAGAGATCGGTGCTGACATTCGCAGCGAAGGAGACCCAAACTATCGGCTTGGAGATTGCGGCTTGGCAGATATCTAGAAAACCGTACGTTAGTGGAGACTCAATGGTATAGCGGAGACGAAGCACTTTCTTCCAGGGTCTGGGTTGATCTGCCAGTATTTGTGAAAGGGTCGGCATGCCGCGAAGATTGTGACAATGCTTGCGATAAAAGTCCCGATGACAAGGGCAAAGCCAATATAAACCGGGACTCGATAACGGCGGCCAAGACCGTCCTATTGATTGTTATGTGCTATTCGAGATATATTGGTCGTCGGAGGGCTGTACCGTAAGTCGAACATAAAATGCCAGCATCGAGAGCTTGAGTGACCAGATCAAGGCCGAATATGTAGTCCACCCGGCGACCTGTATCTTGGAGCCAATAACCCTACATGACAGAATAGCCTTAGTCGCGACTGACAAGACCTTCCACCAGTGGTGTTAATGCCACATACCTAAATCTGTATTCCGGATCGTCGATAGACAGTGCGGCGCGCTGGGCATCTGTCATACCATTATTGGCCAGACCGTGGGCAACATTTCCCACGCTGTATGCAAGAGCCGTCTGTGCGGTGTAGAATATCTACAACGATCAGTGTTAGTGTGCTAGTGAGCTAAATGCGATCGATCAGGACACGAACAATACCAACCCAGATAAGGTAATCATCGGCTCGCAGATTCCTCAAGCCCACGGCGCTTCCTCGGGCATATGTCCTGAGAATAGTCGCAGCAACACCAATCGAATAGAGTGTCCATGACTCAATAGTGGACTTGTGGAATGCTGCTTGAGCAGCCTCTTCTCCCGCGCCCCTTGTCACGATGTCGAACGCGATACCGGTGGACATTCTTAAGTCACAGATTTAGAAGGGCATTGTGGGTAAAACGACAACCAGAGCGCAAGTCAGAGAGCGATAGGTCACTTGTAATGTATTTCTTATAGTACAGAAGGTTTCGCTTTCCCCCCACCAATTTGTTTGCGACATCGCCGGGTATTGATGGTAAAGCCCTACCAGCGCAACACCACAACCACGGGGCCCTTATAAGACCAAGACCAATTTTGCGATCGTCGCACCAGTGGCCTCGACGGTAGCTAAACTGGCCAACAAGTCAAGGGACCGTTTCAGACAGACTTGGGCGCGAACGAGGTTACCTGCGCCTCAGCCGTTTAGGTTCCTCAGCTTCCGAAGGAGTCCGACTGTGGTTCCATTATTATGGCCAACAGTTTAACCAAGACCCGCAGTGGAGGCATTAGCGTGAGTTAGATATGGTGGTTGAACGTGCTAGTTAGGGGACCACCGTCGACAGTTGGTCAGCAAGACAGGGGTTGAGAACGAACTCCCACGCTTGGGTGGATCTTCGCATGGCGAGAAAAGATGAGGTAGCATTCGCCAAGCATCGACTCAGGCCACGCACATGCTAGGGCACGAACGGTGCTTTAGCTTGAAACAGTGGAACAGGAACGTAGATTAGGGATCTAGCAGAATTGACTCCGTGCATAGATTAAATAATAACATTGTCACCCGCATTCTCGTGGAACGGTCAGGGATTCAAATCTGACTGAGCATATTCTGACTGGTCACTTCGGCCGATCAGAACCATTTTTGCGACCGCAGGAAGCTGGCTTGCGTCTTGAGTATTTTTTTGTCTCCCTCCCCTGGACTTTGTGGCATTTTTAAGTATTTCCTGTCACCATGCTTCGACTTAAAATGGAAGTGGTCGCGGCTTTGGCTGCGTGGTCGATTGCCTCGGTTTGTGAGACCGTGCCTGTGTCTAGCCATTGGACTCGAGGCCTCTGTCCACGATCGAATGACGTGAATGATCTAGGGATCAAGCTTTCGCCTACCGCCAAAGTCTATTACCCAGGCTCGGAAGAGTTCGACGTGGCATCAACCCGGTGGTCGGTCTTAAATGCCCCCAAAGTAAACATCGTTGTCGTGCCGGGTACAGAAAACGATGTGGTTGAGACGGTATATTATTTTTTCAATTCCCTCACCCCTTCATTCCTTGTGCATACAGTCGTCCAATTGAATAGAATATATTAACACGGGATAAAATACTAATTGGCTCGGCTTAGGTGAAATATGCGAATGAAAAGGGCTTGCCCTTCCTTGCGTACAATGGTGCCCATGGTGCAATTACGACCCTGGGTAAGATGGACCATGGTATTGAAATCTTTCTGGAGCAGCTGAACACCATCGACATTGCGGAGGATGGGAAGACTGTGAAGATTGGTGGCGGAACTGGATCGAAGGCAGTGACCGATACGCTCTGGGCGGCAGGAAAGCAAACAGGTGAGTTGACACTGGCGACTCAAGCTGAGACGATCATGGATATTGACATGGAGATAGTGAGCGGTACTTGCGAATGTGTCAGCTTTCTAGGACCTGCACTCGGTGGAGGCCATGGCTGGCTGCAGGGGCACCACGGTCTCGTTGCGGACCAGTTCGTTTCTATGAATATCGTCCTCGCAGACGGGAGCTTGAAAGTCCTGGATAACCAGTCAGATCTCTGGTGGGCGATGAATGGCGCTGGTCATAACTTCGGTATCGTAACCTCTGTTACTACCAAGCTCTATGATATCGTTCATTCAGACTGGGCGATCGAGACTCTCATATTTGGTGGCGACAAAGTGGAGGCCGTATATCAAGCCGCTAACGACTACCTGCTGAAGAATGGCACCCAGCCTGAGGGTGTTATCAATTGGTCATACTGGCTGAATATCCCGGACGCTGATCCCGAAAATGTGAGTTTACTAATTCCCAAAAGCTTTCATGAGCTAATGAGCTGTTCAAGCCGGTGATTCTATTCTACATTATTCAAGAGGGTGTGAAAGCAGTCGACTCGGTTTACACAAAGCCGTTCCACGATATTGGTCCACTCTCTGAAGAGTCAAAGGGGGGGAGCTACACCGATCTTGCGGGGTGGACTGGAATCTCCCTGTCAGCTCCGCCTTGCCAGAAGGCTGGCCTTGTCAACCCACGGTTCCCCAACTATCTTGAAGAATACAACGTCCCCGCCCAAAAAGAGGCATATAAGATCTTCGCAAATGGCACCCGCGGAAGCTCGCCATTTAACAACTCAATATTCATGTTCGAAGGGTATTCCACGCAGGGAGTAAAAGCAATCGACAGCAAGTCCAGTGCTTTCGCCTTTCGAGGCGAGAATATTCTTTCCGCTCCACTCATCACGTATGCGCCCGCCGGCCCAGAGCTTGATACAAAGGCATCTCAGTTAGGCAATGAGCTTCGACAGGTCCTCCACAAGGCCAGTGAGCAGCCAGACGTGCAGGCGTATGTCAACTATGCCTACGGCGACGAAACACCGCAACAATGGTATGGAAGTGAGAAGTGGCGCCAGGACCGCCTGCAGGCCTTGAAGCAGAAGTACGATCCAACGGGCAAGTTTAGCTTCTTCGCACCAATCGCATAAGAATACCATACACATGGAGCACGCTGGTCGCCATCGAGTCGGGCTGATGCTGACTCTCTACCCTTTTGCCGTTGCTCCTACCATCGACCCCCCTCCTGTAAATAGTACTAGTCTCACAGACATAGACTAGCTTAATATACCGTCTACTTCTACCAATATGCAACAATAATTTATAATCTCTTATGAAATATATAACCAAACCCCAGATCAAATAATTGCTTTTGCCTTGCGCTATATCAACTCCATGTCCACTTACCCCAGTAAGGCCACATCTGCAACCTAGAGCATTATTATTAAGATAACCTTGTTACCACGCTGCGTCCCGATGTAATGAATGGTGTATTGCGAAGATGGAGAACACATGACGATGTACATTGTGAGGGCAATGTGAACCTTGCCTGCTTTCCTGACTTGAGGGATCAATGAAGCTAAACCATGCGCTTGTTATGCCAATCAAATGTAAACTCCCTAGTCTGAATATCCCTTATAATCATAGAGCAATTTCCTCCTGTCGCCGTCTGATCATGAGCTTTGTCATAGGATCCGCGGACAATGAGACACCATTGTGCCTTATCTGGGGCACTGGCCCGTCAGCCAACTTAAATTCGTATTTCAACAAGACATGGCACAAGGCAATTTTGACCTCATTGACGGCGAAGAACCGACCCGGACAAGCATGACGCCCAAACCCGAACCCCATATGCTCCGGTGACGGAGCCACGGTTTGCGCAGACGTTTCATGCCCAGGAACTTCGCGCAGCTTGAGGAATCGGTAACCATCGAATTCAAGGGGGTTAGGGTATATCTCAGGGTCCCACATCCTCTCGCTGGATACGGCTAGGAACGAGCCTTTAGGGATATAAGTGCCGTCGGACAACTTGAGGTCGGTCACGGCAGCCCGCCGCATAGAGACTACCGAGTTCGTTTAGCTCTCTTGATCTGGGTTGCGCTCATCGAATAGCACTTACCCACGCCGGTCGGCTTAAGACGCTGACTCTCTTTCAGCACACTATCCATAAGCTTCAGCTTGTATAAAGTTGGCTTCCTCCACCCTTCTTCTTGCACTACCGTAATCACTTCTTCGCGCAGAGCTTGGATCAGCTCATCGCGACCGCAGAGGTCATAGAGCACTTGTGTCAGCATATCAGATGTGGTATGAATAGCAGCAACGGAAAATATCAACTGTCCAAAAGCAGGCTCATAAGAGCGACCCTTTGCGCATTCCTCCAACCATTCCATCGCATCGTTGTACCGTTCCGGTTTCTTTCCAGCTGAGATCGCATCCTGTTTTTCTCGACGTCTGGTGTCTAGCACCGGCCGGATAATGTCTTGCGCTTCCTGTAATTCAGCCCGGATCTTGCGGCACGACGGGAGAAACCAAGCAACGATAGCTCGTATAGCCTTCGGCCATAGGCGTAGCTCCTCAGCCGCCTTGAAAGAGTCGATGGTATAGTCAACAGTTATGCGGAGCCAGTTCGGGTCGCGACATATCTGGTCGCCTAGAAAGATCCTTGATGACAATTGTGCGACAATTTTCAGCATGCTGGATTTCAGAGGGAGGGCATGCCAAGCTAGCCTATTAGCCCTATTTTACATAGCAGAAGTGGTTTCAATACACTTACTAGTATCATCCGTCCAATTTGTCTGAAGCGTTATCACTGTTTCGTCGACAAGAGGCTGAGTGAGATTTCCTGTTATACAATGTCAGATACCAATCTCGATGCAAGCCACATTCCCATTCTCACCAAGGCTCTGCGTCAATTTCATCCGCACGGCATCTTGAAAGACTTTGTCATCGTTAGTGCCCTGTTTGAACGGTTCGAACCCCGTTATATGAGCGTGGAAGTCATTCGCCGTGTGGAGGCCGAAGCTAAGAGCGTCGTGACTTCGGATCTCGTTGGCATACTTCGCATTCAGAATGATCCTCTTCCCATTCTCCGTGACAATGCGAAAGGCTGGTGCCTACTTCCATGCCAAAGGTCATTGTCAGTTGCTGGTCATGTTTCCTGTCGGAACACGTACTTTTGCGAGCCCTGTTTTGATGAGATTATGCGCGTCGGCCAGGAAGCGCTGGCGGGCGTTTGTCCATCGGAATTCCCATGGCTTCTTATCGTTCACCAGTGGCAGATTTAGCTTTGACGGGGATAGATATAGGGCAATTGCCGCCACTGCCACCGTGACAAGAAGGGTGACTGAATTATTGGTCAATAGCCTGTCCAAAAGATCACCCAACATCGTGTGTAGGCTATTGGGTATACAGTGAATCTCCAAAACAATGTGTCCTTCTAGCAATTGCGAGCGTCCAAATGGACCCTTTATATAGCTTTGACATGATGGGCCAGTAAGTTAATTTAAGACGAAAGGAATGATTCCGGGCCATTCCCGCATAAGACTACGCACGACATGAATCACGGCTGTTGGTTATGCCTACATAGAAAGCATAACAGATGATGCATTAGCATCGTGCCCCTCTGGTAGCACAAACAAATATTTCAAGACTTGGTCATTTGGCTAGCTTGAAATAACTCATTACGCATATCACAGAATGACAAGACAAAGTATTACCCTATGGTGTGGCGTATATTATCGATAGTACAGGCGCCTTCGCTCGAACAATTCTAGACATGTATGAAAATATCCAGTTACCGTGCTGATCTACACCCCGCATATATCGGTGGAGATCTACAAGGTGATTGTCCTGGCCACTGACTCAGTGGTGCGCTGATCAGTGCATGACCATCAGTCGAAGATGGGCAATGACTCAGCGTTAGCCCTAAGTCAGCAAGAACCGCCATCGGATCTACCAAAAGGAGCGGCAATGATTCAGCGCCAAAACCCAGCCCAGTAAAGATCGGCCCAATTTTGCATGCCAGCCAATTCTTGGCAATGACTTCAGCTTGATCTTCGGCCGTGAACCCGAAGGATGCTTCTTATTCCTTCCCAGCGAATCTGCTGTTTTGTAATTCCACATGAGACCCCACCCGAAAACACACCGCATCGGCATCCATCCCCTTCAACAACCCGGGATATTTTTCCACGAATTCCGGCGTCAGTCCCCACCCACTCTCCCGCGTAAACACATCAAAAAACTCCCTTCGGATACGGAGGTTGTCTTGGCCGTCGCGTTCCAGGATATCTTCGCCCCAGGGCCACCGTACCTTCTGGCAGCATGACATATAGTCAAATACCTCTCTAAAGTCATACTTGTCCCAGTCCTCGATCAGGTTGGCCCGTATCTGTGGAAAAACAAGGAGGTCTAGTGCGGCGGGATGGCCGCGTTGGATCTGCAGCAGGATAGGCCGCAGAAATGGCGGGATCTGCGAAAAGGTCGTGAGACTTGGAGCGACTCGCCATTTGCTAAAGACGTAGATGAGCCACCCACAGGCCAAACGTTCCGGATCACGGATGGCCCGAACACGGAGGGCCTGGCTGATTTTGTCAGCCAAGAAGTTTCGTCTGGTACCGTGTAACAAGTCAAGCGGGGCGGGTAGGGGTGGGCAAGCGGCGATTTGGTCTGGATGGGCCAGCCAGGGACATGTGGCTGGTAGAGGCGGAGATATATGGCCGTACTCATCAACGGGGGTCAGACACCATGCTGAGGCAGACCCTGCCACTGTTTCACCTGCGAGGAGAGGACTGGCTAGGTTCGAGTGAGAAGAGGGGAATCCCTGTGAGGGCGCTCCGTCTGTGGCATCTCCATCAGTATTAAGTGGCTGTTGGATAGAGAGACGGTTATCGGACGCATGAGAGGCATTCAATCGATGAATGCGTATCGGCATCACGTCGCCGCCTCGGTGAGAGGAGACGTTGAGCGATGGTGACACTTGCTGGTTAGCGGCCTGCGTGTTGGAGCGTATTGGTTGTCGAGTGTGCTCATCCTGCTCCCACGATGAGAATACCGCGCGGAGATGTTCCTGGCGCTCGCGCAGCAGTTGGTTCTCGCGCTGCAGAGCTTCCATTGCGGCCATCATATGGTGCACCCAGGCAGCCCCATGGTGTCTCTCGCAATAAGTCACCCGTTCCTCCAGAGCTTTGATACGGACTTCACGTTTTTCTCTGGCAGCCTTTTGGGCCTTCCGATCCCGCATACGCTTTCTCTCCGACGCGGAAAGCGTGCTGTTAGTCTGGGGTGGTTCCATTGGTACGATGTTGGTTGTGATTATAGTTTCAGGGCTTCTTGAACGGTTTAAGTTCGACTTGTTTGTTGTGGTTATTGGTGTAATGCTGTTCGGAGCCTTCGCCAATGGTTGAAGCATAGACAATCTCCACTATATATATCCATAACTCTGATTGGGCCACGTTCATGCGTCATTACGCATATCTTGACACTATGGTCACTCGTACTCTGAGACCCTTGCCAGACATATAATAATACTGAACTCCTTATCTTGGCTCTTATAAGACACCAAAACGTCTGGCTACGATGAGACAATACTCAATCTGTTCAATCAGAGACTCACGTGATTCAATTCCCGAGGCAGCCAATAATACTATAGATCGTATCAAGTCTAGAGTACACACCATCTATGTGTTTCAAGTTCTGCTGCTATAATGGCTACTGTCTTCTGTACTGTTCTGGCCCAAGGTAACGGCTCAATACCTACGAGATATCGCTTGATAGGAGGCTAAGACCCCAACAGGCCTTAGAAGTCAGGCACCATCACATTACGGTTACTCCATGTCACGTGATTACCTTCTAGCACACCTTACGCCCTAAATAGGACTAGCTTATTCTGAGAAGGAACCATCCCATCACGTTTATTGTTTCCTGGATGTTAGTCTCTGTGATTCTATTTTTGCTAAAGACAAATTTAGACAGAGAATAACATTTTCTTCTTCAGGGACCGGCTTTACCTAATGTCACCTCATCAAAATGGTTTTCAGCCATTACAGTCCACCACCCTTTCCTCACAAACCGAATCCAAGCCTGTCAACAGCGGAATTTGGCATCGCTACTCCACATTGTTAGCAGTCAAAATTCTGAAGTGTGTTAGACCTCGCCACGAGAATGTTCTCATGCTGACAGACAAATTATGCGTAATATATGGGCGCCATGTACAGTTGTCTGAAGCATCAGCAATGTGTTTTATATCTCGACATACGTCTATACCAGTGCCAAAAGTTTTCTGTGCGTTTACTTATTCGGGATTGACGTATATTGTGATGGAAAGGATTAAGGGGGACATGATTGGTAGTGGCTGGGCTCACCAAAATGATGAATCAAAGGCAAAGGTTCTTTCACAGTTGGCAAGAATGGTCACTGAAATGCGAGAGCTTCAGCCTCCGGATGGTATCGTGGCCGCCTCCGTTGACGGTGGGCCACTCTTTGACTGTCGTGTGCCGCGTCGTTCCTTGCACTTTGGTCCATTCAATACGATGCACGACTTCCATCGGCATTTACGAATGGGCATGGAGTTCGATCCCGGGCTTGACTCCCATATCCAGGATCTTATCAACCAACAAAGTAAAACGTGGCCTTCAGTCTTCACTCATGGGGATCTTAGCAGCCTAAATATGCTTATTCATAATGATACTATTGTTGCTATAATTGATTGGGAAACAGCGGGCTGGTACCCATCATACTGGGAGTACACATCTGCCCACCAAGCCAACCCACAAAACTCCTTTTGGGTGCATGAGATTGACAAGTTCTTACAGCCAATGCCTGAAGAGCTGGGCATGGAACGGATCCATCAAGAGCATTTCGGAGATACATGAGTAGCGTAGCCGCTCTGTGATGCGACGAGGAACGATTGGCTTGCACTCACCTTCCCGAGCCGCATTCGTCCAAGAATAGAACGAAATCAGTAGGCGCCTAATCTATTTACCCAGGTTTGAATTTGCTTTTGACAGTAACTGGCAGCATCGTTCTGTGTTGTACATATACTGCCGTATAGGATTAGGTGTCTCGTTCGCTCATGTGATACAGCTGCGTTCTACCAAGTTGGTGTAGTTGAAGTCAAGTAGGCAATAGAATGAGTGTCATTTGCTTTATTCTACAACTAATGAAGTCATGGTGGTCATTCACCTAATTAACGGCTACTCTGTAAGACTGTAGCCATGGAGAGTTGCAATGAGATTCCATGGCAATGTGACTGCGCCGCCGTGCAGTGTAACCAGATCAGTTCCGTTTCCCCTCCATCAAATCACTTATATCTTAATTCACAGTGACAGGTTCTTTGTTTTCCTTGCTTCCAAGGCTGGGAGCTTTACTGCACTTGGATATGGTCATGTGGCATGTTGCGTTTGTATATAGATAGGAAACTAGCCCTTCGTACGATCAATCGTAACCATCTCCATCTCCAGAAATACTTCCAAACAAGATCCTCAGGTATCGTCCAAATCAAAACGAAAGAATGGCTACCAGCGGTCACTACGGCCCCGACCCCAGTAATCACCCGGACCAAAAAGAACTGTCCAATATCATACGCAATCTAAAGGCCAGCCGTGACAGCGCCGCCTTTCTCCTGGGTACCGATGGCGTCCTCCGAAGCCTAACAGGGGATTACGACGTGATAGACGCGATCGGTCTTCCACCTCGACTCATCAAAGCCTTTCTCGATCGGGATGTATTTGATCAGGAAATAGAAGACATGTTTCGCGGATCGGATGGAACGAAAGTGCCCCAGGAACAGTGGTGGAAGCCAGATCCATCGTTATTACCGCCACCCCTGACGGAGGAGGAGAAAGCGCGGATTGACAAGGACAAGGAGGAGAACAAGGACATCATTGAGGAGAATATTAGGAAAATGGAAAGTGGTGAGCTGAAGCCATGTTGGGTTGTTGTTCGGTCGGATCATGATATCAGTCCTAGGTGGAGAGTGACCTCTGGCAAGCTTATATTGCTGGAATAGTTGCTCCCATCGCAATGTTTATTTTGATATCCTCTGCATTGATCCTCGTAGAGCTCTTCGAACGCTTGACAAAGAAGGAAGGAATTTGAAATACCAGCAAAAGCAGCAGGTCCCGATGCCGCTAAGAGGTGGAAATTGTAACTCTCAAGGGCTCGGCCCTCCTGAATCCTCCGGTGTATATTTACCCAACCAATTTCCTCAACAACCGAAAGCCGTCGGAAACGTCGCAGGTTCCGCAGCCTGATTTTGGCCTGAATTCAAGGCAAAATTTGTCCTTCTCGTCGTTGCTTACCTAGAGACCCTTGTACGAAATATCCAGGATGCTCAAGTTGCTTCGTTAAGGACAATTTTAAGGAGGGAACTTGTACATAGAGATAATTTAGGCATACTGTTTCCTACCATAGCGGACAAGGAGCCTTTTCAGATGAAAGAATGTACCAGGAGGAGCAAACATATGGAAACTGTTTATAAGCCAATGTCACGATGAGGTACACTATCTGTACGGGGTCTTCGTCTTTACTAAACTGTGAATGCCATCGTAGTCTCAATTGAAATTCAATGTACAGACTACGCGCGGGTAACAATCTCTGTCCGTAGGTCTTCCGGCCAACGAGCAGCATCGTGTCCATTGCTTCTTGTTCCAACGTTGAACCGAAGATCCACCTGTTTATCAGCAAAGCTGAGCACGGGACGAAGTACCTTGAAGTAACGATCGACCGCTCCAGAATACCGTGTCTCGAAGAAGTGTGGCTGGAACAACTGTGTACCGCTGTTCAGCATGAGTGACTTCATCATAAGTGGAATGGTGGCCGGCATATTATCGTTATTACGGAAGGCGAGCCGGTTGTGTCGCTGCCAGACATCCTCCCAGACAGCCGGGGGATAGACTCCCACGCTGTTCACCAGCCACTGGGAGTAGTAGTTCAGGGCCGTCTGTTCCATGTTAGCAACAGCACCTAGGACTGACGTTGCGAAGAATGGAAAGGAGTCAGTGACTTACATCCATGAAGAAAGATCCACCCTTGTCGGCCCTTTCAATCAGTGCATTGATGACTCCACAGACGCCCATAACCCCGGTGCTACAGGCTGTGTTAGAAGACTTCAGGACGAAGGGACTTGAGATAATGGAGTTTCCTACCAGTAATCCGAATTTGGGAAGACGGGTGTAACGGCTTCATCATGTCCCGTGGCGCGGCCATATTCGAGGGAGACACCACAGTTCTAATAGAATCATATTAATAAAAGTCACTGCTCACAAGGTGGATTACCATTTACCGCGTCGCTGATTTGCTGCCATCCACTTCTATGTTGCCAAGGACCATGCCAACCGTAGCAGTTCTCACGAGCATAAACCAGACCGAATGGCCGGTCCTTGACAAGCTCAAGCACAGCATCCCGGCCGAACCCAAGCTTTTCCATCACACCTGGTCGGTATCCGTCCAGTAGAACATCAGCCTCAAGAATAAGCTTGCGCAGAGTCTCCTTCCCCTCCTCTGTCTTCAGGTCAATGGAACAATTCCACTTGCCCCAGTTCAAGTCGGCATGCAGAGCATAAGCATCTACGACACCAGGACCAGTTACGCGCATCACACTCGCGCCAAGCTCGGCCAATCCCTTCGAGATACTAGGGCCAGCAATCACGCGACATAGGTCGAGGACTTTTAGACCAGCCAGAGGGCGAGCTACACCTGTACCTGGGACTGAATTCCACCATCCGGGCTTCTGGGCCTGATTGGGAGCGTGGTTAAGCTCATAGAGACCGACATGGGCGTTAGCCTTGCCATGTTCACTTGCTTTGTATTCACCAGTGGAGTAACAGATTGTTCCAGCCTGACGGTACTTTTCATTCATAAGTTCGTCTAGTTCCTCAGCGGTGAGTTTCTGCACACATTCTTGGATAACACTCATGGCATCGGCAGTGGAAGAGGCTTCACAATCAGGGTCTAGCCCCAGTGCTGTCGAGGATGGGCCAGCATTCATACTCCCTATTAGCAGTTAGCCCTAACTGGCTCCCTGGATCATTCTGTTGGGAGACTATTATTACCGTGGACGTGATAGCACCGCCTATCTTTCGTCTTGTAGATATTGGTGATGGATGAGCGGTGAGGGGTGGCTTGTCCAAGATCCCTCTCCGGACTGGGAAATATCGATAGGATACGTTGCAATGGAGATATGTTTGGGTCCGGTGAATTCCCGTTCTCGTCGACGACATCAATAAGAAGGGTTGACATTATGAACAGCGTGGCATGGTCGCTAAGATGGATTAGTTAACATCATATTAAACACCATGTGGTTGCCCTCAATTACACCACATATCCATAACTATTGAGACGGCATGCGACAGCACCAAGTACAGAAAAAAAAAAAAAAAAAAAAAAAAAAAAAAAAAAAAAAAAAAAAGAAAACACTAGGTTTTCGAAGTGCGGTACTCACGTATCAATGTCAACTTTGACCGGACCATGGTTATACTTCGCCTTTAATAAAGCGTTGACCCAAAGCGACTCGAGCCCCTTCAATACCGAAATACTTTCAGCAAAACGCCAGTTTATGGGAATGTTCGGGTTTGCATTTCCGGTGAATGTGACGTGGTCTGCGAGAGACGATGCATCGCTGGGAATGTTGGATGCGAGCAAAGGGTTCTGCAAGATCCCCTTGCGCAGAAGTTGGGCGGATTCAATAGGGACTGAGTATGTCATCGTGACTTTTGTCTGGGAGTTAGATGTGACTTTTCCATTTCTTCAGAGAGGGGTCAAGGATATATAATGCTAGGATGTCCCCGTTCCTGGGCACGCGTTATGCAGGGAGCGTATGCATAAGCACTGACCATAGCGCTGCGTAAGAGCTCCACCCGCCCTTCGAAATATTGGTTAAGTGGGTCCTTTGGGACTTGGCGCGGAGAGAAATGTGAATGATAAGATCAAAGATGACTATAGACGTAGGTAAGGAACGTGCCTCTGTGAGGCCTTGTGCCGGTCATATTCGGTCGTAGGGATCTGGTAAAGGACCTGTGATCCTACGTTAGGCGCCCACTTAGTTCAGATTACCCATCTGTCCGACGCTCAATCTTATGGGGGAGTCGCGGACAAGTGGAAAACTGTTGAATTACCCCTTATGTAAAACACTGTGCAAGGTGTATCAGCATAGGTCGGAGGTTTCTACTCTCCGTTAAGAAGAGGCTATATTAATGCGTTGCCGTTCAGGGTCAGTGAGTCCGGATCTAACTCTCATTATGTGCTGCAGCTAGTCACCACAATGACAGGAAGACGGGCGATTCGTATTGGAAATTGGTATGCTAATGTCCCTATGATACATCACTAGGCCGATAGTTGACTCCTTAGCTCTGGTGCTGGCGGCGATGGCCCCGATCAACTTTACCGTTTGGCCACTGAAGGTCCTTTGGACGCTGTGTTTGCCGATTACCTGGCTGAAGTGAATATTGCCTGGCGAGCGCTTGAGGTGAGTCTTCTTACATCGTCAGTTACCTTTGGCTAGAGCATGGCCTCTAACCCGAACGACACAAACACAGAAGGAAGAGCAACCGGATTTAGGGTATGAGAAGGGATTCCTCGCTCATCTTAACTACAGGAATGCTGCAGAGGTTATCGCCCAAAAGGGAATCAAGATCGTCCACGACGGAGGAGCCCTCAACCCCTACGGCCTATACAAAGCAACCAAGGAACTATTGGAGAGCAAAGGCCTAGGTGACATCAAGGTGGTCTGGGTTGACGGTGACAACGTTACAGCAGATGTCCAGGCTGCTCAGGAGGCTGGTAAAGCTGAACAGTTCCCTCATCTGGATATCGACGGCCAAGATCTGAGCGCACTAGAGAATCGCATTGTGTCAGCCAACGCGTACATTGGTGCTAAGGGAATCGTTGCCGCATTGAGTGCGGGTGCCCAAATAGTGATCTGTGGTCGGTGCTGCGATGCCTCTCCGGTAATCGGTCTAGCTTCCTGGTAAGTGCCCTCAGTATACGGTGGAGAGATTGCAGAACATTGACATCTATTAGGTGGCACGGATGGTCTGACATGGACTATGACAGACTCGCTGGAAGTCTGATTGCTGGACACTTGACAGAATGTGGCCCGTATACAACAGGAGGCAATTTCTGCGGCTTCAAGTCCATCCCCAATCTTGTCCGGGTGGGATATCCTATTGCAGAGATTTATGATGACGGCAGCTCCGTTATCACGATTCACCCCGGCAGCAATGGTGCTGTGACTGTGGACACCGTCAAGGCGCAATTGGTCTACGAGATCCAAGGACCAAACTACCTTAATCCTGACGTTGTCGCTCACTTAGAAGACACACGAATCGAAGAGGATGCCCCAAATAGGGTTCGTGTGACCGGCGTGAAAGGAAGCCCGCCACCCCCTACAACCAAGCTTGCGGTTTGTAGCTTTGGCGGTTACCAAGCTGAGATGGCCACGTATGCCGTTGGGCTCGACATCAAGGAGAAGGTTGAACTCCAGCGGAAACAAATCCTAGATTACCTAGACCAGTCGCGCTTCTCGACCATTGCTATCGACGCGTACGGAAGTGTGCCTGAGGATCCCAAATCGCAAAAGGAGACGACAGTCATGATTCGCCACTTCGTCCAGGCACCTACAAAGGAGGCAATTGGTCACTTCACGGAAGCATTCATGTTTTGTGCGATGCAGGGCTATGGTGGCTTTCATCCGTAAGTTTAATATCTAACGATACACATCCGAAAAGTGACAAGTGCTAAGACCAGGATGTAAAGGAACATGGACCTGCGCGTTGGCACCGAAGCCCTATATCCGGTACTTTCCAGCCCGCTTTCAACAGTCTGCTTTGAAAGTACGGGTTCATGTCGAAGGGCAACTGCCTATCGAGGTTGAGTCGGTCCCGAAAACTGAACCATTCGCTGGCCAGCCATCCTACAAACCGAAGAGCCCTGTTGATTTGCAGTCGTTCAGCCCAACCAAACGCGCCCCTCTAGGTATAGTAGACCTACACTTTGCGGTCTGTATACCATTCTGACTAACGCTCTTTTTTTCACCGAACAGGATCCATTGTTCTTGCTCGATCTGGAGATAAGGGTGGTAACGCGAATGTCGGCCTTTGGGTTCGTAATGCAGATTAATGGCCTTGGCTACGGACCTTCCTCTCTACCCAGTGCTTTCATAATCTTCTGGGCGATGATTACCGGCCGGAATACAGGGTCGAGCGTTTTGAACTCCCGCACCTGCATGCGGTACATTTTGTTACTTACGGTATCCTTCAGGAAGGTGTCAGTAGCTCGTCGATTATCGACGGGTTTGCCAAGAGCTTTGGGGAGTTTGTGCGTGTGCGACAGGTAGACATTCCTGTACGATTCTTGGAAAGGCCTTGGGTGTAGTATGATAACCCGTACAAGGACATGACTTGGTGAGATGCTTCTAGCCTTTCACTTTGTTTTCAATGCAATCCAACATGAAGAAAAGGCTGTTTCCTTCTTTGACGAGTTTGTCGAATCCGATGGTGTGTTCCGGTGTTGCTACCCATATAATAAGAGCCGAAGTGGTTGCCGACAAACTCTCGGGACTCGCACGATAGATCTGTCAAACACCGAAGACGGAGCAGACCCCGAGCGGAAGGAATTTGTACCAACCGCTGTTATAGCTCTTGCCCACCTTTTGCCGATCAATCAGATCCCGTTGTAGCTTCCGCACTGCGGAATGGTGTTTTTGACATCTTTAGAGCCCGCTCTTCGTTCCGGTCGAGATGTTGGGATTCGTTGGGCAATGTACTATCCGGCATTATATATGTTGCGCCACAGAGCTTCCCAGTGTCTTCCTAGACCTAATTCTTCGACATATATCAGCTGATTAACAGTTCCCCAAGTTTCATGCGATGTCTACTACACCAAAGATTGTCTTGGTTCCAGGGGCCTGGAGCACCCCGGCCTTTTACGGCGGACTACACTCTTGCCTCTCAGAAAGGGGATTAGAAGCCATTACTGTGCAGCACTCATCGACAGGTGCTGAACCCCCTACCAAAACTTTGGAGGACGACGTCGCCCAGCTACATGGAACACTTGAGCGCCTGTGTGACTCAGGAAATGATATTATTGTCGTTGCCCACTCCTACGGTGGGCTGGTAAGCTCTGGAGCTGTTGAGGGGCTCGAGAAGCCCACACGCCAGAGTCAAGGGAAGAGCGGGGGCGTGTTGATGATTGTATACATGGTGGCCTTTATAATACCCAAGGGTGTTAGTCTTGTCGGAGCTTCCGGGGGACAGTTGATGCCCTGGATAAAAGCAGAGGTGGGTACCTCAACTTGGAGCATACACGGTGTATCCATGGTACTAACTCCAGGACCTTTAGGGAAATTATGCTTACAACAAAATCGGCCCCGAAGGCGCCTTCCATGACCTCTCACCTTCCGAACGCGATCAGTGGACCGCAGCCCTTACGCATACCTCCTTGCCGGTCTTTCATGGTGCGGCCTCTCACGAGCCCTGGAAGGTCATCCCAACTGCATATATTCTTGGGGAAGAGGATCAAATGCTCCCAGTGGGCATTCAGGAGCATATGGTTGGGATTTTAGGAACGTCGCAGACTTATCGTCTGAAGACGTCGCATCACCCTTTCCTGAGCAGGCCCGAAGATGTTGCAGATATACTCGCCGGACTATGGTCCAAACTGTGATATGAATTCCAAGCTAGTATACAATGACTGCTTGTCCGGGCTAGCTTACAGAGCCTTGATAGATATTTGTACTTCCTCATGAGGAGGTAGCCAGTTACAATTCCTATTATGAGACTCATAAGCTGACCTAGGATATCATCCGGAAGTTCTGTTAATCAATCAATTTCGTCCATATTACGTCCATTTTACATACATAGTTCCAATTTAGATCACTTAATTACCAATCTTTACTAAATATTACTCAATCGCAGACTTCACTATCCTAGTCGCATATGTGATGGTAAAGAGTCCATATCGTGTCAATCATGCCAATGTCCAGGAACATTGCACACAACGTGTTCCGGGATAGAACGCTCCCTGCCCGGAATTGCACCGTCGTAGTGGAGCTTCCAAGCTGTTTTCTCGGTTAGTAGATGACCCTTTACCGATGTACAGATCGACTTACTCATAGGGAAAGCATAGAGGCTTGTCTCATCTGCCCGCATATATGTATAGAAGCCATGGGGTCGTTTGACCTTTTTCAACTCTCCCTGTGGTCCTGGAGCACGGCGAAGATTCTTCAATCGGCCAACCACACGCAACATGGCCGTTAGAGCAACTTTACTTGCTTCGCCACCCAAGCATGTGTGGGGACCAACACCGTAGTGGATATATGATTCCATGGGACGGTTGAGCTGCACTTCATTGGGATTTGGGAAGACATTAGGGTCGCGGTTGGCCTCGACCTGCATTGGCTGTTAGCTGTAATTGATCGACCAGCTGCGACGGGTTGAAGGATACTTACAAAGCTAACGAATACAATATCTCCTGGCTTGATCTGGACCGTTTGGCCCTGGTCTTCGACTGTTAGGTTAGTGTGAGACTTTCTATAGGAGCCGAAGGTCCCGTTCAGACGGATGGCCTCCATGACATAGCGCAGCAGCATCTCATCACTCGCGGGCGTGTCTTCTTTGGCAAGTCGTTGGATATCGGGTAGATGCTTCTTCCCATCCTCGGAGAGGTAGTAGTCGATGATTTGAGTAAACACTTGGGCTTGATTTGGCACCATCGCGACGGCCGTGGGCAAGATCTGAGACCAGGTGACCTCCGAGGCATCCAAACCGTGGTCTAGCAGTCTTCGTATCATATGCACTCCGTAATCGGAAAGCGCATTTTTATTTGTGCGGAGACCGTCTATCAGGGAGGAAATGAAACTGGCCGAGCTCACAGCTTTGACGTTCGCTTCGACGAGTGGCCCAAGTTTCTCTGCTGCTTGGCGACCGAGGTGGCGGATTTGGAATGACTTGGAGGGATCCATGTCGAAGAAGATGGCGGTAAATATGATTGACATGGCATCAAACATTTGATGTTCGGTGATGACTCCGTGTGGGTGTTCCTTGCTCTTCAGAGGAAGTGAAAAGACGTTGGAGGCGAAGTGAACATGGGCGAGATTCCCAACACTGAAGCGGAAAAGACATGGTTAGCAATGGAGATCTGGACTGAGCTTTGAGAATGAATCTGACTTACTCGCGACTCATATCAACCTGGTTGACGTTTCCCACCCTACATGATTTCTCAGACAACAGCTGCTCGGTGATTTCAAGATAGAACTCTTTGACAGCCTCATGCCACTGTGACCGATACAACGACTCCTTCATAATGCGCCGCTGATTTGAGTGGAACGGCGAGTCACCGGATAGCATAAAGTCATAGCCACCCTTCCCAAACACGTATCCGGTTGCCTCATCCCAGACCACTCGGAAATTCGAAGAATCCTCGAGAATGCGACGGACGTTCGGGTAGTCAAAGAGCATTGTACGGGGAGGGGTATACGATGGACGGTCCCAGGAGAAGTCTTCTTCTCGTCCAAGGCTCCTCATGATCTCGCGATTTTCACCTGGAATTGTCATGGGATAGTGGGCGTATATCGAGTTCTGTTTGAAGTACTGTGGGAATGCCCGCAATGCGAGTTTATAAAACACGCATCCCTGATTGATTTCCAAGTCATAGTTTGACTCAGCGTACCCCCAGTTAGTGAGGTTTCTTGAGTTATATTCCTTCTGTACGAGTGTCAGTATGTCCTTGCATGCCATATGGTATGGAAACACTCACCGTGTAGAATCGGTCACCCCTAACCAACGCCACCGCGTCAGACAGCACCGCACGGGAGACGGTGTATCCAGGAGCAATGCCAACACCAGGGATCATTGGTTCTTTAGCCTCCTCGGCAACGATCCCTGGATACAGTTCGACGTAATCTGGATGCTCATATAGATGACGTAGCTGGTCTGCTACCTCCGGGTCGGAATTGATTTCCTCGAAGCTTTGGTAGGGTTTCAGATCGAAGAACTTCCGGAACTCATTTAGTGAACCAACATTCCACCTGCGTGCCTGCTCCATGCCTAGGATCTCCACCGAGCGCAGAACTTTAGGAACATTGCGCGCTCCGAAGGAACCCGACACTTCGTCAATGGCCATAGTGAGGATGTCCACTAACTCTTCATCCTTGAACCTGCCGGAGGATTGTCGCTTCAACCCAGCGAACTCGCGCTTGGATGGGTCTTTCGGGATGTTTCCAGCCATCCTCCTCATGCCTCCCATCAGGTCCTGCACGGTGGCTTCGTGTCCAGGCTTGCCGACAATTTTCTCATATGCCTGTTCCGTCCACGCCTCATCTTTTCGACTGATTGTTGAGTGCCATCGATAGGCTAGATTGAATTCTACCGAACACTGGTTCCCCAGTGCCGTGGGAACTGTATCATGTTCCATGTGTGCACGCGGGTCCAGGGTCCAGGTGGTGTTATCGCGGTTCAGGTTCACGATAGTGCGGAGATAGTCGTACAGAGTAATGTTGATGTACAGACCGCAGGTGATAAGGCGACCCGTCTGGAAAAGGTCATTATCGTACTTTGCCCAGGCGGCCCTTGCTTCCGCTGGGTCGATGACATCTTTCGACGGCGGGGTAAATCGACCGTTCTCATTGATAGCAGCCAGCTGCTCGACTACATGGTTATGAAACCTGTTCAGCATGACAAGGATAACGCCGCAGGCCGCCGGTAGCGCATGCAGACGTGGCTCCGAAAAGCAATCCGGCTTGATCTTGCCATCTTTGAACTCGCGCATCATGTTTTGTTCTTCTTGGTTGTCACCGTAGAGGATGGAAAGATCTAGATATGACGATGTCTTGTTGAAGTTCTCGTCTGGATGTCCTGTTTGGAAAATATCTGAGGCCGGTTAATGTGTGCCTGATGCCCCAGGAATTGTTTGGACACTTACCATGGATAATCAAGGAAGCCCAAGTGAAGAAAACGCTCGAGACATTGTTCGGGTGAGGCTTGAATGTGTCTCGTGCGAATAAACTGTCAAAGATCAAGCCGGGATCCGGCAGACTAGCCGGTCTGACCTTCAATGGCTCGATCGTCCGCGCATATTCCGTATTTGCAGCGCCTAGCCAAGGCAAGCTAGGGTTATTGTAGGATCCATCAGCTGAACGGTAAGCATATTTGTCGCCGACATACCTAAAGCCTGTCAGACCCAACCGTCTCTTGGTCAAGGTGTCCCTGAGTGAATGCTTACGAGAGAGGAGGATGAGGCAGTGAGTCCCACAGTTCCCCTAGAAACATGTTCGTAAGTTTGACACGGTTTCTAGATTCCGAGGGCAACTTTGCAACAAGCTAAAGATATGAATATCAGCATCTTGCATGGTTTTGTGCATTGCACGTTGTAGCTACCTGTATGATGCGCTCCATTAGCATCGTCTTGTCGTCTACCGCCTGGCCACTGCCCTTCACAAGGCCACCGGCTTTACTTTCAATCAAATCTTTCAGGGTATATCCATCCTTGATTTCCAAGACCCGCAGATCACCCCACAGACTTCCGCCTTTTTCAGGCTCGATATAGGTTCCATCCCCCGTCTCTGTCGGTAACGGGCGACGGGCGGCCTTGACCACTTCGGTAATTTTGCCAAAGCTCTCAACCACGCCACCATGATTGCCGTTCACTGATTGCACCGATGCCTTCCTGGGGCGATCCAGAGCTGGTTGCTTCTGAGCAAGGGGCTCATAAGCCCGTTGTGAGGACTGGGACAGCTCAGGTATGCTACTGGAGGCCTCGGCGGAGCTTGGTACCCCCTTCATTGTGGCTCAGGTGGTTACAATAGCGGGTATGGAGGCTATGACAATGTGATTCATTTAGTGGAGTATATAAGAACTATGATTGTGATACTCAATTGGAAGCGATCGAAACGCTTAAGTACGAGTTCTAGGCCAACCAGCTGCCATGAGGTTAAGTTTACTAGGTGTTCGAACAATCGTGCGAATACGTCTTTGACATGCTTACTAGGTGTATATCGACGTATAGGCGGTCCACAATATCCGCCGTTCAGCCACTCTTGTCAATTGAATAGATCTCGAGAGACCGATTAGCTTTCAAGCCCTACCCTAGAAGCATCCGGAGTGGGTCCATGACATCCCGAACCACGGTAATTAAGCTGCGTCATTGACATCAATGACTTTGCCAGACACGCGAACAACGTCTTTTTTAGGTGTTGCATTGGTTGGTAAGTTTCCCATCCCTCCGCAAGCGGCTAACAATGCCTCACGATGGTTCATTACATCCCAATGAATATATTGGGCTCGGAGCACCACCAACGCCACGCAGATCCTATTCCAGCTATTGTCTAGCTACCAGCTTGACTGTAACTGTAGACTATCTAGGCGGGTTCTGGTTTCGACTCGCGGTGGACTCCATAGCCGGGTATCTGTGATAATCATGTAGGTGAGAGCTACGCAGTCGACAGATACGAAGTCTTTTGGACCAACGAGCTGCATTCCGAGGTATTTATCAAGAATGTCACCGACGCTCGTCAACGGCATGAAGTCATGCTAAAGCAGGCTCGGGGAGCCCGGAAGTTAGTAGGAGCATATTTGCCTGACGCGATCAACTATGACGCTTCGACACGCTGGGTTCGTACTTGACTTAGGAATAGCATTCGATTTCGATTTATTCGTTAACCGCTGACATTTATTTGTTTTTCAAAAATACGAAAACAACTCCATCTCAGTCCTGGCGTGCCGGGTCCTCAGCAGGACGGTTCAGTAGCAACTCATCAATCTCTGCGAGGATCTCCGGAGTCAACTTCGGCAACAGCTTCAAGCTTTCTACATTATCAACAATCTGCTCGGGTCTAGAAGCTCCTGTAATCACTGCGGACACGTTCTCGTTCTTGAGACACCACGCGAGGGCGAGCTGAGATAACTTAAATCCGAGCTTATCGGCCAAGCTCTGATTGCTTCGTTAGTTGTGTTTTTTTCACAGTGAAACTAGGGAGCCAAAAGTAGCAAAGGAAATATGAACGTTGACTCATACCTTCAACTTGACAATCTTTTCAATTGTTCCCGCCCATTCCTTATTCTCCCAGTCATTCCTCACCTGGTTCGCAAATCTATCCTGGCTCTCCGCAAACCTCGAACCCGGTGGAGGCTGGGTGGTTGCGTCGTTATATTTGCCGCTCAGCAGCCCCATTTTGAGAGGAGAGAAAGTGGTCAAACCAATTCCACACCGGGTGTATAACCGTTGAAATTCTCCCTCAACCTTCTTCCGATCTAGCATATTATAAAGGGGCTGCTCGACAATGGGACCGACCAAGCCCAAGGACTTGGCAATGCCACACGCTTCAGTTATTTCGTCTGCGGACCACTCCGACGTTCCCCAGTAGAAGGCCCAGCCCTGGTCAATCACAAAGTTGAATGCACGTACTGTCTCCTCCATCGGTGTTAACCGATCGGGACGATGAGCGTAGATTATGTCCACGTAGTCGAGTTTCAGTCGTCGGAGCGATGCGCGTGTGCCTTCGATGATGTGTTTCCGGGACAGTCCGTGGTTATTGATGAGGATCTCGCCATTTGCCATCCCCCAGTTTAACTGAGAAGACATGGAGAGTTAGCAATGTCTCGCCAGAACGTCAGAAATTTGCTTGTCTACCTTTGTGCTGATCACCAGGTCACTCCGCTGCCAGCCACCCTTCTTGATGGCGTCTCCCATAACGATCTCAGACTGGCCATTGGCGTAGCTGTTATATGTCAGTTGGTGCACTCGTGTTGCCAGATGTAAACGAATGTTTACCTTTCTGCGGTGTCGAAGAAGTTGACACCACAATCGTAAGCCTGCTTCATGCACTTGAATGTAATATCTGCGCGCGATTAGCACCCCTTCAGTCCTATTCATCTTGATCGGATTTACCATCGTCAACATGCCCACCGAATCTTTACAGCGAAATATGTTAGTGATATTATCTTTTGTGTGCGCCCCGCCGCAGAGAAAACTCACGTTAACCAGCCTCCCAGGCCGATCGCAGATACATGAAGTCCCGAGTTGCCCACCCGACGGTAGAGCATGTCTTTATTCTTGTTCGGCCAAGCCATTGTGAATAGTGGATGCGCGGAAAATGCGATGTGTAAGGTGTCTTTCTCCGGGTGTTACCCCTCTGAAGAGCGGCTGTGCTGCAATTTATTGCGCCGGCGACAAACACTCTGCCATTGCTCGGCAGTAGGCATTGCTAGAGCTTTCATTTAGACCGCCACGTTGTCCACTCCGTGACCAGTAGTTGGGTCGCATTGTGCAGTTTTGGAAAATACTCGGTCTCCCAGTGCTGATAACGACGAATGGCAAGCGATAAGAGACTGCCGTGCGGGGCTCGGGTAAACAGCGAGATGGAGAACGGAGAAATGTTCGGAGGGGCATTCTGCGATAGAACTAGGATGCGCCTTGTCTATTCAGTACTGGCGTCTCTGGAATGATCCAATGGTGAGTATCTCAAGTCCGGCCAACGTGCTAGAGCCACGACGCTACCCAATCGGGAGCTGCAACTAAGGACCGGCGCGATTTTAGCCCTAAAGTCAAAGAGTGGAGCGATGGCGTGCGGAGTGGAGGCCGTCGCGCAACTGCTGCCCCTGTCCTCATGGTCTAGCTCATGGATTCTGCTTTTCTGACTTTGAATTTCCCCGCATCAACGGTTCCTGCTGTCGCACATTGACACCGATCTGACCTGTCCTTGCGCTGGTTAGAGGATCATCCTTATCGCCAGGATTCGCTCAAGGCGGTAACAGCGTACTATCGGCTCGGAGTTACGTTGATCTTATCGGCTGGAGCTAGCCCTGGACATTCCGGGATGTATTTACTGCGGAACTGATCGTCAAGATGTCCTCTGTCAAACCAAGTGTGACCAAGCGCGCCTGCGACGGTTGTAAGATTCGAAAGATCCGCTGTGGCGGCGGTCAACCTTGCCGGTCCTGCGTTAAGGCCAAAATCAAATGTACTTATGTCCGCGTTCAACAATGTCGAGGACCGAGGCGATTGCGCTCGACGACGCAGTTCCTGATCGAGCAAGCGCAGGTTGGTGGCGATAGCAATAACTGCGAGGCTACGCACCGCTCGACTTTAGCAATGCTTGAGAGGCTTCACCCGAATATTACGCCTGCGTGTCCGGCCACGCACATGGAAAGGTCGGTCGCATCTGTTTGTGCAATGTGCCTTGCCGACACTCGGATCTAACACACTGTAGTTCGCGCATTCCTCTCGATACACTGACGTCTCCGCTTTCCATATACCACGTGCGCATGTACCCGGTTTGGCCGATTGTCAACGTCGAAGAGATGGTGTCCGTCCTTCAGCAGGACGCTGGTCACAGTGATGATGAGGCCTATGCATTGTCGACTGCAGTAGCAGCAGCGACAATAGCTCAACTACGACTGGAGCAAGCTTCCAGCGCCCAGCAGACGATCACAGCCGAGACGTTCGCAGCGGAATGCTTGCGCGCTCGGAACTCATGTCATTATCGGTCCCAGGTAAACCTAAACAGTATCCGGACGTCCTTTTTTCTGCATGTGTACTATGAAAACCAAAAGCCCGGTGGGAGCGAATCTCTGCTGCACTTACGAGAAGCGATTTCCATGGCTCAAATAATGGGTCTCCACCGAGAGTCCTCTTACAATTCTTTGTCGTTCGAGGAGGAACAGCTGCGTCGGCGTGTCCTTTGGCTACTCTTTGTCACAGAACGGTGAGTCGATTGAGAAATCTTTGACGTCGTTCTGCAGCAGCTGATCTAGACAGAGGTGTCTGTATTCTGCACAGGTACCCAGTCACATTGAAAACCAATATCTCGGCCCCGGTGATTGACGAAAACGACGAATCCCACGTTCTCCCCGCCTTCCTCAAGCTCCTCAGTCTCTTTCAAATCTTCGAGAAATCAGGGATGTTCGATATCATCCAGGATGAACACTCGGAGCTACAGCCAGGTACGAATAGTGTGGGACGTGTCGATTGGCCCTTCCTGGAAGGTCTTCAACGGAATCTGCAGGACGGATCGACGCTTTTCGAGCGTATCTCAGACGTACAGAAGGCGGACTTGTGCGTTACTCGGCACTGGATGCGAATGATTCTATGGAAACTATCCCCAAAACGCTATCTGGGGTCTTCCCCATCCGCCGACCGGTCCATGTCCCTCTGCTTCCCACTCAACGTCGCCAAGGAACTAGTGAGCATCGTCTCGCAGCTACCTCGGTCCGCAGTCGAGGCGCATGGTTTGGGCATGGAGCTCAAGATTTATGAAATTGCTAATTCCCTGGCCGATGCCATTACGGATCTCGCTGCGCTGCCATTTTCCCCCGAATGGGATGGTGAGAGTCGTCCAAATTATATATTATCACGTCTCCACGCGATATTGTCAACGTTTCGCGGTGGGGGGAACAAGAAATTGGTCGATGTTCTCTACCAGAAAATGGCAGAGGTACAGGTCATCATCGGACCCTCGTTAGCAACGCCTCTTCGAAACCCAGGGAGCAGAAAGCGCCGGCCGTCCCCCACGGAATGCGAAGATAGCCAACAAATGCATCGGATTACTGAGTTGACCAATCATGATTCTACAATATCCACCTGTTTAGATCCACTTGCTTATCCGTGCGACGCGAACGACTTGACCTACGCGTCAGTTTGTGATATGTCCTTTGCAAGTCAAGGGGATGGTGATCAGAACCAAGTCCCACAATACCCGGATGTAAACAATCTGTTTCATCCTACCTATAACGAGACGACATCCGATTTCCTGTTTGACCCAAGTAGCGTAGTCATTGAACCACAGGAAATGGCACCTTTGTCACCCATCTGGTCGTCTTTTATGCCGATGAACGCAATCACGGAGGACATAGCGTCCCAGATCCTACGAGCCTCAACCCAGGATATTCTCTTTCCTGGCGCTGACTTCCCGAACTTTGCTACAGGCACTGATTTTGTTGGTCTCTACTGAAACGGACCTTGTCAAAACATCGAACTCTCAATTACTACCTGACGAGTACATGCAACAAAGCCTAATACTTGAAGCGGAAGTCCAGCCGCTGATTTCCTTCGCCTTCTCGAGCAGCCTGGTCCGACTGGTAAGCCACCTTCTCCTCTGGCGACATCCCATTCCACTTCTTCTCTTTCTGGCGATTGAGATAACGCAGGAACTCCCTCTGCACCACGAAGACTACCATGGAGAAGGCACAAATCGCAATGAGCACCTTATTGCCCCTGAAGTAATACGGCTTGTCGTCCTCGCGATAGATCTCTGTTTCGGTCTCCATCAGCCTGGTTATTCTAAACATTTGTCCTGGGTAGGGTGGCACTTACGCGACGCGATCACGGATCCCACCTGTACAATCACATTATACGTTGCCGCCGTAATGGCTCGCTTCTTCACGTCGAACGTGTTCTCGGAAATCCACGCCGACACAATCGGATGAAAGTACGGATATCCAGAGATCAGCGTCGTGATGGTGAAACGACCCCACTCGCGGCCACCGTTGGGTAGAGCCAGCATTGCCGCCAGTAATGGCAAGGTCCAGAACTCGCCAAACAGACAGTGGAAAGATCGCTCCCCGAAATACTCGCTACTGCTTGACAAAGCCAGCATGAGGATGATCTGGAGCACGGCGGATGGAATGGAGAGCATGTTGGAGTCGAAGGTCGAAAACCCGATCCGTTTGAGGGTCAGTGATAGATATGCTTGCACTGGGTTCTGCGGGATGTAGGCGACAAGGCCAATGAGGTATAGACCCCACATGGACTTGTCACTCCAGGCACGGAGGACATCATTGAGGGTAGCTCGTTCGTGGATGTTGGTGAGACCTTTCGATGGGTCGTCCCGGAGCAGGCGCTGCAGTCGTATCAGTTAGTCAACGCCGCGGGGATTAGGGTAGTATATATGGAGGAACGTACGTTGATCATGATCACCTCTTGGCGCTCCGTGTACCATGCTCTGGGTACCAGTACACTCTTCGTGTTGGTCGGGGAGCTTGGAAGGTAGAGGATGCTCTATGTGCAATCCGATTAGCTTCTGTCTTCGCATATACCACCACTCCACGCCCTGCACAGGGAATGCCGTTCCATACCACTAGTCCAATAACAAAAGTCAAGAGACCCTCAATCAGAAAGAGCCAAAACCAGCCTGTCTTTCCGTGGACTCCGCGCATCTCTAATATCCCCGCGGCGAGCAAAGACGAGATAATGCGAGCAACCTGTTACATGTCAGCATTTTATGATCCGTTAGACGATATCTATGATCACTCGTGACTTACGTTCAACGTCGACCAAAAGAAAGCGAGCCGCACACTCAACTCCCTGGTTTTGTAGAAGTATGTAGCAAACAGAATGGTACCAGGAATAAAACCACCCTCGAATGCCCCGATCAAGGCACGGGTGATGTAAAAGCTGGCCCGACCGGTCATCCACGCCTGGGTCCAAGAAACAAGAGACCACAACATCATCATAATCGGCAGCACACGTCTGAATCCAAAGCGTTTGATAAGAAGCTGTGCGGGGAATTCAGTTGCCAGGAAGCACACGAGTTGGATTGTCGTTCCCTGGAGAGCATTGTTAGTAGAATTTCGTAGCATTAGATGTACACATAGTTCGCATACGTTGTTGTAATCATTCGACGAGAGGTTCAAGTCATCGAGTAGATTATCTGTGAGTGCGTTGGACAAATTTCCGCGGTCGAGTTGCAGGCCAAAGAACTACACCTTGTCAGGGCTGAGCTGCGACAAGTCCAATCGTATCGATGAAATGAATACATACCATGACACAGAGCCATGTCAGAAGCAACAGATCGGTTTTCCACACAACCGCTCTCTCTTCCTTCTCCGTCCAAGACGCTGTAGGATCAAACCGGTGAAACCCCTCGAAAGACTCATGGGGCGGTGTCACAGCGGAAAGATTCTCCTGTCCGACAGCAATAGATGCCTTCGAGCAGTCATCGTCGCTAGGCGCAGTCGCGTGGTGCTTAGGACCTTTGTCGGCCCTTTCGATATCAGCCATTGTGAATGATCGCCTTCCTCCTGTGTGCTTCTTCCCCGTGTATTAAAAGACAAAGACTGAATTAATCAATAGGGTACACGAAGCCCTAGAGAGGAGAAGAATGCCACCTCCATCCTGGGAGGGGCAGCCATGGACGTTATTATATAGAAAATGCCATGCCACACATACCACGCTCCAACAATACAATTGTACCGTATCGCACCATTCAAATTTAACCTGAGCGTAGTCGGGAACTCATCACCGGCACGGCAGTTGTAGTATACGCTTACACGTTTATCCTACAGTATGGCCAATAGAGCGTCTGGCGGGGACTTTGCATCACTGTGCCTTCCGAGCACATCATCGGCTAGCTTGCGTTTTGGCTTCAGGCACCTTACTGAGTTTGTTCTAGCTGGCCGAACTGTTTATTCTTTGTGTTTTCTTTTTTCTAGTTCTTATTTTTTTTAATTATTGTATCAATTCGTATTTACCTATGAAAGAGAATCTTATGCTCCTTGGTTCGAAGGTCAAGTGCTAACAGCCGTGGAATGTTTTTGCGGGGTTACAAGATAGCCTGTCTTCATTCCCCAGATTTTTCCTCCGGTTGACTGACTCGAGCCATTCGAAGAGGCAAGATTGGCCAGTACTCGTTCAGGCTAGTGTAGCCTAGTGGATGGAGAACGAGAGGCATCGTGCTTGGCAACTTTGCGTTGCCGAAAATTTCGCCGACGCCCCACAAACCCTTGTCTGGGTTTCGAGGCGGAGAATTCGATCACAGCACTTATTGAAGTAGTTCCTTGTAAGCATAGAATTAACCATGTGGTCGCTGTTAGGACAGGGACCGTGAGTTATTGTTTGATTTTCGTGGCAGAGCACGCAAAGATAACATATATTGTTCTTGGTTGTGGGTGGTGCTCACATTGGTTTTATATATTAACTCGGGAGGCCAGACCGTTCGGTTTGTACATCACTACATTGAACAGAGTAGCCTACTGAATTTGAAAAAAATGATTGAACGGAGTATGCCGCGTGTATGTGCTGCTTAGCACCAAGGCATGCATGCATGGAATTGATAGGAACGAGGAATTTAGATAGATGATTGAACTTCCCAGATTTTAATATTGACCCGACAAACAAGGTATAACTTGTATGATGAGGTTAAACCGCGAGCCAGTGTGCTTTCGGAACATAGTTTCTCCTATAATAAAGTCGAGCCTGCCTTGTGAATCGCGAGCTATGTTTTACCATCTTACCAGACCCGTGAAGACGTGCAATTTTCCGTGCGAGGGTGAATTGGTGGGATATAAATGCTCTTTGTGCGGTGATCTCTTATCTCAGCGCGCATAAATGTAGCGTGTTTACAGTTCCCGTTCAGGAACAGACCAGAGAGATGTAATAGTGGGGATCACGGAATCTTCGAGGGAAGAGGAGGGATATAAAGCCCCTTGCAATGGAGAAACACCCAGGGCGTGTGCAGTGAGCACCATGATAAAGTGGCGGCAACTGAATTAGGCTTTGAGAGCAGCCTTCCACTGCGTAGAGTACCCTATGTAGATGATCGTAAATTTATATCAAGAATCTTATCGACATCTAATCACCATGTACGCAACAACCCGGTATACAATCATGCACACCGCAAGCGCCAGAATATTCAAACGAGGGTTCTTATCGAAATTGTAGAAGTTCAAGACATCCTTACCATTTTGGATAGTGCATTGTTTGCTTGGCTGATGTTGTTCATTGCACGTAAATTCCAGGCCATGCATCGCGTATGGCATAATATTAGCCATAACATATTTCGAAGGGAGGATGTAAGCCACAATTTGGAACACCCGTGGTAATGATGTACTAAGAAGGCCCGCAAATACCCAGTTGATATATAACACTATCGGAGTCAAGGTAGTGCTGATACCTAGCAACCAGTTAACATGTATAATACTATTCAAAGGCAGAGTACGACGGATACCTATATTGTCGAAGAGAGAAAGCAGTATAATACCGATGGACTCACCGCAGTTGATAATTGCGAATATGTTGAACGATGAAATGAGAAACATCATGAAGGTGCTCTGAGTTGGCGGGCCGAACGTAAAAATCGCACTTGAGATCAAGGCTGAGAAGATCTCTGTAGGTAGCTCTAGACATGTATACTGCACGAGAAAGCATATTGCGGTCATGCATCCGTCATTGCGTTCAGATTTAAATGTGTCGCGCTCTCCTGGGTATACTATAATACTTTGGAGGAGGCCTAGTTTCCATGAAAGTTAGCCGAGATGGGGATATCAAAGGAAAGTCAATGGGTGGGAGAGCAAACCTGCAACAAGAAGCGTTAGAAGCTGTTGGAGAAGACCTATTCTTGTTTGTACAGAGTTGCTGTCGTTTGAGAGGGGAGATGTGAACATAATAAAGATAGCTGCCATCCCAGGAGCTTGAACCAAGCGTGATAGCAGATGAAATGGCCGCCTAATCAAACCAAGAGCTGAGCGGCGTATTGCTAAAGGAAGCAATATTGAAAAGGAGTTAATATCCTTTGTCATTTCTTTTCGCTCTTGCGAGGTGATCGGTACTGGGTATGTCACTTGTATATTCGCTTGGGCGACAGTATGTTTTTCAATCAGCTGCTGCACCCTAGTTCGACTCGATATTTCTCCTTGGTCTCGATGGTCTACCGTAACTAAATCGATAATAAAGTCACATGGATTCATTGGACTTGGACATTCAAAGCCATGGCTGCGGAAATAATGTAAGATATCCTCGCCAGGGCCTGCAAAGACGGGAGAGCCGTCCGATGCGAGAAGAAGAATGTTCGAAAAAAAAGGGAAAGTATCTGACCGTGGTTGATGAATACTGCAGATGACAGTGCGACCTTCCTCTGACAGATCCTTTAGCTTCTTCAAGATACACCCGGCTGTGTGTGCGTCGAGACCTGAGGTCGGTTCATCCAGTATCAAAACCCTCGGGTCAGTCAGGAGCTGAATACCTATTGAAACTCGTCTCTTCTCACCACCACTAATACCCTTTTGTTTATCATCTCCCACTACAGTCCCCGCACAGGAGGCCAAGCCCATTGTATGGATAATGGAGTCAACTTTGCAATATTTTTGCTCTTTTGTCATCCATCCAGGGAGTCTCAGCTCTGCAGCAAAGAGTAATGTTTCTCGGACAGTCAGAAAGGATTGCAAATAGTCAAACTGGGATACGTAGGAGCACATAGTTCTGATCGTGGAAGGGGGTAGATAATGGCTATTGTAGAGAACTTGGCCTTGTCTTCGATACCTCCGTGGTAGGCGCGCTGTGAGAGCGTGTATTATGGTGGTCTTCCCGCTCCCAGAAGGCCCCATAATGACACTAAGTTCACCTTGTCGGAATGTGGTGTTGATTGGTTTGAGGATTGGCAGTTCATGACTGGGACTCCATAAGGCTTTCAAGTTTCGCCTAGTCAGAGTTAGGGCAAATCTGTTTAACTGGATATCCACACCTGGGGCACGTGGTGTTGGGGTTAGAGGTTGAAGCTCTGTACTTTCAATAATGCCAGGCCTGCGGCTCGGCTGGGGGTCCGGAGTCATGGTAGCTCCCATTTGAGGGCGCTGAAGCAGCAGAGCAGCCACCAGAGTGTAGAAGATAAGAAAGCCGAAAGAGGCCACAATAGGTTGCCAGATCCAATCGCGAGGAAATCCTAAGCCTGCCATGACATCTTTCCCATAAGACTCTGTACAGCCGCCTGTCGAAGAATTGGCGATAGTTGAACAGCTATATAGATGCCCCCGTGGCGTCTGCTCCGGACCAACAAATTCAATGGCACATAGCGCGCTGTAAAGGTAGAAATTATGGGCTATCCATTTTGACCATCGCAGCCAGATCGGTATTTGCTCTACATGTACTAAATAACCGCCGGATAAGCTTTGCAGAGTATAAAGCAAATTTCCAATCAGACCAGCTATTGCGAAATCGCGGGAGATCGCAATCGCAAGGACAGCGGCAGTGAGAGAAATATAGGTGGCTAGAACCAGTATCAGCAAGAAAAGGAAAGCCTCGGCTACAGAGCGCCAGAGGCCAACAAGAAAATAGAATACTATAAAAGATATGGCAGGACCTGGGATATCCTCGAGAACAAGTCGCGCAAGCCTGCGACTTATCAGGAAGGCTGCAACACTGATGACTCCTTCCTCTTGCTCTCGATCGAACATTCGTATATCATATGAAAGCCGAAAAATCTCATAGATTAACAGTGGGTACCCGTATATATTCAGCAATGAGAAAAGAGCTCCCTGTCGAGACCAAAGTCCTTGTGCACTGCTGTCAACTTGATAGAAGGCAGCACCGGTCACTATTCCCAGTACAATTGTGATCGATAAGCTACCGAATAGGTTCATAGGACCCCTTAATGTTGTCCGTATAGTGCGCCGCGTAAGCACATCCAGCTGACGGGAAAGCGGCACAACTGGATGGCGAGAAGTAGATGAAGCATGTCGGACAACTGAGCTACCGCACGGGTAAACTCGGCAGCTATCGACTATAGTGCACTGCGCTGCTTTCCACCGCTCTTTCAGGTTGTTAATCCTTGCTGCTGACACCATCGCTAAGGCGTCTGCTTCAGCTTCCATGGATACGAGGTCAATCAAGATCTCAGCTGGGTTTCTCCATGCGGGTATGGAGTGGCCAAATTGCTCAAAATAGTCGCGAACTGAAGAACTCGGGCCATTGTATAGGACATGGCCCTGAGAGAGTAGCAGGACATGATCGAAGAGCTCCCATATTTCAGGGCGCGGTGTGTGAATCGCAACGACGACGGTTCGGCCTTCTCCTGCCAGATCTTTCAACAGCTGAACGATGTGATGAGCATTGGCTGCATCTAGGCCGGTCGTGGGCTCGTCGCAGAATAGACAAGAGGGATTCGCTAAGATCTGAACGCCGAGGCTCGTCCTTCTCTTTTCACCACCACTGCATCCGGCCCCTGTTCCTTCTCCGATTCGTGTATCCGCACAGCCCGTTAGACCAAGACGAGAAATAAGTCGATCCACTACATGAGAGCGATATGCCGTATCGTTAGACGGCATGCGAAGGTCGGCTGCAGTTTGTAAGGTTTCTCGCACTGTCAGAGATGGGATAAGAAAATCATTCTGTCGGAGATATGCGGATCCAATTGAGTGTATATCACGAGAACACGTATAGAATATATCGCCCGTGACGGTAATTCCTCGAGCAGATAGCTGGTTGCAGAGGGCATTAAGCAAGGTTGTCTTGCCACTTCCGCTTGGCCCCAGTATCGCAACCAGGGAGCCGCTTGGGAATGTAACAGAGACGTCATGTAAGATTTGATTCTGCATCCCACTATGGGTGCCTCCCAACTTCTGTTTCCGAAATTGTATGGGGGCTAACCATCCGCCAGTAATGCTGTTGACATGCACAGAGAGCCTGTCGACATGGATGTCGACGGGGTCAACAATGGGTAATGCCGTGCTATGAGTCGGCATCTCTATACCACCCCTCTCAGCTTCAACCATCGTGCAGGTTACAAAGGTTGATCCAGAGAGAGGTTTGTCATGCATTAAGATCCTATGAAGCGAGGCCGGCCATGAAAAGGATTTGCTCCTCAGGTATGGCACGAAGCACAACAACAATGAGCGCGGAGGAGTCGATAGCGGATAACTGTAGGAGTGCCGTAGGCTGGGAGGTCAGACTCGAAAGTCATGCCGTACTTGCATTGTGAAACATCAAGGGAAAGTGCACACGAGTATTGTCTGGATGGATTTGTTTGCCCACTAAGTGTATTAATAGTAATTCTTCTTTTTGGATAACGTGGCGGCGCGATCGGACAGGTCAGATTACGATCCAGTTACTCGGTACCTGGGCATTCCAGAACTAGGAGGATCATCCCCTCCCTCACCAAGTGAACGCAAGGGGCTTGAAGGTACCAAAAAGAAATCTTCATTCGGAGAGGATCGGCGGCAAGAAGGATAAGCTCTAGAGGTTTAGCAGGGTTTTCTGGTGTGAAGACGCCATGCAAAATAGGCTAATCATATCCATGCATTTGACACACAGATGTACTTCTTCAGGTATTTCCCAGAGCAAATGCCCTCATGTCAACTCTCAAAAGTAATTGTACCAATAGCATACTCTCCAGCTGGTGGCTGTGTAGAGTGAACTTGGTGCCTTGAAAAGCCTCATATGCGTTTATACTTAGTCTATCGCCCTTTTAGGGTGACCAGTATACGTAGATGCATGTGCTGAATTATTGTCGTGCAGGCTCCGTTGGCCATTGACTTCAGTTGGCAAGTTCGTCGGTACTTATTAAGGTGCTAGGGTTTACGTCATTACCATTACAAGAGCGATAGTTATACGCGACTGGTGATCTAACTTTGCATGTCAGGCGCTTTGAATTTGTTGCTCACCGGTGAATGGGGCTATCACGAAGTCAGACATTACGGAAGTGTGCAAGTGGTGTGGATTCGAATGGGCTACATGTTAGTTGTCTGTAAAAGCCTGGTGCTTTATATGCCCGGTCCTGCGATTCAGTGGCTTGTTCCTTACAGTGTGACCTCAGTCATTGGGTTGAAATCTACTTTGGCGATTTTTGAATCTTGGATCCTGGCAATGAAGGTGCTGTTGAACGCGAGTTTTAGAGAAGTCCAGAAAACCTTCCCAATGTGGAGCAGTCGAATGACCATAGCGACGGTTCATGGCAGGCTGGTCAGCTTATGTATCTAGAAATAGACTTCTTGAGCAAACATAGTTCCCACTCATTCCATCTCGATCCATTCCAGAGGATGTGTAAATCGATTAGGTTTCGCTATTCTGCAAGGGGTCGTCCGATGCTTTCGGACCATATACTCCGTACGCATGAGTCATATTCTCAACCCTGCGATTGCAATTGTTAGTGGACGATCTTCATCTCTCGGTCAATCTCGGATTAGTGGGTCGTAGATCCTGAGGATGACGATCCCATGCTCGCTTACTGCATGAAATAAACACTAGTACATACTGTGTACACAATTATCGCCAGTGCTGTTATTTGCCAAGTGCGAGACGGGCTCCAGTGCGTATCTGGCGCTCCGCCATGCTGCATGGAATTCTTGTTACAGCCCCATTATACACTTGTTGTCGGGCCGCATCCACTCTGGCATTCTGAACCAAATTCTTATAAATAACCAAGCAATACCCTGCCTGCGTCATACTCTTGCTACTGTCAGCGGGGCAGAATAGCACCCTGCTGTTACGACCATGATCAGAAACAGGGTTATAGCCCCTACAATAGAATGTCATCATGTCCTGCTGAATAGGGGCATCAAGATATAGACTTCAAACGCCGTCTGGGGGTGGAGAAAGAAGACTTTTAGATTTTCTGGATTTCCAAGCAAGGGCGTTGTGATTGTCTCGCCGCTGTTCGCCATCTCCCTCTACATATGCCCTGAGCACTTTGATGGTGCCATGCGGATAGCCACGCTGGAGCTAGTTTGATCAGCCGTGCATTTTTTTTTTCTATAGTACCTACCCGGCCCAACCAGCCAGGTGACAATATCATATGCCACCTAGGCCGCTACGCGGGCTACTAACACCCGCAAGACACATTTGTCCGTACAGGATGAATGGACTTGCATAATGGCTCGTCACAGGTGGCACATTAGCGATATTCACAACAGTGAATGGTATTGAAGTGGCCGCTAGTGTGCCTTAAACTGGGGTGGAATTCTCCTTGCAGCGAGGATCTACGCAATTGCGTTTACTATGATTTCATAGTTGAATGTCCTGGCAGTCTCCCGCACAACGGTTGTTCGTGTCCGCATTGCTTTCTTTATATCAACTGTGACCACGTTGCACAGACCGAACTTGTTTCCATTTCACCCTTTAAAGCACGCATCTGACACGCATCCTTCGATGGGAAATATCTTAATATCGCCCAGAGCGAACTTTATGGCTTGAATGATGACGACAACAACAATATAGAAAGCTATGTGCTCTTCCCAAGGTGGTCATGCCCCATGCCTTGCAGCGATGTCAAGACTGTTGAAATCGAAAGCCAACCTTTAGATGAGAGAGTCCAGCGAAAGATGGATGACCATGGAATTTTGAAAAGTGGTGATGAATCTAAACAAAAGCGCCCTTATATGCCTACTGTCTACACTCTAATCCCTACGGGATAAAGGCCACATATTCCTATCCTATCTCCTATCACCAACTACATTCCCTTTGCTGTCTACCTTTGTTTGTCGTTTTACCAACCTGATTACTCCATAGTTGTGATACAAGGGACACCCTTACGTTTGGTTTGAAGTACGAAGTTAGCTTTGTATGGATATGCGTAACCCTTCATAACAAGGAAAATTATTATGTACGAACCTCCCTGCAATAGAAAATTAACCCCATCATAGTAGCTGTGTCGGGCGAAACAAAGTAAACCACAAGGTGATCAATCGTGGAATTTGAGTAACCAGCCCCCGAACCGTCTTGGTGACCATCCAACCTGGTAAGACTCGCAGCGGCTTGCAATCATCTTGTCCTTCGTGAAGGGCCAGTGGAAAGTGTGACAGTGGATTGAAACTGTTTGTTACGCGCAGTCTGCGACCGGAGAAAGCCTAGGTTAAGCGCGCTTGTATCTAGTACACTGTGCCCAGCACGGTGTGTGGGGGATTGTTGAGTAACTCAAGCTAGCTGGTAACTATTGGAGTTGGTTAGGATGGCAGGGAAACTGCTACACCAGGAGCGGAGGCTCGCAGAAGTAGCCACCGTCGCGTCGCAGAGGGCATTACTTTCTTTTGCAATAGTTACAATTCATGTATTTGAGTCTAGTGTATTTGAACATTGGAACTCAATTCGACCGATTCCCGGTGAATGTGACGCCCTTTGAACTTCCTCATCCTGGGTGTATATCAGAGAGCACAAGGTAGGCAACAGAACAGGTAGTCAGATATGCCATAGAACCGGTTAATCCAACTTTTGTCACCTACAGCAAACAATATCGGTGGCCTCAAAATATCTCACAACCTACAAGATAAACCAGATGGCAGTATTATATGCCGCTCCCTCCAGGATCCCCTCTCCCTCGCTCTAGTAGGATATTGGCCTCGGTGGTCTAATTACTTCGGCTATGTAGTTCTTGGTGGCCGTCCTCCTATTCGCGACATTGCAGTCATACAAAATGATCTACAGAGTCCAGGCTTAACGTTCAAGAATTCGGATATTTGAATGATGGAGTTAGACTCAAGCATGGAAAGCGCCAATGTGATTCCGGTTATTTCATCTACTACCCATCACTTTAAGCATTTGCTATCCCGGCTAGGTCTGAACATTATTTTATGATTTGATTTTGACATACCGCTTCTACCACTACCGATTCAAGAGACAGACAGAGCTCTGTCGGCTCCAAAATGAACAACGCAAGTTATCCCGAGGTAGAAACAGTTAACTGGGAGAGCTTCATATCTCAGGGGTTATTGTAGAAGCTGCTCGTTGCGTACCTTGCGTTGAATGCTGAGGGCTGATTATTGCCATACGGAAGTCATGTTCGGTAAGATATAGTAACATTTGTAGTTAGAAAGGGGACCTGGATCAGTTATGTCATGAATGACTTTATCCCGATGCAATTATAGTCTAATTAGAGCGGCAAAGCAATTGGTGCACCAGTATTCGGGTCTTCAACAGTGACCTCTGCAGTTTTCTTCAGCTGATCCCAGGACTTCTGAAACCGAGCATGCAAGACGGGTTCATTGTTGAGCGGTGCAAGGAAGGCAATACTGTTCATCACAAAATGAGCTATGCGAACTCGAGCATTTATGAGGAAAGGGAAGAATTGAAAACCCAAGGCACAGTAAATTAAAGATTCGGAGTGCGAGGGGAATGACACATACGTGAGCTCAGCAGCAGGCAATCCGCTATACTGCGGTTCGACCCAGCGGTTCAGATCTGGATTTTGCCCGGGGATCCCCCACATATATGTTCCAATCTAGATGTTAATATAGTTAGTTCTGAACTCCCTCACGCCATCGGAGTTTGTGCTTGAATATACTGTCTGTAGTTGTCGTATGCTTCTGCGGCACGCATCGAGCCGTCGACATCCTCCCTACTGGGAGTTTGACCAGCAACTTTGATCTTCTGTGCTTCATTAGTATGAGCCTAGGTGTTTGGGTTGAGTAAGCTGAATCCTACATAAAAGCTAGACATGGTAGGCGATTGAAATAACGAAGTTTGACTTATGGGAAGTGCAGGAAGAAACGATGTTGATGGACCATTTATACATCGATCATGAAGAGCCCCGCCCTCCGTACAGCTGAAATGTGGAGCATGTGATACTTTCAGCTTTGCCTTTCTAGGTTTGTGGCGTATACGATAAGTATATGATCGTCACTCAATGTCCTCGACAGTGCGTAGCATCATTACTTATTGACTCATCGCTCGAAGCGACCCACACACCAGCATATAGCCTCCTCCCGTTGCCGATGATGAGACCATTTCCGGCTGGATAGAGCAAGGTGAATCATCTAGGGAGAAATGTCCCGTTGCGATGGACCTCTTCTCATGATTCATAGCGTAAATAGTAAGCAAGCTGCACCGCTCTGTATTCCACACAGATCGACCATTCTAAAGATGACATTTAGGGCGCTGATCTGTATTGATAGCGAATAAGGCATGTTCGCACCAAGTGGGACCAAACTAACAGTTGCTCGCCTACGCTGTAGGTACAATCCAGTATATACACTGCGGACAACTTTGGTCAGCCACGTAGTAAGTTATTCACTACGATCACTATTCCCTTTGGCCATATCATGATGCGCTTCCTTCCCGTCAATTTGACGACAATCCTCGTGGAGCTCCCAGGTCTCCAGGAGACTCAGGCGCTTCATGCCTCGCTTCAGTCCTGCCCAGTGGATGGTGTTGAGGAGATGATTCCTGCTGCCCGCACCCTGCTCGTGCACTTTGATCCTGAAAGCTTAAGCGTGGAGGCCTTAGCAACCGAACTTCAGCAGCGAGACCTTTCCCTCATCAGCCCCCGATCGGACTGTCAGATAGAAATCCCCGTCTGTTATGACGGCGTGGATCTGGACAACATTGCAAAACTGACCGGCTTCAGCGTGGAAGAGGTCATTCGTCGCCACAAGGAGAGCGAGTTCACAGTGGCATTTTGCGGTTTTGCGCCCGGCTTCAGCTATCTCAATGGCGGCGATCCTGCCCTGTTCGTGCCGCGCCATCAGACTCCACGGACCCGCATCCCAGCTGGCTCCGTCGCCATGGCGGGGCCCTTTAGCGGCATCTATCCACAGAGCAGCCCAGGTGGGTGGCAGCTCATTGGCACGACCTCGGCCAAAATGTGGGACACAAATCGGACCCCAAGCTCGCTTCTTCAGCCGGGCTATCGGGTCAAATTTGTGCAAGTGGATGATCTTGAAACCGCTGGAGTTAATACTACACCTTCTTCAATTGAAAGTGATACTGCTCCTGCTTCTGGATCTATCAATAGCCAGGAAAAGGCAGCGCCGAGCCAGACGTTCTGTCACGCCAGCCCACATTTCAAAGTTTTGACGGCGCCAATCCCGGCTCTTTTTCAAGACCTCGGCCGTCGCGGTCAAGCGAATCAAGGTGTTTCTGGCTCCGGTGTATTAGATCGATCGGCGTTCCGAGCTGCAAATTGCATAGTGGGGAACCCAGCTGGCACTGGATGCCTGGAACTTACGCTAGGTGGCTTTTCATTTGAGAGCTCCGGTCAGGCGGTGATCGGCTGCGCTGGGGCACCCTGTCCCATCACGATTGAGGATGCAAAAGGCCGGACCACAGAGATAATACAGAATCATCGGCCGATTTCTCTGGAGTCGGGGGATGTCGTGACATTCGGGCATCCACGCACAGGGATGCGAAGCTACCTGGCCGTCCGCGGTGGCTTTGAGATCACTCCAGTCTTGGCCAGCGTCAGCACCGACACATTGGCTGCTGTGGGGCCCAGTCCAGTCACCGCTGGATCTGTATTAGCCTTGAGGAACGCACGGAAGGGACTCACAAGTGTTTCGATCCACGAAGCCCCAGCATTTACTCTACCCTCTGCAGTTGACGTGGTGACTCTAGATGTCGTGCTTGGCCCTCGCACAGATTGGTTTACACAACAAGGCCTGGACACGTTCACTGAACAGCGCTGGAAAGTGACTGCAGATTCAAGCCGAACTGGGATTCGCTTGTCGGGAGATGTTTCGATAGAGCGCAAAGATGACCAGGCAGAACTACCCAGTGAGGGTACGGTCAACGGAGCTATTCAGGTGACCCACAATGGTCAACCTGTACTATTTCTTGCCGATCACCCACTAACAGGTGGATATCCGGTCATTGGGGCTGTTGCTGAATACCATTTGGATCTCACTGGCCAGCTACCGGTGAACACAATGGTGCGGTTTCGTGCTATTGGGCCCTGGTCAGAGATTCAGCCGCAAAGCGATCTGACCCATATTGCATAAGTCATCCTCTTTCCATTCTGAGCATTGATTGACAGGATCGGTGACCAGCAAACATACCATTGGTCATAGAAATCTTCGCAGTGGGCACAAATGCAAAGCAAATTTTAAATGAACGAAACATCGAGGAAGGTGGAGGAGGGCGAAGCATATGGTTGAGAAACTCGAGTGCTATTGTTTGCTCCTTCTTCCAATAAAGTCTATCAAATCATAGAATAATACAGCAATGAGGAAAGAAATAAAGAAAGTATTGATTGCGAATCGCGGCGAGATCGCGGTGCGCATTATCCGTGCTTGTTACGATTACGGCGTCAGATCAGTGGCGGTATACTCAGACCTGGACGTGGACTCGCCTTTCGTTCGCCTTGCCGATGAAGCCTATGGGCTGAAGGGATTCCAAACAGCCGATACCTACCTCAATATCGATAAGCTTATTGCTGCGGCGAAACAGTCCGGAGCAGATGCCATTCACCCAGGATACGGGTTTCTATCTGAACGGGCGGACTTCGCTCAAGCAGTCCTGGATGCAGGGCTGACCTGGATCGGGCCTGATCCAAGTGTGATTGAGGCACTTGGTGATAAGGTTGAGGCGCGACGCATTGCGCTACGCGTGGGTGCACCGCTGGTAGCCGGCAGCGATGGCCCTGTGTCGATGGCAAAAGAAGTCGTAGCCTTTGCGAGACAGCATGGCCTACCAATTGCGATAAAAGCTGCCCATGGAGGTGGTGGTCGCGGTTTGAAGGTGGCTTGGAGGATGGATGAGGTAGCAGATTGTTATGAATCTGCCGTCAGGGAGGCAACGGCGGCCTTTGGCCGCGGGGAATGTTTCATAGAACGATATCTCGACCGTCCGCGACATATCGAGGCTCAGGTTCTAGCTGACAAGCATGGTAACGTGGTCGTGGTCGGAACGCGCGATTGCTCCGTACAAAGACGACATCAAAAGTTGATCGAGGAAGCTCCGGCTCCATTCCTGACAGTGGGGCAGCGGGAGGAGATTCAGAATGCCGCTCAGTCAATCTGTGCTGCGGCTGGTTATTCCGGTGCTGGCACTGTGGAATTTCTTTTAGGAGTCGATGGCAGCGTCTCCTTCCTAGAGGTCAATACCCGACTTCAGGTTGAGCATCCTGTCACAGAGGAAACCACAGGACTTGACTTGGTCGTGGAGCAGTTCCGTATTGCCGAGGGACATCCGCTAAGCATCTCGTCTCCCATTCCTCCCCGGGGTCATTCCATCGAATTCCGCATCAATGCAGAGGACCCGGGTCGAGGGTTCCTACCAACCCCTGGCCAGATCACGACTTTTCAGCCGCCTTCTGGCCCCGGCATCCGTCTAGACAGTGGTGTCGTTCAAGGGTCGACCATTCCGGCTGTTTACGACTCCCTAATGGCGAAGTTGATCGTCTCCGGCGCAACCCGTGAGCAGGCACTGCGTCGTGCCCGTCGTGCGCTGAAAGAATTCCACATCACCGGGGTAGCGACAGTTCTCCCGTTCCACACTGAGACGCTTAACTCTGACGATTTCCTGGGTACTAATGGCTTCAATGTGCACACGCGCTGGGTGGAAACTGATTTCTCGGCGACACTGGCCCCCGCTCCACGACCGGACCCAGCACCTGAACAGGAGCTCATTCGGACTCATCTGGAGATTGATGGCAAGCTGGTATCTGTGGGCCTACCAAGCCTGCTCCTGAGCGGAATCGGGTCGGTAGCATCCTCTTCACCTAGTGCCAACAAACAAAAACCAAAGAAAGATAGCGGAGACATTCTAGCACCAGTCTCTGGAACGCTTCGAGCCTTCAAGGTCCCTGACAGTACGTGTGTCCGTAAGGGCGATGTACTGGCAATGATGGAGGCGATGAAAATGGAAACACAAGTCACTGCACCGAGAGACGGGATTGTCCGCCTTCTCGCCAAAGAGGGTGAATATGTGCAGGCAGGGAGCGTGATACTTACGTTTGAGCAAGACGAGCTCATGTTCAAGAATTGAAAATAGACTAATACCAATATTTAACTATGACAGATAATGGCAAACAGCCATATATAAATTCTGCTTCAATGAAGAGTGTAATGGGTGGATTGCATTGCCTGCATAAACCATGGTATAATTCTCCATTGTCTTTGGATTATTGCGCAGGAACTATCAAGCGAAGAGCATAACGATGAAAGGAACATGCACCAAGAAGCAGTCACCTAAAGTACGTGTCCATGTTTCAATGACCATAGGGCCTTTTGCCTTTTCCATCGAGAACCTCGGCAAAGAATTCACGAAAAGAGATTGGTTTGAAGTCGGGATACAACTCTCTCGCATCAAGGTACCCGAGATATTTTGCATAGCGAGGCTGATTATCCTGGCGAACATACTTGCTATATGTATATTGTGTAATATAAACCAAGGTCCGCTTGCTTGGATCCCCCGGATCAAGAGAAAGGGAAGACTGGGCATCATTGAGTCTTTTCTCACTTTCTTCAATCGTCTCCTGTAAATAGATGTAGTGAGTATATATCCTACAATATCCAGGGCATACGCACATATTGTCTGTCAACTTTCTCGCCCGACAGGTCCTCAACGATATCGATGATCTCGTTTTCAGTCAAAATATCACCCCAAGTATAAACATATTTGTCCACCGTTCGATCATCGGCGATAATCTGTGCAACAAAGCGGCCAATATCACGGACATCTGTCAGTATATTGGGGGCATTGCCGTCACCATGGATCGTCGTGTTTGGCACCAAAGCTGCGTAGTCAACGCGCCCAGATGGTATGCAGGGGAAGGAGATTTGATGCCAATACCCAACGTCGATGACTGTGTAGGGAAGTTGTAATCTTTTGATCTCATTGTATATAACCTCTTTCTGATCATGGTTTCACATATGTTAGACAGCCATTGGGGGTTCATTCTGTTTCTTTGTAGTCATATGGGGGCACATACCTCATCGCGAAGCAACATTGTCCCTTGTGGTGGGGCAACTGTGATGAATGCACAAGGAATAAACCGCTTGATACCCGCAGACTTGGCAGCTCTCACTAACGTCTTTTGCTGTAGGAGGTCGTGAGGCCCAATGGCACTGATCAAAATGTCAATACCTTGCAAGGTGGAAACAAGCTCTTGTTCCGAGACATTTAAATCAGATACACGCAGTGGAACACCACGATTCTTGATCTGCTGAACAGATGGTTTCTCCACGGAGCTAGGCCGTACAAGAGCCTCAACATCCTAGACGTGTAATGAACAAGGTTAGCAACAGAAGGAGTTGACCTTATGTCAAGAAATTGCATTTTCAACGAGAGGGGTGAATGTGATAACATACAAATTGGTTGGCCCCTAATAGGCCATCTAATATGGAACTCCCCGTTGCACCAGTAGCCCCAAGGAGCAACACCTTTTGTTTCGTAGACATTTTCGCCGACAGTAAGTCATAAGACGAAAACCGATGTTTTAGCTATAAGTCGGTGTATAAGTGTATATACTAGCCCTATGTCCTTTATTTAAAGTAGCTACAGAGTATGAAGTCATGACCATAGCTAAGGAGATAAGCTTATCAATCATTAATAATCAATATTCATGCCAGCTTAAATCTTCGAAGCCAAAAGCGTGAAGGCCTTTTAAGTGTTTAGCCGGCATGTGCACTGGGTCCACTACATAACTTTATGCCCACAATTCACAACACAGGCCACCTGTTGACATTGCACAGTTTAGTGACGTCAATGAGGTACGCTGAAATCGCGGCCTTAGAAATAAGGCGGACAATAGATAGCGTATTTCCTTTAACAATCTGTAGTTGGAACCTCGTAATGTGAGCCCGAGTAAAATCAACACTCGCCAAAAGGATACCACTGTGGCATACCAAGAACCAATAGTACGAGCAAGACAATTTGAAGGGATAAAACCCTTCAAAATCTGAACATATCCGTAACATATCATCTTGTTTTCAAGACAGCTGGGGTTAGTCAAGCCCTTGTGACCATGTAGGAGGGCATTAATTTGCTATTATCCTCGGGGTTTGTGGCTGCGTATCCGGTGTAGCATTGGATAACAAGCAGGATAAACGGAACTATTGACGAAGCATTTATCTGGGGTTATTCTGGGGAAATTCGCTTCCATCAATCTACTAATCTAGCATCCAGTTTCCCTCGTTGTACGACCTCCATGGCAATCGATGGACGAACTCGTTGGCCAGGGCTGACTACTACAACTAAATATTGTCAAGTCATCCCGACCACTTGCCTTATTTATAGTCAAGACCCACAGCTGTGGAGGTTCTGATTGGTGTGATACTGGTTGAGGAAAGTGATCTCGGACCCACTCCAACTATTCGGGAAATCAGATGATGGTTTGAGGATCGATTGGGAAGGCAAAGGGATGATATCAAAATCCTGGGACATTGGACATCACCTTCCTGATGCAAAATCCCCGCGTTGAGATACAATGTATTCCCCGTCTGACGGATTTATAAATCGACCTCATGATCCTCTCCAGATCACCATTGCTGTATCAATCACTGGAAAACATCCACCAAAACAGGCTCTACTTTTCATTTATAGTCACAATGCCTGAGACTCTTGACCTATCTTTGCTGAAGGGTACTCCCGAGCAAAGGGAGCAGATCTCTGCGGAGCTACTCCATGGTCTAAAGACTCGCGGTGGTGTTAAATTGAAGAACCACGGTCTTCCAGACAAGCTCGTTCATGAACTATTCGACTGGGTGAGTTAGGTGTGTTTTATCAGTCCCAGAATAAAGCTGATTTCCCCAGACTCGCAAGTTCTTTGCCCTTCCGCATGAAGATAAAATGCTGGCCAAGCACCCTCCTGAGGCAAACCCCAACCGGGGCTACTGCTACGTTGGACAGGAGTCCATCTCGAGTATTAGTGGCTATGAAAAGGGGCTTCCGCAGGGACGTTTCATTCGTGATATCAAGGTATGGCTTGGTTTAGCCGTATTCAGACCATCACACACTAAGAGCGATACAGGAAACCGTCGACTTCGGCTCACCTCGCGATGAGCTCGTAGACAACATCTGGGTACCTGAAGAGAAGCTCCCAGGTTTCCGCAAGTTCATGGAAGACTTCTACGAAACATGCTTCAAGCTCGAGCTCGAGATTCTCGCTGCTCTTGCGAAGGCACTCGGCGTCGACGAAAACCAAATGGTAGCCCTGCACAACAAGGCCGAGAACGAGTTCCGCATCCTTCACTACCCAGAAGTTCCGGCATCAGAACTGGCCGACGGCACCGCGACACGTATCGCCGAGCACACCGACTTTGGCAGCATCACCATGCTGTTCCAGGACTCCGTTGGGCGCCTTCAGGTCGAGGACCAGCAAAATCCTGGTGTCTTCCGCGGTATCGAGTCAGCAGACAAGACAGAGATCATTCTGAATATTGGCGACTCGATGCAGCGACTGACGAACGATACTTTCCGCGCTGCGTGCCACCGTGTCACATACCCGCCCTCTGTTAAGGTTGGTACAGAGGCAGTCATTCCTGAGCGGTACTCCATTGCGTACTTTGCGAAGCCGAACCGCTCGGCGTCACTGTTTCCTTTCAAGGAGTTCATCACGCCTTCAACCCCTTGCCGGTACGAGGACATAAATGCATGGGATTTCCAAAATCTTCGCATTTCCAGACTGTTTAAATAAGCATTGTATATAAGTTTACTGCATGACTAGTTTATGGAATACGCGTTTTACCTGAAATATGTCGTTGATGCATAGATCCTCGGAATTTGTCTTAGGCGCAGAGTGGTAGATCCCGATCGTCCTCAAATAGTCCTAAAATGACGACAATCAATATAGCGGACGTCGTGTTGTGTCCGAATCCTTAGGCAACTGTATCTGACTTTTTTGCGGTTTTGTGGACAGGTTATATATTTCTCCCCGGTCCACCAAGGCAAGTAATTCTCGCGCCTCGTTCATTTTCGATGTTATCGGATAATTTAGTCTGGCTGACTAGTAGAAACAAGACCATCTCACATATATATCGTGCTTCTTAAACAATCATGAGCCGAGATTCTGCTGCAATAAGCGAGCAGTTACGTCTTATGGAGGTCGTCGTTGTATGGTGCCTTGACGAGTAATAATATCATAATTTTACTTGGTCCTCAAGTGATAGCTGGTAACATATTGAGCATGACAGACGACCCCTGGACTATGTGGATAGAGAAGACCGCCTGAGCAGTTTTGGATATTACCCCCGTCGCGTTACCGACCCTGGGGGATTTAGATACATTAGTCTATTAACCAGGAAGGTATACCATAATGCACAATCTACGTACTCTCTATTGTCCATATAGGACACCTCCAATATCATAGCTAGTACCCCATTAACACCAGACACAATGGAAACAGATAACTCGCGTCGACCTACTTCTCCCTGTTCAACTGCAGCACCAAGCCAGGAATCTCGACTCCAACAGCGTTTCCACCACCGTCTACCTCAAAAACAAATAAATCCAGCGCACGACCCTGGTACCTTAGCTTATCCACATCCATCCACGAAACACAAGTCGGCGTCCCAGCATCAGCAAGCTCATTCTTATCCTGCAAAACAGCCCTGAACGCCACCCTGGAGCCACCTGATTCCGTGCTCGAAACCAGGCCGGTTGGATACAACCTGATACTCAACGCCTCCGGGTCCTTAACTCCAATCAACGAAGCCAGGGTCTCCCTGAAATCTGTCCCATTACTGACGAACCTGTCGACGAACATACCAGGCAACTTATCAACAGAGACAATAATCGAGGAATTAAGCCCAGAAGAAGCTGTATACTCGCCACCAAACCGAGCCCCGGCCTGCTTAACCGCTGTCTTCATCAACGCAGGCAAGATAACATCGCCGATGATATCAGCGTGCGCATTCAGGTCTGGCGCGGTGACGCTGTCGGTTGCAAGAACGGCGAACCCGACGTTATAGTCTGGCACGAGACCTATGTAGGAGCTGTACTGTCCAATGCTGCTATAATACGTATAGATGTCGATCATAGAGGTGTCGGGGTAATCTCCGCTGCTGTAGATGATCCAGGGGTAGCCGAGGGAGTTGGCTGGGTTGGACGTGTGGGTGACCGGCTTCAGCCAGCGGTTTGATTGAGCCTCGGTTAGGAGGGTTGAGTTGAGGATTGCCTTTCCAGCGGTGGAGAGATCGGTGATTGTTGAGTACATCGCGAGGGCCCTGTATTTCGGATTAGTAGGGTTCTAGGGTTTCAATCTGGGGCGGAGGACTTGCGGTGCGTCTCCTGCATATTGAGTGGACCAACCACTAGTTTTGGGGTCTGTTGGGATGATACCGGCTGAGTTCCTTGAAGGGGTGTGCAGGCTGGTGTTAGTGAGGGCGAGTGGGTGGAGGATGCGACTTTTGAGAACATCGTTGAATGGTTGGCCCGTGACTTTTTCTATGATGTAGCCTAGAATCTGGAATGCAACGTTGGAGTATATGGGGGTTACCCCAGGAGGAGCAACTGGCGGTATATGAGCTAAAGCGCCGAGGGTTTCTGAAGAGCAGATGTATTAGGCTTGGATATAGTATTATGGAGAGGGTTATTGTCATACCGGCTTGAGATGAATTACTCCGTGTGCAAGTACCACTGGTGCCAGCGGACGATGGCAAGCCGTCATCGATGCTGTAACCCTCTTTCTCTATGCCATTCACACAGTCTAGAAGTAGGTTGATTAGGTCGGTACCAGCTGTAATATTGTTATGTTAGGAGTACTCACAGTCCCTAGGCAGGCCTGACATATGGCTGGCTAGTTGGCCCACAGTGATATCCTTCCAGTCCACATATTGAATAGGATCCTGCGTTACATTCGCACTCTCTGTAGTTTCGGCTAGTTCAGGAAGATATTTCGTCACAGGATCATTCCAGATGGTATCCCCGGCCTCAACAAGAATAGTCCAGATGGTGAAGATCTGGGTAAGTCCACCGATGCGGTAGATGCTGTCCTGATTCACATGTTGAATCCGGCTGGATGAGTTGCGCAGTGAAGGAGCAGTGTAATGATAATCGAAGAAGAATGGATCTGCACTGGCACTTCCCTGATTGGTGGAGAAAAGCGATACACTGAACGATGTGGTATTGGGATAGACTTCTCCGTGAGAACCAGACCCCTGGATATATAGTTCATCGAACTGCCCGGTGAGGTTTGCCAGGGCAGATGTCAATGTTGTCGAGTTCTTGTCGAGCGTGAATGCTGGGAATGCTGGCCCTAAGAGTGGGCAGGGAGTAAATGAAGATACGGAATGAATAAGACAAAGGACGGGGAAAATGATAGTAAAATGTGATTTAGACATTTTGATATGCAATAATACTTTTGATGCTTCGTGTTGACAGCGTTATGATGGTTCCCTGAGTTAGGTATTTATTTTCTACTTGTCGGGTCGGAGATGGAACGTGTACAAACCCTGAGGTATTTCGGCCCCAACATTAGGAAGATCGGATCGGAGATGCAACAAGCCTTCACACAAACACTAACACAGCCTCACAAAATGGGGGGCCTTGCACACAAACCAGCATTAGGAAACAATATTAGCCAATGTAGGAAGAAAGAAAGTATTAAATAGAAAGAATGGAGAGAATAGAACCGCCGTGACGCCAATCAAGTACGGGATGGCATATATATAGGTACGTCCCCGTTCAATTTCCGACGGTTGAATAAGGCGAGACAACTTGTTATATCCAACCAGTCATCATGTCCAGATTGGGAGGAAGGAAGAATTCTGCAGCTAATTGGAAATCATAGCCAGTCAATGACGGATCCTCGGGCATGTCTAACGGTCCAACGGTAGTGTCATAGGACAGTCCTGTTGTAGTATCCAGGCCTAAATCTTGCCTTGCGGCAAGGCTCTGAGAAGGATAGGTTGTTTCTGGGCTTTCGAAGTGGTAAGAAAACCAGCCCTGGATGCGAGCAACACGTTTCTCGAAGTCGACAAAGACGTCTCGATCGCCATCCAAATCCACCTGTGGTGTAGATAATGCTGCTAGGCGCTGCCGCAGTCTTCCTAGAGTTTCCGGCCATGTACGACTCTGCGGAATTAGGGCCGCCTTTCCCATGCGTGAAGCTGCGACAATTTGCCTACAAGCAACCAGGATGCAGAAAGCCATTTGTACCCATTGTGTGTTGTTGAACCCCTGTTCGCCCCCTATCGGCAGCCCCATGTACATTTTTAGAATATTATCTGCGGCAGTAAGGCCAGAACAGAAGATCTCGTCCCACCAGGTCTGAGAGACTATGGAACATGCCGACCTAGAAGATAGTGCGCTCTGCTGAGAAAGGCTCAGTTGGTACAAGCATAGCTCTGTGGTATAGAGCTGCATAGCCATAACCGCTGAACAGTCCAAGAGCGCCATTCTCAGCTTACTTCATACGTTAAAGGCGGGTTTAGGGGGATACTCACGAGTTTCATAAAAGTCAACAGGAAGCTGGCCGCGTAATCTATCTAAGTCAGATTTAATGTTACTGACATATAGCTCTGCTGCTGAGCTCGTGCTACCCAGCTCGATGCCGTGTTTCCAAGACAGATTGTTAATCTTTTCCGCGATAACCTGCAATTGGAAAATGTGCATAATGTGTTTGTCATGAGCGAGGTCACCTTCATTGTGTAGAGACTGGCAGCATTGTTCGAGATAAGGCGCTATATTTGGGAAGCAAGACGGCTTGTGTAGAAGGATGGAAATGCTAGATCTTGTCTCAGTACCGTCGGTGTTTTACGACAAGAGGAAACTTACGTGGATGACAAGTAATAACATCCAACCACGGCTCTCTGCTCCTCAAGGCCCCAGGATGGGCGAACATAGTCTTCATCGTCGAGTGCATATTCTTTATTAAATCTAAGTGCCGTTTTCCATGTTTTCGTTTGTGGTGGTCGATCCAACCGCAGCTCAACCAGAAGACCTATAGCCAGCTGTAGAAACTGCGTATATCGATGGGGTCGCGAGTGGTAATGGGACCTGTCAAGCATAATTAGGGGGTAGGCTTTATAGGTTGTTCGAAGCTAGTTACCAAGCCAGAAAGACCAGCATTCCCTGTAGAAACTCAAATGAAACGTCTCCGCGCATAATCATGCGAGAAGCAATGATTCTCTTGATCTCCTTACCTAGCACTCTCTGCAGTGGCATATTGGAGTATGCCGCAGATGCGAGTAAAGCTAAGAAGAGAAATGGCTTTTCTTGCCGAAGATCTGGGGCAGTGACCTCCGGTGAGATAACAACGAACGGAAAATGTAACGCCATTTCCGTCTTATAAATATCTATGAAAGACTGGGCAGTTTCCATATTTAGTAGACCGCGTGCAATAACGTCCATCCTGTCCTTGTCAGTTTCTTCGCCAGTTGGACTGCATATAGCGTTTTCGAGGACTGTTGGGTTTGCTGGAGTTGATTTGGAGTTAGTCATGAGTTCATTGATCTTTGACTCAAGAGCTTCTATCTGCCTGCGCTGTCAAGTGAGTTATATTATATGCCAATACTTGCACGATGATTGCGTACCGGTCTTTTTTGAAGCCCTTAAACCGCCGACCGGTCTCACGATATATACATTGCTTGTTCAACCGTGCACACCTATACAATCTCAATAAGCTATACATAGACCGCCTTGGCTTTCTTGGACCATTACCGAGAGCAGATATCTGATTCTGCAGTATTCCGTACACACCGGACCTTGGACTTTGCACAATTCTGACAGGTACTGGAAAGCGGCATGATGTTCGGAGGCACCGGTTAAAGTGTGCACGTCCAAAGCTTTCTTATGCAATTTCTTAGCACAAATAAGAACACTAGTAGAAGTACAATTCTATTGCACATGGATTCTGGAGGTCACAACGGAAGTCGGCTCTTGGCAGAGCTCCTTGCACAATATTTACGACAGGAAGCTGGAAGTGAGGCTGTGCAGCGCAGCCAAGCAGCTACTAGTCCACTAGCGGTCATCTACGTTTCCCCACATGCCTCCACACTTCATCCAATGTATATCGTGCGTGTATTTATCAGCTTGGGAGGGCTGCGCATATCTTATGGCTCGTGCAGCTACATTGACAGGCATACCTTCCAGCCATTCGGAGGCGTTGTGAAGTCCGTATTCTCCATAAGGTACCTCACAGACATGGTGCGAACTTGAAGTAGCAATCAAAAAAAAAAAAAAAAAAAAAAAAAACCAGGTCGGCTTAGGCAATGATATAGCGAAGGTCACATGGTTACGCACTACGCTATATTTCAGCAGCGCACAAGTTGGTTTAGTCAGCTTACTGGCAGCCTCGGGCTGCGCTTGTAGATTGCACAGGTTATCTCTCGCCCAGCAATACCGAGATTCGCGTTGGCCGATTGAAGGGAAAAATTGCACTGTCGGAAGAATCTACGAAGGGGAAGGAAGGTCTGGAGCGCGACTGATCACCCGCGAATTACGCGACGGAGGGTGAGAATCCTGGGTGATTAGGCGGTCTCCCCATTCTCACCTCTTTCCCAATTAACCTAATGTGTGTTTGTAGACATTCTCTAACTCTCTAACGTCTTATTCACTCGCTCTTCCAGTCCTGCTTGATGAGGTCCGCTGCTCTTTCCGCAAATGCATACACCGTGGCTTGCAGATTCGCCGTGCTTATAAGCGGGATAGCACTCGCATCCACAACCCTCAGTCCTTCGATACCATAAACCCTCAAATTGGAATCCACCACTCCGTCTCTCTCGCGAGGCAGCATAGAACAGGTCCCCGCAAAGTGCCACATGGATACTAAATTCTCCCGGGCATACTTCTTCGCAGCATCTAAGTCTCCCCGGAAATCTGCAGCTGGGTCACGGAACTTCAGTGGCTGTTCGAGCAGCTCCCCAAGCTGAGGTGACTCTGCTAAGTTTTTGATACCGAGCAAGTGCCGTGCTATGACTTCCAGATCGAGAGGATTCGACAGGTAACCTGGATCAATGATTGGAGGGGTTTCAGGATTGATGGAGTTACTTGTGCTCTTTTTGTCAGATTTCGTGAATATACCGTTTGTTGGGCGGAGGGGTTCACTCACATATAAACGCTTCCGCGGGAAAGCGGCTGAGAGAGCATTACTCCAAGCGTGACAAACTTTCCAGGCGAAGCAGCTGGGATAGTCTCATCATTGAGGTCCTTGGCATAATTCGTCTGCCCTAAGGCGGACAGGTAGGCAGCTGATGGTTGCTTGGAATCAAGAACCGTTGTATTCGCGATGTCGTAATAGGCGCGTGCCGCCCTGTGCTCTTGTGAGTTTTCGGGGGCGTGGTTTATAAATAATGCCTGGAGAGCACTCCGGTCCTGTGGAGGAAGAGGCAAATACGCGTAGGTATGAACCCCGAGTGAAGCTAGGGGCCCAGACTGCGTGGCAGTGTATTCCTGCATTGCCTGGCCGAGGGCCTCAGCCTCTTGTCTTACCAGAGAGTCCTTAGTCTCAAGTTCCGCCTTTGCTTGAAATGCGGTGTACGATATCATATGATCTAGACGTAGTAGATGTTAGTTATATCCGTCCCAAAGCGAGTATACGTCGAAGAGGGAAATGGTTTCGTGTTATTTGACAGTCAAATCAATATAACAACACAAAGGTTTTGAATGTACTAGATCGGAAGCTGCTTATATACCTTGAAGGTTCTGCCCAACTCCGGGAAGGTTCATAACTAAATCGATGCCATGTTTCTTAAGAAGCTCTGCTCCACCAACTCCAGAAAGTTGGAGGATTTTGGGGGATTGAAATGCGCCAGCGGCAAGTATAACCTCGCCGCTTGCCTGAACAGTTTGGGAGGCACCATTGACACTGTATTGGACTCCAATAGCCCTGGGGGACTTGCTTTCGTCAAACAGGACTCTCTCAACAAGTGAGTTCGTGAGAACGTGGAGATTGGGTCGAAGCTCGACAGGCTTATAGTAGGCTGAGGCGGAGTTGCTCCTCTTGCCCTCCGAGTCGATGCTAGCAAGGCAGCTGAATGAGCCTACAGAGCTGTGGATGAACGGATCCCCGGCGTTGTATTGCCCTCTGCTGCGGAACAGTTCGGCCCATGCCTTGCGAATAGGATGCGTCGTGTTGCCAAAAGATGTTTGGATCGGACCTTTCGCTTCGTTCAATTCAGGCCAGTCCTCAATTGCCAGACCCTCTTTGGCATCCTGTGCTACAGTGGGACTGCTGTAGGCCTTGGAGAAATAGTCCTTTAACATGGACCAATTCCATCCGGGGTTACCGAGTGCCTCCCATGAGTCAACAACTCCCTTGAAAGGAGGAACAAAGACGTGTGCATTTAATGAACTGGATCCTCCGAGTGCCTTGCCCTGGTTGAGACCAAGCACTCTGCCATTGAGGCCTGGCTGTAAAAGCAATAAGCCCACACCCTTTATCGACATAGAGACGGCCCTTACCTGTGGGGAAGAGTGGAATTTCCAATCGGCGTCGGATCCAAGTAGTGCGGCATAAAAGATGGGTATGTTGACGCGGGGATCAGCTGTCAAGTCGGCGCCTGCTTCGAGAACCAGCACAGAGGTGCTGGGGTCCTCACTGAGTCGAGAAGCAATCACTAGGCCAGCCGTACCTCCGCCAATAACGACAAAGTCATATACAGCAGCCATTTTGTACTATGGGCAGAATTGGAGAATGTGAAAAAAATCGAGCTGGGAGCGTAGCAAGTGACTTGTTGAAAAGAAAAGGAAGACATGTGGACGGTACTTATTACTATCATAGTAGTAGTAAACAAAGAAACAGATTTGATCCATACCACCCAATGAGAGTACATGGGAATGCTGTACTTGGCTCCACAAATGCCCCTCCTCAATGCATGTGAGATTGTTAAAGTACCATTTCAAATTAGGGCTGACGGGAAAGATGTAACCATGGATCCTGGTGGGTATGCGCCGAGGCTCTCGAGTAGACACAAAGATAGGCAATTGTCCAAGTGCAGCCAAGACATTTCATTGTCAGTTGCATGACTCTTCCCCCTTCCCCTAGGTATCCTACTTCTTTGCCATCCACAATCGTTACTACTCTGTCGGTCACCACCATCAACATTTCCGGCTGACTCAGCATTGGCGAGCGTCCCGCTTGGCGGCCCTATATTATAAGCAGTAGAGTGGCATGACCTAACCGCTGTAACGTAACCTACCCATAAGCAAACCTAACTGGGGTCGGTTAGGCTAAGGTATAAAAGCTAACAACCTAGGTAGGTTAAGATGGAAAACTAGGTTGACCGTAGTTAACCGTGGATGCCTGATAAGGCATCAATCCCATTCAAGAAGTTGGTGGATTAGCAGACATGCTTGCTGAGTTGGCCATTTCAAGGACCAACAAACAAGTCATTAAAGCCTTGATCGATCTGTGGTCGCATAGTGAGGCCGAATGCATACCGTGAGCTTTCAGCTCTATGCTAACTAACTCTAGCGTTGCTACGTGGCTTCGGATATGGTGTGGCACATGGCCACGCCCATTATGCCTACTAAAACCTAGTAGACCAACTTCCACATATCTGCAAAACAATTTGTAACGGCCTTAGTATTCCTGGACAGCTTTTGCAATGTTGAGAGCTACATACCTTAACGGTTGAGTAAGAAGGCCATGTCATCTTTGGGAGAGGTATACTATGAGTTAGTTTAATCATCCTTTTGAAGTTGTACTCTGCAGGTGAACTCCTATTGACCTTCGTACTTCCCAGGAAGCAAATTGAAACAATGCTGCCAGAAAAAGAAATTATGACCTATCACCTACTGCTGGAAGTAGTCCTTCGTCCACACGACACCAATAAGGACGAGCTGCGTCACCCTGCGTCGGAGCCCGTTTTTCAACCATTTCGTAGGGCACCAATGCTCATAGAACGAGATAGCCGGATGTCTATGCACCAAGCATACTGGGTGGTACTTTAAAAGCAGTTGACCTCTACAAATCCTTCCGCATATTCGAACGTTCACGAACGACCCTATATAGTTTCAGAGGCACTGCACGTATCCCGCCCCCACTGACTGTCTTTTTCTACGATGTCATTTCATCAATCTTGTCGGAACATCCATATCGTGCCTGAGCATGGCCACACGATGTTACTGGCTGAAGTTCGCAATATCCAAGGAAAATATATTCCCCGGAAGATTCGTTTAGATGATCACATTGGAAATACTGACGGTAATGCCCCCTTACCGCTCTGTATAGCCCACTACATGAGTGCTGACCGACCAAGGCTGGTTCATCTGGGGTGGATCTAATTTCACTCATTCTGCAAGAAACGTTGCACTAGAGGAAACTCCATGGGGCCCCAAACTTTGCGCCGATCTACCAATGATAAATGGTGGCTCTCGAGGCCGCCAGGGTATGATGCTGTCCGATAAGATCCAGAATAATGATGGCCGTCTCAAGTTCCTCGTGAGTGTAGATAATACTATTGGTGCACAACTAGCCATGCTGATATTCTTCTAGGGGCCTTGAAATTGGCAACTCCAGAGGCAATGCCAGGAAAAAGATCTGTTACAGTGAACCTTGTCATCTCCCAAGACCAGTCTCTCCTACTCTTCTTGTTATTCTTATTCTTTCCTAATTTTTCTTTCTCCTGTCATTCTTCGTCATTATTCTTTTATCACTTTACTGTTATTGTTCTTGTTATTTTCAGAGCCGAACACGAACCTATCTTCGAATAGCTTATATTTTTCTACTATAGCAATACAAGAGGTGTTTAAATTCATTGATGAGTAGAAAGCTGGCGGTATCCATACTCAATGCCAGCTTAACTTCATACTCTTATATACTCTACATGTGTATCAGTACCTCAACGGCAACTCCAAACTCTCTACTTAGCACCTTATCCATACTGGCGTATGCTATGAATTGACTCAGCGCCGTATATCACAAGGTAGCCGACATATATTCTTTCCCATGAGGTCTGTAGCATGGTAATTGAATACACTTGCCTATATCATTCAATCTGACGGATACGAATATAGATACGTTTCTTCAATCTTTGTACAGGTCTTTGAGCTGTAGACGACTCACTATATGTTAATGTTAACTACCCATACTGTTATTCCCTGGTACGTTGTCAGTACAGCGGCGATGGTAGATGGCTAGCATTAAAAGTACTACCAAGCGTATCGAACTGACCTTGGATATTCAACTTGTTGATGTCTGCTTTTAGGGCTGCTCTAAATTCGGGCCTTTTGGGCTTAGGCCTTGGGTAATTGGCCGCGAGGATTTTCTATAGTTGCTTGGAGATAAATATGACGAGCCAGTTGGTTTGAAGCTATCACCGATGCAACTTCGATCGTTCATCTTTGCCCTAGATCTACTAGCTGGCTATATTTCACGGTCGATACTACACTTCTTGTGCTTAGCGACAGTACTACTCATATCGCCAAGAGTATTTGAGGCGCATAAATGATTAATTATTGGCCGTTTAGGAACGTGAAAACTGACTATTGCTGTGTATCAGGCAGCGTCCATCTTACTGGGTTAAGTATAGTTGTTTCACTACGTGATGGAGAAGTGAAAATAAATCATACCTCCCAATTCACCTGATATGTAGTCTGTTTGCGTGACACTCTTGAAAGCTATAAAGGAACCTTCCCCCATCTCCATAATGCTTTCCCATCACTGTTTAGCCCGGCTGTCGCCATCAACCTCCTGCCTGGAGTGGCGTATCCAAAGCTTCATTGCGCTGTCATTATGATCGGTCCTATCGCTTTCATTGATGCTTGTCATTCTCGATGGCATCCTGCCCCCAGAGTGGATGATTGTGGTGATGGAACAGCCTGATGAATTAGGTCACAACGAGCTTGTCTTCCTACTTTCGCGTTTCGAAAAATGTATAAGTTAAGATTTATCACTTGGACCCCCCACTGATATAGAAGGTCAGGGATTTCCCAGCACTTGCGAGCATATAGAAAGGTTCTTGCACATCTCAAACTATCCCTTTCTCCGTCCTTAGCACCCGGGTGTTAAACATGCCTACTCTACTCGAAGTCCTTCCCAGACGCAATCCTGATTTTCTCGAAAGGCGTCCTGCGTCAGGATACGAACGTGCGACGAATCACCTCGCCGTTTCCCTGGACCAACTTCGAACAAGATGTTGAGGTGACGCACTCAAAATTCCAATGGAATCAGCAGATGGTTGACCACCAACAGTTGTCTGGCGAGGTGTCAGAGCTGGAAGGTCCAGTTTGAGCAAACCGCCATCGGAGATGAAACAGCGTCCAAGGCCGCTGGGGCCAGCAATATTGATCAGACGATGTCAGCGGTGTTCCTCTCGCAGAAGATAGATCTCCATGTAAGAGACTTCCGGGCGCCAACGAGCAACTATGATAAAATCCCGGATATAGCGGCAGCAAGTCAGGCCACAGGCGACCTAGGACTTATCGGAGAGCTTAAAACTCCCTGAGTGCAGAATCATGATTTATCAAACGTCTTGCGCAACCATATAAGGCACAGACATTTCTTAGGTGAGTCAGGCTTAGTGACACCTCTGACAGTGGGCCTGGAGGACGTTAATATGAGTCTGTAGGCCAAGTCGCCGAGTATATGCAAGATACCAAGGTTGTATATGGGTTTATCTAGACATACAACCAAACCGGTTTTCTGCGACAGGTGTGCAGACAATCTCCAAAATCATACATACAGCGAAGTTGCTGCGGTTAGCCTCCACCAGTGCGTGTTTCATATCGGATCTCTGGCCGAAACCGCTCATATAGCGGTCAACATCTCGACGAACTGGGTAGGAGAAATGTGAAAGGGGCCATCTTGTCTTGTTCTGGGTCACTGGGAATGTGGGCCTGCCGATGATATATCGATGTTTAATTAGTGGTGGTAAGAAATCGGCAAGGATGCCATCGTCATGTTTTAATGGAGATGTCCACTATGTTGAGTAGATGAAACAAGATCTCAGTCTTATTGCGTTAAGTGAAGTTGCTCATGCTCAGATGTAATAGTAGTACTACATGAAGATCTAGAGGCACGATGAGGTTCTCACAGTGTCAAAGCCACCGCCATACAACACCACACACCCATTTATTACATCACGCTCTTTTTCTGGGTGACTTCGCCTTCATCCAAGTACCAGTCTTCCCACAGATCTGCCTCCCATTCCCACGGGTCGGTTGATAGTTCAAAAGGACCGGCAATATACCTGCACATCGGAAGTTTAGAACAGTGTAAAGAAGGTACAAAGTAAAGGGCTGACTAACAGTTTACCTGTACGCTCGTCCCAGTAAAGCTCTCCCTGAGCATACCAACTTGGGAGGACACCGCTTTTGGCAAGGGCGCTATGTAAAAAGATGGGTGTTAGACACTGAAAAAACGACTTCCATCAGGGTACCCATGTCTATGCAACTTTGAAAGCGTCGCGGATTTGGTCTCTCTTTGGCAATGGAAGTGTGTAAAAAAGTCCTTACCCGATGACTCCTAACTGAATCCTAACTCCTGGGACTTTGCTGAAAGCGATGTAAAACAGATAGCCGCCAGGGGCCCAGCTATCCTGACCTTGGGCTTTTTTTTTGGAGCCGATCAGCGTTGGAGTATGCTCAGAGCCGATGTCTTTCAGGGTCTGACAGCATGTATAGTGCTCGAGTGCAGCAGAAGGGAGGTCGAGTGAGGCTTGCCGGGCTCGAACTTCTGGTGATGCAAATTCTGTTCCTCTGAAAGGAATTTGCATATAGAGTAATACATACCCTTAGTGGCCGGGATTACCAACCTCTTCGCAGTGAAAGAGCGCCCGAGTACATGGAACACGTAATCTGTACTTCATTTCACCCTCCTCCATCGCATACGCGTACTCTTCGACTTTGGAGGTAAGGCGCCACTGAGAAGGGGAGGAATCAACAAAGGCGATAGGATTCAGCACAAGGCTAGGCAAAAGAAAGCTTGGAGACGCCATATGAGCAGTGTGAGTGACGGTCTGGCTGAACAGTGATATAGAGTGATCAGGAAGAGGGGAGAAAGTGTGTTTGTCGTCGCTGAGAAGTCTATATCAGGTGACCATATATCCTGTGAATTTCAGAGTTTGATTCAATTTACATCGCGATTACCTATTAGGCCACCTTTATCTTGCCTACGAGCACGTGGGCACCTGATGCACAGAAATGCTCAGACATCTTGCTCATATATCAGCCAAATATAAGCAGAAACATGACTTGGGCGATCAGCTTTCTAACATCACGTAAATTATCTTACGAGGAAGAGGTGGACTTCTGAGTCCGTCAATGTTTACTTCTCTCAAGCATCCTCTTCTTTGTGGGCCTCTGCCTTCAGATTGTAGGCGGATGTCTCGAGGGAAGCGATAGTGCTAGCGATATTATCATTGGCGTCGAACTTGTCAAAGCTGGATACAGCACCGTGGTAGTCTTTATCGCTTGTCTGTTAGCCGTGCAGACCTATTTATGGATCAACTGCCAAGATATCACCGGTACCAGAAGTATTGGTAGGCACTGTACGTCGTGCAACAGGGAAATCACTTCGAAATGGCCTAACCAGCATGCGATAGGTGCCCAAATCCATGGTTTTGGCCTTGCCGTTTATCATAGTTCGCATTACCTACCTGTGCCTCTCCGTTATTCATGGATCCGATCTTCCATGGAACAATTTGGCTGGTCCAATTGCTCCATTTTTACTTATGGGGCTATTGATGGAATACGCCATCGTTTGTATATATCTTGCCATGGGGTTTATAATTCCCAGTTGGAGAAATGTGCAGGAGAATAACGATGTCACAAACCCCTTCCTATCCTTTTCTGTTTCAAGTTATAGTAGAGTGTGATATTTCTAGGGTGCTCACATTAAAGCATAGCTGTACATTGGTAGAACCAAACTTTCAGCCCGTAAAATGTGCTGTCTTTTAATATTTTACATTTTTATACTGTCACAATTGGTACCACTTCACATTCGGTTTCCATTAGGGCATTCCCCTCTGTCATTTGAATGGGTCAAGGGTTTGATGTGAAATAGTAGGTAGGAGCGGTGTCGAAATAGGTTTTGGGGAACCCTAATTCAGATATTGAATATCGATCGAAAATTTTCTCTGTCTTTTATTTGGAGAGATGTTCTGTCTCACATTTTGTAGTTAGGGGAAAGCTCACTTCTTCCGTGAGTTTTCTAGTCGAAGGATATCTATGATGACCATCTTCTCGGTCTTATATAAGAGATACATGGAACCCTTGGTGCAACTGTAAGGCCTTGATTGAAAGTATGAAAGTTTGGTTATGTACTTGAGTTAAATACAACGGTTGAGAGGGTACTCCTGAATAGCATTCCACTATTAATGACATGGATCATTACCTAAAGTTACTATTTTGAAAATCATCTAAAGCCCCTCTGGGTGAGGCTGGCATTCTGCCCTGTGCCAGACGAAGTTGAGTCTGTTGTACAGAGTCGTATTCATACCTTGGCAGTGCAAATCCCAAGCCCGATCTCATGTTGGTCAGGCAGCGAAGCCTTGGCTCATTCAGATTCAGGAGAGCTCCTGAAGCATCAACCCACTGCTTTTCGCCTTACCAGATGTAATCTCCTGCGGTCAAACGTGCGTCACTATGCATGCAGGGCCTAGTAGGATCTGCTCACTATGTAGGAGTACTCAGCTGGGGGTATATTCGCATCAATAACCGCGATAAGTGCAACTTTCCTTCTCTTCTTGAACTCTATCGTTCTTCTTCTTGCCGTTCCTGAGATGTATGGTCGAGAAGCGGCTTGATTCAGCGAAAGAACCACTAAGATACAGGTCATCCAGGTATGCAAGCACGGCCTTGCAGTTGTGAAACAGGTTCCCTTGAGTAATCAGTCAGCATAGAAATGTTTGTGCCACCATATTACTTGTGACATCCCGTGAAGTTAAAACAAACAAATTTAACAGTACAATAACCTCCCTATCACTCACGTCGTATTCTCCTGTGCTGTTCTGCAGTACTCCTATATCTATCCCTGATGGACCTCTGAGCTCTCTACCACATCATTCTTAATTATATTTAAACCCCGTAGCAGCCTCACGATCAGGGATGTAAGGTTTCTGGGGGCTGGTGCCACTTATGTTTCTAAGTATATCTGACAGAGGCATAAAATCTACAATAAAACATGGTGTATACTTGTATATGCGCCGTGGTCTGACCGCCGTCTTTAGGTCATCAGGGCGCGGCAATATAGGGAACCAGTGGTCATCCTCGATGTTTTAATTTGTCATTGTCAGCGTACGCAATATCATCCCATTGGACTTCACAGTATCACCCGATTTAATTCCTCAGAGCCAGTTACCTGTTCGCATTGAGTACGACTTCGCCTATTCGGAAAGATATTCCCTTGTGACCGGTCACACTCATCTTCGAGACTTGTTATGGATACCCCGATCTCATGTTGACATTGCAACTAAGGGGATTGAAGGGGCATAGTAAGGGGTAGGGGTGCGGCAACTTCAGTCGCTGTAGGAGCAGCTTTTTCACGGGTGTGATACATATATATTGCGCTTCATCAACTATGGCAAACCGATTTAATCGACAGAGCACACTTGTACCGAAGTCTTACTTGACTTGGAAGTTTTCCTTGTGGCATGACGACCCTACTTCTTCCACTTGTCCTCGTGGCCCTTGCGGCGAGTCTTCAGCAAACTGCTCCACTAGTAGCAAGCCCCTTCTCATCTGGGGCAGGTCTCCTGTCTCGAGGAGTCTCAGGTCACGAGCAGTTCAATATCAACACTGACTACTATTCCAAATGCCCAGAAACTGGAGTTGTGAGGGAATACTGGTTTGACATCACGAATATGACGGCCGCCCCCGATGGTGTCCGAAGGGCCATGATGCTGGTCAATGGGCAGTACCCTGGTCCCACCATCGAGGTAGACTGGGGGGACACCGTTAAGGTTCATGTACAAAACCGCCTGGAAAACAACGGCACCAGCATTCATTTTCATGGGGTCCGACAGTTTCTTAATAACCAAATGGACGGCGCAGTCTCGGTTACCCAGTGTCCAATTGCCCCCGAGACGAGTTATACCTATACTTGGAAGGCTGAGCAGTACGGAACAAGCTTCTATCATTCCCATTTCTCACTACAGGCGTGGGAGGGGGTATTTGGCGGCATTATTATTCACGGCCCTGCGGCGGCTGACTATGATGAAGACCTTGGCGTTTTGTTTCTTAATGACTGGCCGCATCGCACGTTCAACGAAATATATATTAACCAAATCAGAAACCCTGCGACCCCGGTCATCGATACTGGTCTAATCAATATGACCAACGTGTGGACTACTAGTGATGGTGAGACAGTTGGTCAAAGGTTCAAGACGGAGTTTGTCCCTGGGAAGAAGTATCGGATTCGCCTTGTGAACGCTGCTATGCACGCTCACTTCCGATTCTCCATAGACGACCACAACCTAACAGTCATCGCCAGTGACTTTGTGCCAATTGTCCCATTCGCAACCAACAACATCGCCATCGGAATGGGCCAGCGCTACGATATCATCGTCCAAGCCGACCAACCCGTTGATAACTACTGGATCAGGGCCGTTCCTCAGTCAGCCTGTTCTAATATCCCCACCGGCGACAACATCAAAGGCATTGTCCACTATATAGGGGCAGAGGATGGCGAGGATCCAACGACCGTTAAATGGGATTACGGAGACGACACACAGTGTCTAGACAGGCCAATGTCAGACCTTGTACCCTGGGTCGCTCTTGACGCCATGATCTCCAACACAACCAGCCTCAACGACGCAGTCGCTCCCACGAACGCCGGAGGCATATTCCTATGGACCATCGGTGGCCGGGCCTTCAATGTTTCGTGGAAGGACCCTACCCTCCAACACTCCTCCGCCACGGGTATGAAAACCACAATCCCTGACCCGGGAGCTATTAACCTCCCCGAAGCAAACCAATGGGTTATCTTCATCATTGCTACCAACCAGGGAATCCCGCATCCGATCCATCTTCATGGTAGAGTCTTCTTATTCCATTCTAGATGTTTCTTGACCGAGCTAATGATCGTGCCACCTGTCAGGTCACGACTTCTATATCCTCGCCCAAGGCATCGGCCCCTTCTCCAGAAGCATCCCCTTGCAAACGCGTAATCCTCCCAGACGGGATGTCGCTCTAATGCCGGCCGAGAGTAACGGGGGGTACTTGGTAATAGCGTTTCCGACCAATAATCCCGGAGCTTGGCTTCTACACTGCCATATGGGTTTTCATTCATCGGCGGGCTTCGTACAGCAGATTGTTGAGCGGCAAGATGAGTTCTGGAAGTTCCTCAATCCAGAGCTTTTGAAAGACACGTGCGAGGCATGGGATGATTATGCCGCTGTCAATCCATATGGGGTACAGTATAGAGGAACTAACGGGCCGTACGAGTCTGGGATGTGATAGTCACTATGTACCACGTTGGGCATGTCATGGCAAGTCTAAACAGAGGCGTTCCTGAAGATGTAGTATTGGTTTGGGCATAGACCAATTGAATATTATTCTGTAACTTTAATCTCTTGCTATTCTGGCCTTGTGTATGTCTTTTTTATGTTTGATGTTGTTTGTGCGTGATACTCAGTCCCCTCCAAAGTTACACGTGTAAATATATATATTTCGTCATTGGAGGCTTGATCCACATTATGGGGAGTATATCGGCGGGATGGCAGGAACTTGCCAAGCCTGATGACGTCACAGACTTTTGAAGACCAACTAACTATTAAAATTTGACCATGTCTAGCTAACAGAGTTATGGATTATGAAAAAGAAACACAGCCGGACCAGGGAAAGGGGCCTTGTGGCTGTGCGACAAGTTCGATCAAGCCACCGCCACGTTGCGCGTTGGTGCTAGTCCCAAATAGTGGCGTCGATCTCCCGCGCATGAGTTGCCGAATTCGGCCATCAGAACCAGAAGTAGATAAACTTTCGCTCCATTCTGCAGACCGCCCACAAGAATTGATTTCAATAGTTTGACAACCCCCCTGAACCTGTCTCTATATCCACGGACCTACTTTCGGAAAGAGAACGTCAGAAGGAAAGAAAAAGAAGAAGCAGGCATGTTATAGCCTTCGAAAGATCACCAGCAAAGATGAACGCGACTGACCGGTCGCCACTCTTCGTTGTCGAAGAGGTCCTCTGTGCCTACCCTATCAGCACGAGCTATGACTCGTGTCCACGATATCTCTTCTATGCTTTGCTCCTGGCAGTTTGTGTCACACGCTGGACCGGCTGGCTGGCAGATGTCTTCCTCGGTGCCGCAGCTACCTATGCCGGGACAGCTGCCATTCAAGCGTTCATCCTGGTCTCCAGTCCCACCAAACACCCTACTCCACAAAACGTGTCTATTCCCTGGATTCCGGACAATACCAGCCTGTGGGATGACTTTCCGGCCCTGGTCACCGAGACCAACGAAATTGAGATCAGTCCCGCGGCTATAGAACTAGACGCAGACGCCGTGCTTTCCATCGTGGTGACTGCATATCTCGTATTCTTGCCGCTCCAATGCTGGTCTCGTGTATTCGCCAAAGAACGGATCAGCTCGATTATATTTACGCTCTGGAATGTTCTTATGTTTGCCGGATCGATATGCTCCCTGGTCTACTGGCCCAGACTGAAAAAGACCCCAATTCAGTACGCCTTCTGCTTGCCACAGCTTCCTCCGATATCACCTGTTTCAAGTGATGGATGGGAGTCCTGGCAGCTCACATCGACCTGGAATAATAGTGTGTGGGATCTCTTTAGCAATGACTCGTTGCTGCTTCAACTGAATGATGTCTGCTTCTACCCATGTTTCAACACTACCCAGGTGCTACGCCAGCAAACCTCGTTACAGGTGTCTGTAGCAGCGGGGGATAATAGATTCACGAAGCGCCACCGATTTTGGGGCAAGGTAATCTACTCTCAGCGGTACATCTATAGCCTGGTCGCTCTCAGCATGGTGCTGAATGTCCTCTTGATGCTGGTCAGGGTATTGCCGTATCACTCTAGAGTCCCTTCATCGCGAGTATGGGAGATCTGGAAGGAGAGAAAGAACATCCTTAGGGGCTTGAAAGAAGACTTCTACGCCGCAATTCATACATCAAGGGACAGCCGGGAAACTATGGTGGAGAAGACACGAACGAAACTACCACTGCGGAAACGGATATCGCGATTTTTCACCCTACGAGTGCTGGGGTTGTGGGCCAAGGTGACCTTTGATGTCGTTATTATTGGTGCCGTAGTATTCAGCATTGTTATCAGTCCACTCACTGTTATCGCCTTCGTGGCCTGGATCGAATATTATATCCGTCACGATGGGCCGTCCCAAGAGACACCACAACAGGTCGGCCAGTGGTCGCCTCTAGTGTCCATTGCGCTGTTGAGTATCTCTGCTGCAATTCACAAGTTGAAGTACCGGGTGGCGCCTCGCCGTGAGATTGAACAAGATATTGAAGAGCTGAAAAAGGAACTCGAACGTCTGGAGAATTTAAGAGATGAAAAGTCTAACACGCGAGAGTTCCATTCTCTTCATTCTCTTCGGGATCGTTTTAGTACAGAGGGGCAACATTACGAATCCAACCAGTTAGAATAGCAATCGGCATAATGATATTTGTTGTTCGGAGAATATCCTCTAGCGAAACCATCGTCCATTCCGCTGGCCTCTAACTCAGCGAGCGTCAATTGAATTTACCCCTAGTGTTTTTTCTACTAGCCCTGAAGTCGGACCTCGTTTCGGACGCTATATGGAGATAGAAGATACTGATCAGCCCAGCTTTCGGTACAGAGAATCTGGTTGCCTGGCAAGATTCATGCAACCAGCGAGACGTTGATATATTGTTATGATTCCTCGACTGGAGAGGAATGCAGTGCAATTCCGAAAGCTTGTTTATTCTAAGCATGACCCACAATTCCTGTGTTCAGCTCAGCCCAGGAGCTTTTCCCATCCCATAACCGCACTGTGACCGAAGTAGTAAACATGCATGATCTTCACTTGGTGTCGAAACAGACAATATTATAGTTAAATAAGGAATAAAAAAGCGGATATCATACTCTACTAGTGTATCTAAAATTCCATTTAAAACGGGCTTTTGTCTCTTGCAATACCGGAATACATACTGTCTTCTTCCAGTGTTCGCGGAGCCCGAAGAATCCGAGCCCGAATCGGAAGGATGGACGAGCTTCCCGTGTTGTGTGGAGTTTGCGGCCATCAGATAGGCAGCAGAGTAAGTGTCGCACCAGTATCTGGCGGGGCGTCGTTCATGATACAGTGATACACGTCACAGTCTACAACGGTTAGAGTTTCTGTTGACCTCATATTCGGCATGTCAGTGCGTGTCCGATTAGCTGAGCATATGTAGGGTCCAGGACCGCCACTTGCACTACTTGGTCAGCCATGGTGTTCTAACTAACTATTCCTCATTCGCAGCTTATTCATCCATACAAACCCTAGATATCCACATGTCACCAATGCGGTACTGAGTCTGTTCAAGCCAGGTCAACTATCAACAGAGCGAGTGCCACGATCATTACCACCGCCAGCACCGAACAAGAACTCCTGAGCCATCCTCAATATGCGTCTGGCACCCCTTCTCGCGGCCTGTCTCTGGCCCATCACCTGTGTTGCTACGTCGCCACCCAGCCCAGACGATGGCACTCCACAGGGGAATCGTGGTGAACCTCGCGAGCCTTTCCCTATTGCATCCGGTCATGAGATCCATCTTCCATGTCGCACGTCGTCAATCTGCGGAAGCAACCTTAATGAGAACTCCAGATCAGACGAATACCTTGTTAGTGCTCCGGACGGCCAAACTCTACACCATAGCTAACATTACAGGCATTGGCACTCTCCACGGAGAAAGATTCTCTATTGGCGAACGGCAACACCATTCTACCAGCTCGCCTCCCGATGCGTCTAACCGCTATCAAACACTCGAGATCAGACAAGACAATCTCCGAAACCCTGACGCTACGCTACGGGATGAACATAATCCCCGTTCAGCGGTTCCAGACCGGCCAAATAGCCGACCAGTTTCGCCTGGATATCATCCTGTTCGACGAGTCCGGACATCCAACGGATATCAACATGATCTCCATTGGGCTCTCCCGCGATGCCCAGGACGCTCTTAGAATCACAATGATCACGATCAACCCGAGTCCCGAACCCTCAAACTGCCAAGGCAATGATAGAGACTCAACGCCTTCGGACCCATCACCCCCGACAAAACATGCAGATCGGAGCCATACACCCGAGTCCAGGCCCCAGCTTCACAAATGGCTGGATGCTGGTCGGAGATTCGGCGGGAAGTCTTACGGATCGTTCACATCGGCGTTTAAGCGACGGCCTTGTAAGGAACATTGTTCCGACCGGTACTCGTATCTGCGGAACAGCAACGGACATCATCGGACGCCTATAGTGGATATCCTGCGTGTCTTTTACCCGGCTATCCTGCCGTTCGTCCTTGGGGTCGTGGCGGGGGGTGCCATTTGTCTTATTGGGGTTATGGTGCGCAGGTCTGCGGCTTACTGGTCTTGTGAGAAGGAGGGTGAAGGGGGACAAGAAGGTGTCGGTGATAGGAATGAAGGGGGGACTGCAGTAGCCAAGTCGTAGTATTGGTGTACCCTGGGTTTAGTTTGGGTATTGTGGAATGGGTAATTTTCATATGTACATTTTACTTTGTAAGATCTTGTTCATGAATGACGGATTCAGTTTTACAGTCTATGTCTCCTCCGTTGTCCCAACGTATCTGGAAAATACTAGTTGTGCCATTCAGTGAATTAGCGGAAATTTGCCACTTCTAGATTGTAGTAGCAAAAACCATGATGATATTAGCACGCAGAGGACTCGCGCATCAAGGCGGGTAGGCAGCCGAATTCCAAAGCCTAGAAATAAAGTACTAAAACAAGCACCCCACAGTACCATTATGCCTGGCAGCACCACGCTTTATTCCTAAATGATGTGGGTGGCGGACCATGGAAAGGCGAGCGCGACGATTTTCCGAGCTCTGTAGAAGTAAAGTGGATCCATCCTAGGAATTTAACCGAGCATCTAAGAAAAAACGTAGCAATTGGTAGAAACTTGAAGGCTGCCATTTGGTCTGTACCATTGATGGGAAACTTTTTTTTAGTCCCAATAAAAGTACAGGGCTGATATCAGGGCAGAGGCTACAATTGGCCGCTGCGGTATTACCACTGTAGCCTAGCATTTGTTTCCCCAGAGAAACTTAGTCAAGATATAGGCTGCAGCATAAGGTTAATGTGGAAGATGACTAGAGCAATTGGCTATACGTATGGCTGTGACAGCTTTACATGCGTAGATAGTCGCGAACTGGTCTCAGTTCGCATGTGACTGGATTAGCCCTATACGGCTATAGAACCGGTTCATTGATATGAAGAATATTAATACGAACTTGAAAGTATGCGCATTTAGCAGTGGCCTGAGGCCAGTTGATCAGTAACGTGAAGCACGTTTCTGTGTCATAGGGTTGCTTGATGCTCAGGGAATACCACCAATGTCATTAGCAAAGTTCCTATGACCCGGAATTCATTCCGATATTCCATCGCCTCGTGCCACTGGTAGAAGTTCAACGCATCTAAGAAATGCAAGAGTTCTTAGTGGCTTCCCCAATATACAGGAAAGTACTGGAAGAACTCTGCAGCCTGCTGTACAGCAAACCGGATAGGGAATACCTGCATGTCACCTGGTATGGTCAACTCCACAATAACTAGCGACAAAGCAATATTTGTCCCGCATTGTAGTTAAATCATGCTGCCTACCGTACCGCCAGGAACGCCTTTGTCCCATATATTCGCGGACAAGCGGTCTGACTCTACCCCACAGGTGATAATGGTAGCTAATCCCTGCTGGTCACTGCTAGGCGTGAATATTCATCCTTGACGCAGGCTATTTCTCCGCAGGAAATTGATTGACTCCTCTCTGAGCAAATGAAGCGTCGCTGCCTGGATGAAGCTGATTTCGTCATCATGCATAGCAGTACAATAGAGTCCTGGGGTGGATACACAGGCGATCTCCACTACTCTTGCTAAATCGTCTTTGAGAAGGATATCCATGAACGATTTGAAGACTTCGTGGAGCTCTCTCCTGGTACCAGAAGCAACCCTCGGAGGAATTGATGGTGGAGGGGAGCCTGGGGGGCTGACCAAGTAGAGGTGATTGATTATCGCATGCCTTAGCCCACAGAAGCTCCACTAGAGGAAATTGTCTTCAGGAAGGCCACGATCGCAGGATTGGTCTATGGGTGATCAACAGCCGTTGTAAAGTAGTAGACCAAGCTAAAGCATTCGTCTTTGTCCTACATTTCCGACGTCGGCTATCGAAAATAGGGGCAATTTCTCAATGTATCCTACGATGTACGTTCTTCGGAGGTTAGTATCCTTCACAAGGCTCTCCCGTAACCCGCCATTCACGCGGGTAAGTCGGCAGTTGAGCCCCTGGGTGACCTCCGTGACATATATAGACTTGTCTACTACCGGTATTTCCGAAGGCCCACCAAGGCGTGAGGTATGGCCATATTAGGATGTTCAGGAACTTGGTATTAGTTTAAGGGGCCAGGGCGACATTGCCATACGCCAAGTTTCAAGCCGTTGGTCAGCAGGCAAGAGCCTTTTCTATCCTGCCATCTTCCATGGTACGCGTCAGGAGTAGGTGCCAGATTCTCGAAGTTTAGCCGCCACAGGGCCAGAGCCGAGGCCGGTAGGCTGATTGTTGAGGCGCGGCCACACAGTTGTGTATGCTGGATTATAGCAATTCTCATTCCAGTTAGCAGACGCTGCACTGTAGCAAAGTCTGTGTGAAGGCGCAGTGCATGATCGAGGAATGTATCAAAAGCTACGAGTGTGATAAAGAAACTCCCAGAGGGTCATTGACCAGTAGGGATCACAAAACGCCATTTATACAGGACCAATCAGACCCAGACCCGTACGACAGTTCCTCCTCACAACGACATGGCATGCCCCATGGACACTGCATATACGATTCTATTCTCTGAACCAATTCATCGAGAAGCCTATTTGAAGGTATACACCTGGATGAACTTAATGGCATGGCTACATTGACATTTGTGTCTGTCATGCTTGCACAGAGAAACGTATTGTAATGATGCTGAGCCCATCCTGAAACCAAGTCACTCTAGATACCACCATGTTTCAAAAGAGGCTTAAAGAGGGGTTTGAGAAATTAAAGGGGCCAAAGATACTAGACAGTCGCACAGCATATCCATGCCCAACCCTTGTTCTGAAAGTATGCAGTGGGGGCTTCTTTTAGGACAGGATTGACACCATAGGAAACCACGTTTTCGCTTTCCCGTCCTCTGATTTGTGCCTCTAGCTTTCTTGATATATGCAATCCTCGCTAGTGGGGGTCCTGAGCCATGGCAGATATCTCACCGTACATTGTTTCAGGACCCTGATAATTACTTCTCAAGACGGACTGGACAAAGCCACAGAATGTGCTAATTATTACGGCAGGTCAATAAAGTAGGAACAGTAGCGTGGACCCCGGGCCAAATAGGGCCGAGAACATTCCAATGTGGGTTCGATTCCTCCCGTCAGCCAGAAAGAGATGTCTTTGCGCTTTAGTGCTGACGCGACGGCACAATGAAAAAGGAGAAGATTCTTTATACCCAAGCGTAAGCCTGGGGAGACAAACATAAGCTGGACCCCTCGGATCACGTAAGGATGATCCTAAAGGCGAATTTGCAATGATCAACATCACTAAGCGTTATCTAAGCTAAACCTAAATGACATAGCGCTTGGACCCTGCACAGGCCAGGGTACTTGAATGGAACAAATTTCATAGTGAAATCACGCCGGAGACAGCAGGGAAACCACCTCGGTAGACTGAGTCTAGTCCCACCAACAATTCGCTCCCTCGTAGGGAAATTAGCGCTCGCCCGAGGCGTCCAGGCAACAATGAGAATCCAAGTAGAATAGAAAACCCTGTTGGGGATTAGGCTACGCTAAGCTTTCTATACGGTCAGCCTAAGTTGGTACGGTGGGTCTCGGGGTCCGAGGGTTCCTCCCTCCATGAAATAGACGAGATTTCCTGACCGATCTTTTAGGCAGCCGTATTCTGGGCTTATGGTTCCAACCATCAACAAGGAATCTCTGGGTTACGGGTGGGCGACGGTGCAGTGGTAGCCCCGGGCTTAATAGGCTCTGCTATGCGAAGTTGAGACGTGGTTCAGTGACCCGTTCTTCCGTCTTGACTCTTTCCCATGAAAACTGGGTGGCCTATTAGCTGACGAGGTAATCATTCTCTTTTGGGATCGACCGGCCGGAAATGGCTTGGATTATGCCATTCATGACAAGGGGCCAGCAAAATAATAACGTCAAACTTCAGATCTGTACCAACCACTAGTACATAGTAGGTAAACGCTGCGCGTCCACGCCATTTCCAACCTATTTTGAGGTCAGGTTACCGTAACCAAACATCGGGCACTATCCTTTAGCCCCTAATAATTTGATCGCAGCAGGGTGAGAAAGTGGAGCTCAGTCCAATGGATAGAAGAACCAATATCCCAGTTCCGAACCGCGTAGGCGTTCCGACACGGAGAGCGCATCGCTTGCGCAAGCGAATTTTGATTACTCGATGGTCACTGCGTCTCGTATTAATGCGACCATGCGCCAATGCCACGATGATCAGCCTAATGAATCAAGGGTCTTCTCGACCTCACTTGCGATGGCCATGTATTAACGTCGCCCGTTCAGTAGCACAATGAATCTCCACTTATTCCTAGATCCCTTCTTCATACCCAGGCATTGATTGGCACAGGCAGCACGGAGATACGATGATTTGCAATCGGGCAAGGGTGATTGTGGTGGGCACTCTGGGGTTGATCCTACTATGGCTGTCGTCGTCTTCGCTGCTTCGGCTCTACTACCTGCTTCGAATGCCATTCGTATGGAAAGCCTCTTCAGCAGACGCGATCATATCCCAGCAACACGACGACTTCGATGTCACATTCGCTGACTACGATGCGAACTACTCCACATATGCGACCGGCATACGACCATACATACCTAGGAGGATCCATCATATTCACCTCGGGTCGAGTTCGCCTCCGAAAAATTGGCTGGATGCGAGAGCGGAATGCCTCAAACATCATGAATTCTGGGAGTCTCACCTTTGGACGGACGACAATGCGGACAGCTTCGTGCAAGAAAATTATCCGCATCTCTATGCAATGTGGACCAACTATCCATTCAATGTACAGCGCGTGGATGCGTTGCGCTACATGATTCTGCAGAAATACGGAGGTAGGGCCCCAGCGACCGTTGCGCAAGTAGCCATGCAACCGTTGACCGTGAATCTTCATAGGCGCTGTCCTTGACTTCGATCTGGCGTGCAAGCGATCGCTGGAGCCGTTGCGTCGATTTGAATTTGTCGCGCCGGCCGCAAACCCCGCGGGATTCTCGATCGGCATGATGCTCGCAACCCCCAACAACCCCTACGTCCATGCGCTCGTTGACAATCTCCCGGTATACAACCAAGTGTGGCCATTTTTACCATATGCGACCGTAATGTTCAGTACGGGCTGCCACTACGCGTCGTAAGTGCTGCACAATACCCCGGTCGCGAACCAAGGACCTTCGCTCACGTTGCTTTTGTAGGACCATCTTTACCCTGCAATCAAATCGCACGAGTATCCGGATTCTCGCAGGACCCTCTGATCAACCGAGAATGCACATGCTCAATGGGGTAGTCAACACGCCACTTTTCAGACATTTCGGCTCTTCTTCTTGGCACGGGCATGATGCGCGGCTGATTACGTTCTTCAAAGATCTCGATCAGCGCATTTTGTTTGCTGGCCTTGTCTTTGTCCTGGGTAGTACGGCAGTGATTATACTGCTATGTATCAGTCGGAGGCGTGCACCACGGCCCGACGACGAAGAACGTCGCTTGTCGTCATTTGCGATCAAGTGGATGACCAAGATAGCTTAAGCATTTCAGGAGGCTGGTATAGATTCTAATCATTTGCTGTTGTTGTTACTTTCAGCGTATATACAAATTAAACTAAACTATATTGTTTCGTGGTATCGTTAACTGTTCCACAGCCCGAGTAAAGCACTAGACTAGTCTTTCCAACGTGTTGAACCACATATATCGGCTGACCACCAGGTATAGCCCACGGTCCCAGGAATACTGGCTGTCGTGCTGACTGAATGCCGCTCGTGAGACTCGATATGTTTGCCATGAGCTAACAATAATCGCTTTGTCATTGTATGCAGCCAAGGGAACGACGTCGTGTACCGTGTGATCGTCGATCCGTCTACCGAGTGGCGTGGTAAGGAGTGCTTTCAGAATGCGCCAGGTGAAAGGGATCGAAGTGGGGATTAGGTCGAGGAGCGAGGAGTACTTCCGTAGAAGTGGCGTACTTTGTAGCATGTATGCGACGGGCGCATCTGGTGTGGATTGCACATATTTGCTACCGAGAGCATTAGCATGGTGCCTTGAATGGGAGGAGGCTTAATGGGAGCGTACCGCACACCGGCGCTGACCGATCGGTGGTTGATATGGCCGGATATACCGCCGTTGTCAAATGTGACTATCTGTGGGATGGCATCAGCGACACAGCGAAAGCGTATATCTCATTCAAAGGCATTCATACTAGGTCAACATGCCACTTTTCTTTATAGGAAGAAACGAGGTCCTTAACCATATCCTCGTCCCACCATTGCTTGGGATTATCTTGGAGTTCGGCAACATCTAACACAACACATCGATCCTGGGCGATGTGTAGCTGTTCACAGCTACTGTGAAGCTCACTTTGTCGCTTGTCTCCCAGCCCATCGTAATTGCCTAGTCGTATATCAGACGCTTCGCTCATTGCTTCTATGGTTGGCCATCTACCCACCCGAAGATATAACCAATAATGATCGCTTCACATCCGGGTCCGTTCGGCGATAGGTAATCGTGGGACTAAAGAAAAGCGTCTCATCGTCGGGGTGTGCGGTCACTAGAAGGATACTCCTGGCGTCCTGGAATGCGATCGGAACGAGACGAGGATCGTTTGCCAGGGAATATGCGAGCAGAAGATACAGTCCAAGAGAGACTGCTACTATTAGGAGAGTGAGAGGAAACGCCAGACGCCTCAGGGTTTGCCCTCGAAGCATTCGACTGAGACGCTTCAACAGCCAGCAGACACGCATGATATGGATCATGAACAATATTACCCGAACGAGTAGTACAGCTGTCAAGCTGAGCGGATATCGCTCCTAGAGGTCCATTTCCCCAAGAGTCAGTGACGCACTCGGAGTCCACGGGCTCCGTCGGCGCCGTCTCACCGTCATCGACCAACATTGCTGCAGGGTCAACCAGTGGGGGTCTGGACCCGTGGTTAGTGGATGTAAGGCTGGATTAGGGCTCGAGTGGCGACCCACCCCCAAAGGCTTAGCAGAGGCTTAACTTCTCGGACCAATCCGGGTCTATTTAATGCGACTGCCTAACAGGCAACCTTATTCAAGCTCGGAATGAAGTCTTACCCTGCAGAGGAAATGTTCCGAGGAGGCTTGGTCGAACTTTTTCCGCGGGCCAAAATGCCTCGGATTTAGCCCCAGGCCGAGGGGCCATTCTGACCAACACCAACACGATCACCCGTCCCCACTGGCAGCATTTCAGACAAATGTGCCAAAGTACTTGGGCGGATGCGACTGTCTAATTACCTTCAGTATGATGTATCGGCCTTTTGGCTTTTCTTCGCCCCACCACCGAATGGGGTTCTACGGAAGGCCTAGATCGTCTTGAACCATCCAACAGCACAAAGTCTCGTATGCTGATTCGTCATGTTAAACTTGCACAGTCAAATGATGCGAACTAAAAGCGAGTAGATTTTACGCAATCGGGCCGTGTTATTTTACTTTAACTTTCACACTACTTTCGCTCCAACCTTCTGACAAAGCCTTTTGGATAGCATAAGTAGGGAGATGGGGCCGGCATTAACTCGGGGAATATATGTGAATTCGATTCAAGCCGCCCGGCAATATTCAGCGACACCAGATTGTGTAGCTGAGTCAAGATAAATTGGACGTGAACGGTTGATAGGAGATACATCTTCGCACCAAATAAGGTTTGGCAGATTACGAATTATATCCATTATTAGAGAGTCTATGCGTAATAGAATGTCACTCTGGAGCATACGAAACCTTCGACCAGTCCCTGCATAACCCAAAGGCCGTGCGGCAAAATTTCCCGAGCTCGACTACGATATCAGTCTTTCTCCATGATCCTTGTGCGTGATGTAACAGGCGTGCAGAAGGGTCCTCAATGGATTTCGACCCCATATTCCCGTATGTGCCTCTTCCGGGGCTGTTCCCATTAGCACCAAACCCCAACCAAGGCAGAGAAGCACAACGTACCTAAATCCAGTAATTGGGAGCACCAAGATATCCCCGACAACCTTGCTTTGCCCTCCATCTGTTAATCCGGACAAGGCATTCCACCGCAGCCCAATAGTTGTTGCCAGCCATCCCTTTACGGAGTCTGTAAAGGCTGCGGGCCCCGTAAGCAGGAGGGGATCGATTCTCCGTAGCATAGCCTGGTCCTGTGGAGAATGTTTATGACTGCCCTTGCTAGACGTTGTGTTCTTGAGACTAGCAGAGAGGCGATCGAGGAACGTTTGGAAAATGGGATGTCCTGGTGCCGCCGCGAGCGACCACTGTGTTAGCTGAACAGGCTCGGCGTAGCCCATGCGCCAGTATGCATCGCTCTCTGGCGGACAATCGGCTTCGAGACCCACGATCGCTCGTATCTGGCCAGCGGGCCCATAGAGCTGGTTTGTCTCTGCGTCCTTCCAATTCCGGAGATCGTCTGTCGTAATCCAAGATGAGGGGCTTCGAAGTGGTTCAGTGTCCATGTCGCCGTACTACCCACAATGACATCAATTAGAACATGCCCCATGGCTTTTCATGGAATCACCATCCGGACACTCACAATCCCTCCAATCCATTTCGCCACCAGTATACGAAACACATCAGACCTTTCCACATTGCTGGGGAGGGAGTAGAACTGCTCCTCTAGCTCAGGCTCGAAATATTTGACGAATTGCGCGACACCCTCATCGTCCCAGAGAAAGTAGGCCATTCTGTCTTCCTCGACTGCCTCGAGCCATCTTGTCGCGCTTTGGCGCATCACCGGCGACCATGTCTCAACTTGCGTATTTTTCCATGTTTGGTGGACGATCAGTGGGATCTCAGAATGCGGTATCCTTCTCTGGGTCGACAAGGTTGCTCTTCGTGTAGCTAGTTTTGCTGCGTCCACGATTGTCTGGGGTCGCGAAGTCGGATCGTCAAGCCATTCTTCGGGGATATGCCATGCTGCGACGTTGTTATTCGCGATTGTCGCACAGCAGGGATTGCCATAGCGGTCTGACGAGACTCACCTCCGCCTTTTCCCGTCTGGGATTGTACGTATCTAGCAAGAAGGGGATATCCATGTTCTTCACTCGGAATTTCACCATAAGACCATTGGGCGGCGCAAATAAAAATAAAGGCCAGGGCAGATGCTACGACGACTAATCGCCGGAAGCGCCAGCGGGGCAGCGGCATCATGGCAGGATGCGTAAACAAGAATTGTTAAGCAGTGCTAGTGGTTGCTATGCAAGATATTATCTAGCCATCTTCGTATTGGGGTCCGTGTGAAGGGACATTTGCTGACGCACCGGTCATGTCATGGAAGGGCCTGTAAGGGCCAGGCGAGAACTTGAGTTTGCAAACGAACTGGGCCGAAATGGTCTCCAGGGAGCTGCACGACGCTTTCCGTGGAACGATGATCGCACCGACCTTAGCTCATAAATGGACACTGACTTGCTTCAGGCAACAGTCCGGCAATAATTGTAATGTGGGGCGAGTTATTCCTTTACCAGTAAAATGATTTCCAACCTATGGGTGGTTTAGGAGAGGTTTTGGAATTTCTTTTTTTTGCATGACTATTTATTTTTATCTTACAAAGTTGTTGGCTCTAGGCCAAGATGGAATTGTTTGCCTCATAGGTACCCGCTTACAACGCGTTACGCCAAATGAGAGTGAGACGTTAGACAGAGCTGCCTCTACCCTGTGCGTTGGTGGGCCTTAGCCTCGCGTAGAGTGTCTAGTGCTGACAATGTAGTTTCATCGTTGTTTTGGATGTACAACCATGCCCAGAGACCCTTTTGTTATCGTTGCTTTCCAGGGGTATCCTGGGGCCGTATTCCCTCCGCACACATTGTGAGACCAGTTGAAATTACTATTTTAGATTGCCTTCTGCATCATCAGCTAATTGGATAATCTTACCCCCTTTGCCAACGGCCTAGTGACCCTCATTAAGCCTAGTCCAGGGGCTCAGAGGCCATATTTGGTGCCCTGATATGATATCTCTCTTATCGTCAAGACATCCAATATCCACAGGCTAGTGTACAGGACCACTGCAGCTGTACCCATCAGGCTCGGTGGTGTTCAGCAACCATATCGTCTACCGGCTATGATCTGGTATCTACATTAGTTGGGTACACAGAGAAAGTGGGACGGATATAATTTTACAAGACCCCTCAATGGAATCTACTTCTATCTTGGCACATCCTGGAAGTGGCCAGGGTGATGGTTGCATTATACGTCAACGTTTGTCGAAAGCGCCTCGCCCTGAACCACTGTATTAGATGCCCCTTCCTCACACCTGAACTAATTCCTCCCAAAACAATAATTGCGCTACTATGTGAACTGGCTCGTACGAATTTGTTTCTATGGCCCAACAATGTAATCTGGCTATGAATATAGGGAAGATTCACATGGCAAAACAACACACATTCAGGTATTTATACCTATGTACAGCATTATATAGCTTACAGACACGGCATCTCGGAATACGAACGGATTGCCGAAAGTCGACCTCCCTGAGCAAGTTACCATTGCCTGAACAGCAACACAGACATCCTTTCTGACGCTCAATGAAAATGCCAGACAACCGTCTTCCTCCTAGTCTTCATCGGGATCCTCAACTGATGTTGCGTTCGGTATATGCACATCTACACCAGCAATCTCCTTCAATAACGGTAGCCTGTCACGATGCTCCATGAGAAAGGAGATCTGGGCGTCATGCTTACTATTGGTCCCCACTGTATATCCTAAGATACACAGGTACTCCAGGTTTGGGGGGAGAATGTCGATTAAAGAAAACGATGGTTCCTCCAAGCCACCCTTGCTCATACTGGCACGTGCAAGGGCCATCAGTAGCTTGATTCCTATACGGAGATGTGTCATAGCGGTAAAGTCTCGGAGCGACATAGGCCGTCCCTCATTGGAAGCCTCCCCATATGGATCCTTGACGCTATATTCGTCCTCTGTGTCCCAGTACGCTGGTCGCTCAGCAAAGAATTCCTCATCGACATCCACCTCGAGCGTTTGTAGCGTGTTTGTATGATATAGTAATGCATCTAGCAGATGCTGCTCTATGAACATAGCGTGGCTGCCATCGACAGAAGCTCGTCCGCCGATCGAGTATTTGAATTCTTGAAGTCTTTTGCACGACGTGATGATCTCGGCCAGGCTTCGGCTGGAGTAATTCGAGTTCTGGATGTAAACCTTCTTGAAGTTAGTGGATCGAGGTTCGAGCTCTATACTTTCGTGTCTATCCTCAATAGCATCCACCCTTATGGTCTCCACGGCTGGCAAATTGCCGACCAACTTCATCTGCTCCGCAAAGTCATAGTTCTCGTAGAACCGCTTATCGCTCAATATAGGATCTTTGTTGCTGAGACAGCTCACGTCGCGTAGATTTTGCAGGTACGGTATCTCCGTCGGATTGGCAGTCGCCCGCTCCAAGAACGCTTGCAGCATAAGATAACATTCCTCGGGCGAATCGAATCCACGACTGATCACGGGAAAGGCGAAAGACTCTAGCTTTGGAGCGACGGAGATCATCAACGCAGTCAGTGCCTGCGTGAGATGGATTAAATCGATTTTCCGCTTCGTATCGTGAAAGCTACCGCCGAACGTTAGCACGGTCTGTACCATTCTTACGTGCATACATGCTATCGACTCACCTCGATTCACGTGGTTGATGCGTAACGATGTTCATCATCATGTCATGCTGCTTGCCTTGAAACCCGGCCTGGCGTATTGCGCCCTCCAGTAGCTTCCGGTCCTCCTCGCTAATTTCTCTCGTGGTTTTCAGATCGGGCGGCTGGAGTGGATAGGCCACGGCGCGGTCCAGCTTCACATGACGGACGTACTGGCCAAGGGCCGGTTGTCGCAGTATGGACAATAGTGTGCCAAACACTGTGTCAGTGTCTTCGACCGTCCGTATATATACTCGATGGAGATCTTCTGGAGTCGGTGCACGGTCCAGGTGGTCAACCCTGGGACAGCCCGATAAGAAGGCCATGTTTTTCCACTGCCTGATCGGGTCGAATTTATACCTTGCAGCAATACTCCGACGAGACAAATTGAAGATCTGACTCGTGTAACCGCACCTCATGTCTTGAAGTATGCGACAAGGGGAACTTCAAGTTTTTTTTTATAATCTCGTTGCCATAGGCAAAAACTCGACCGTGCCTACGGGTAAAACAGGCAGATGCCTTGCTGCCTTGTTAGCGTGGTTCTTGGCGCAGGCCGTTTTGTTTCTCACAGAACTCTGGACGACATTGTGTGTAGCCCTCTCTTGTGCACTTTCCCAACGACTATTCTACATGTTGCACCTGGAATTGATCGACTCTGGGTGGCTTTATTCCTGGTCTAACGCCTGGGTGTTATTTGAGCGAATCGCCGGTATATCTCCACATTTTCCACCAACACAATATGCAATTTGATCTATTGTTCTTCGGCTGCAGTTCATTGTTCTTCAACCATTCACCTCCACATGATCTCCCTAGAAGCTTAAATATTCGCCCATCCCCCATGATTTGGAAACTCTGGCACTCGTACTATGGACAGCATATTTGAATAGGGAGACGGAAAACAAGAACATCGAATCGGAGACGGGACAGATCCAAGATGTCAACCATGAGAGCATTCCAGTTTGACGATGTGCAAAGTGGTCTGCAGTCGAGAGCCATACCCCGTCCCCGACCAGAGCAAGGCCAAGTGATCATCCAGGTCAAAGCAGCTGGTCTGTGTCACTCCGACTGCATCATCCTCCAGGACGATCAATACAGCATGATCATGAAGCGACCGATAGTACTAGGTCACGAAGTCGCCGGGACAATCGTTGAACTCGGTCCAGGAGTCTCAGATTACGAAATCGGTGACAGGGTCGTGGCAGGTATCCCCACACGTCCCGTAACCGAGGACAGTTTATCCAAAGCAGTCGGGCTCGGCTATGACGGCGGCTATGCAGAGCAGACCATGGCCTGGATGCAGAATCTCATCCGTATCCCGGAGGCCGTCTCTTTCGCACAGGCTGCTGTCGCGGCTGATTCGATCGCAACTGCCTATCACGCTGTGGTCACCGAAGGTCAGGTCGGCCCCGATAGGACCGTGGCTATTGTTGGGCTCGGCGGACTGGGTCTCTCGGCCGTTCCGATTGCTGCTATTCATGGAGCTCGGGTGTATGCGGTGGATATTGATGAGAGCAAATTCCCTCTTGCACGGGATCTAGGGGCTGTTGGGTGCGCCAGCGGACTTGATCAATTCCCTGATATCGCGTTTGATACTGTGGTTGACGTTGTTGGGGCTGGCATAACGACTGCGGCAGCAGTGAACGCTGTCAAACCATGCGGTCGCGTGGTAGCTGTTGGTCTAGCTTCGAAGGAAATGAGCTTGGATACTCATGCTTTAATTACCAAGAATATCACCCTGCAGGGATCGATCGGGTCAAGTCTGGAAGAGCTAAAGGAGGTCTTAAGACTCATCGCTGACGGACGCCTTACTCCCATTTTAGAGGAGATTTCTTTCGACAGTATTCCAGCGGGACTGGAGCGATTGGCGGAAGGAAAGGTGACTGGCCGTTTATTCACAAATCCGACTTCCTCTAATCGGGGCTGACGCGGACTGAGGACATCCTTAGATCCTGATTCAATCGTGTAGCTATTAAATCGCGCCTGCTACATGCAGTGGTGAAGATGAATAGCGACCAAATTAGGAATGGCCAAACAAAGCAAACATGGCCCAATTTGAAAAGAAAATTGGGACTTTGCAAGGCGGTGAAAATGGCGGTAAATATCTTGGACTTGGAGGGGTGAATTTACTAGGGCCTCGGCAATAGACCTAATTGGTTGGTAATATTTACATTGCCTGCATACTCGAACCCCTCATCCTTTCTCCCAATTCCAATACTTCCATCTCAATGCTCTCCTGCATTCATCCTCAACGGATCAGCCACTGCCACGATGTACGAGTGTGAGACTTGCAGGGACACCTTTTGGGACCAAGATGACTACGAGTGGCATATGGAGGACTACGGCCATTGGCCGGAATGTGAGACATGCTATCGCACCTTTCGTAGCTCTCGTGCTTGCCATCAACACATGAATGACGCTAGTCACTGGGCACCCCGCTTCAATTGTGAGACTTGCTCGCGGGACTTTAACTCCCAGACTGCTGCCAATCAACATATGACGGCAGTGGGACACTGGGCTCCCAGAGTGCCCTGTGAGACTTGCAATATGCGGTTTTCCACCGAACAGGCGGCGGAATCGCACATGAAGAGTAAGGCTCACTTTAAAAACTACTGCCGTAGTTGTGAAATACGATTCCAGAGCGAGAACGATCTCCGCATGGTAAGACATTTCCACCTGACCGTATCTGGGCTTTCGAAACGTAGTCTCTGGAGCCCTGACATATAAATCGATAGCATCTCAATTCGAAGATTCATCGCGGAAAGAATGTCCAGTGTCCATTCTGCAAAGCCAATTACACTTCCGCCAGTGGCCTTGCCCACCACCTGGAACGAGGCTCCTGTCCTCGTGCCTCCACACTTAACCGAGAAACCATTCTCCGCATAGTTCACAAGAGGGATCCGCAGGGTGTCATTACGAATAAGCAAATCGAGTGGTATAAGGAAGACAGTTCCCACTACTCTGCTACTGACCACGCCTTTAACGGATCGTCCTGGGAGTGCTACCTATGCCATCGTGGGTTCCGCTCGGTCAAGGCCCTGGATTCACATCTCAACTCTTCGGTCCATAAGCAAAACGTGTATCATTGCCCGAACTCCAATGGTAGATGTGTCAAGCAGTTTACCACCCTCGCTGCACTCTTTAACCACCTAGAAAGCGAGGCATGCTCGTTTATGCGGTTTGAGAAGGTACGGAAGAACGTTGACAGAATTTTCCAGTCACGGAAAACAATTTCTTTCGGACAATAATCGGGATCCTACCATCTTCTACTGTGCATGTGCCTTTCGAACATGCGACCAGAAGCTATTCGGCTCGTGTTTCAATGTATGGGGTGGTCCCACCAAGAGCGTGGTCAGCTTTTCGGTAGTTTGACGTTGATTTAATGCCTGAAACCTGCTCGATGTTCGGAGGCCAGATCCTCCCTGAACGGCTGAGTGTATGTCCCAGGATGAGTTAATACCAGCAAGCCGTTATTATGACTTTAATCCAGTGTAGGACCTTATGTGACTTGTCGGGATCCTTGTTTAAAAAACATTCATATAAGTCCCTAGTATACGAGTCACATTCCTAAACTGGGGTTAGCGCTACGCCCTGTCGGCGTGTCGGGCAAACCAATCTCACCACTAGCCTTCAAAGAGTATCCTTGACTCATAGATGAGCGGGGAAACATCATCAGATAATGCAAGCTTTCATGGCGTCTTTCCGAACCACGCAACCTTAAAAGCTACTCGAACCCCAATTGATTTTGATCATCACCCCTAGAAGAAAAGGACTACCCTGCCTCATTATCATTTCAGTGAGAACCAACGAACAAACCATCAGCAGAATGTCCTCACCAAACCCCCTCGAAGGCGTCCCGCCACATATCCGCAGCCTCCTCACCACCCTCCACAAGCAATCCACGACCCAAGAATCCGCCCTCACAGATGCCGACTTTGAAAGCCGAACCTTTGACGACGTCATGCGCGACAAGTTCATCGCCCTCGATGAAGACAAATCCCAATATCTCTATCAGCTTTGTCGCATCATCAACGCCAAGACCGTCGTCGAAGCCGGCACTTCCTTCGGCGTGAGCACCATCTACCTGGCCCTTGCCGTGTCAGCCAATGTAGCAGCAACAGGTGGTACGGGCCGTGTGATCGCGACCGAAAACGAGCCAACCAAGGCGGCCAAGGCCCGGGAGCATTGGGCGCAATGTGGGGACGTCGTTACCAATGTGGTTGACCTGCGGGAGGGAGATCTCCGTGAGACTTTGAAGACGGACGTGGAGGCGGTGGACTTGCTGCTCCTTGATAGTATGTCTCTTCTCCTTGATCTCATTCCTTGCGTACTTCACCTTGCTAATTGTTGTCGGTAGTTTGGACTCCCATGGCTTTGCCCACGTTGAAGCTCATCCTGCCGCATATGCGATATGGCGCTGTTGTTGTGGCGGATAATACTATTGCCGCGGCAGAGAAGTATAAGGAGCTTTTGGATTTTATGCGCGATCCGGGTAGCGGATTCGTTAACATGACGCTGCCGTTTAATAATGGGCTGGAGGTTAGTACCTATTTGCCCGCACAGTAGAGCATTAATCTCCTGAGGACGGTGGGAGGCCGGAGATATCTACCGCAGAAAGCCGCGCCTCGGCCATACATGATAGGAATGTGAATAAACCGAGTTAGACACGATTGAGCCTTTATTTCTTTAATTAGGCACGGTATCTCAGACACGTTGGTCAAAATGTAGACCTTGGAACTCTGTAGTCAGATTTCCTACAGGTCTAGGAAAATATAGACCCTAAGATACGAGGAAGTCACTGATCCAACCGTTGGAAATATATCTTCTGAAATGCCGGATAATGGGGTATGATCGTCGAGCACTATCACAATAGGGGTATACTTTATCATAGTATCTTTTATAGAGACTTCTAACAAGACGTTAAGTGAATCCGATCGCTACTATGTACGGATCATTTATTGAGTCGCGCCGCCAGTGTTGCTTTCCTGATGCTCCACTAAGCCTAATCCGGGTACATCTTCTAGGAGCCTTGGGTTATAGGTAACAGAAGACCACCAGTCCAACAAACATCGCCATTAGCAACTGATCATGAATAGGTCTGACAAGCACACTATAGTATCTCATGCTGTGTTCTAAGATTGATGAATCGTGTATAACTGCACTTTTCGGGCATTGACAGCCGGGGTTACGCATCGTCTGGCCGGCAGCGGTAGGCTTTGGCAGGTGCTACATTGGCCTGTAACGAGAAGAGCTGGATCGCCTGACAAGCTGTTTCCACCGGGTTTACCTGATTTATGGGAACTATGTGGTAGTTGGGTGGATGGCAGGTTCTCCAACTCAAGTATCATCCATCGCCGTTTCCGGAATGCGGGCTCTGGACTCGGGTACAGGCTGGAAGCGGTCGCAGACCAGGATCAGGGCAGCCATTGCGCAGCACGAAATCGTTCCATTTCTCATTTCTCCAGCTGACATCTACATAAGCATAGCAGATTTGATGCATCTGTCAACTTGAGGTATTTGGATACGGCAAGCTCGATGAGGGCTGTCGATGCTCGAACTTCTCTATACATGTTTATAACCTAGACGTTTGTTACTACGAAATTCGAAGCCACACAGGTCTTTGCTTCAAAATGGTAGCTGACTCACCATTTGGCTGCCTCTCTCGGCGGAGGGTCCAGCTCATCCTCTCCATCTCCGTCTTTCTTTTGCTCCTCTCCTATCCCTTCCGTTCATCTATCGTACCCTCGGTGGTGCCAGCTAACTCGCCCCCAATCGCCCGTGAACTGCCTGCTCGCACTCTATTATCGCGTCCACTATCCCACGATGGAACCACGATTCCTAAGATCATCCATCAGACATGGTTTCCCGCGGGCAGCAACATGAGCGAGCGTGCTCAAGAATGGGTACATGGCATGCGTACGCAGAACTCGGACTGGGAATATGTGCTTTGGGATGACGAAACCAATCGAATGCTGGTTGAGCAGTATTTCCCTTGGTTCTTGCAGACTTACGACAGTCTTCCGAAAGAAATCCTCCGGGCGGACATTGTTCGTAATTTTTATATGTATTTGTTTGGCGGGTAGGTCCTTCCGAGCGCTTCGCCTAGTCAATCGTTCGCAATTGTAACTAATTGCACAGGATGTACGCCGACGTGGATACCGAAGCCTTGCGCCCTGTCGCGCCGCTGTTTGCCGGGCATGAAACCGCTCTTGCCGCACACCAAGACCTCCTCTCGTCTGCCCCGACATTTCAAAAAGCCACCGTGCAGCGCGCATTCCTAGGTCGCATGGCTCGCACTGTAGATATTCTGAGTTCCGCTGCGGTGCCCAACGGCTGGATGGCATCGCCGCCGGGTCACCCGTTTTGGCTTCTTCCGGTTCTCAACGTGATCGAACACCCGGAGGGAACCGGGGATGGATCTGTCGAGGGTCTGACCGGACCCGGGGCACTGAGCCTGATGATCAAGAAATACTGGGACAACTTCAAAGACAATTCATTGCGACAGCATGCATGCAAGACGATTCAACGGCGGCAGCCATCCTGGCAGTTGTTTTGCGACGAGAGTGAGCTGGCCATGGGCGCGCACATCCAAGACGCGCTGGTGCTCCTGCCAGAGAAGCAGATCTACCCCTTCAGCTGGGTGGATGATGCGAACAATGCCTCCGTTTGCCAGGCGGCGTGGGAGAACCCGACGTTCGATCCGGAGGAGTGCAAACGATTGATGGAGGTGGAAGCTTGGCCTAGTTACTTTATTACGTATTGTACCCATTCGTGGTGAGAGTTGTATACCAAAGGTTCTAATCTTCGTTTTTACTTGTTACCATAGAATTGGATCAATTCGAGTTCTTAACTTTGTAATTATTGTAATATGAGCGATACTTTCTATTTCATCACCGCACCTTTGGGGCCCATATGGTCATTTCTAGAGTTCCACAGAGTTAGTGGGACTAGAAGAGTGCGGATTAAAACGGAAGACTAAAAGGCTTGAACGCGACTGCCGTGCGGGTCCCTTCTATTCCGCAAGCGGGTGACATGTTCGGGGGCAAGGAATGTAGGATGAGTTCATTTCAAGGTTTCATCGACCCAAACAATTCGGATTGGGACGCTTCGCAGGACCAAGAAATGCAAAGTCAGACAAAGCTAAAAAAAAAAAAATCAAGCTAAGTCTGCCTCGGCTGAAGGTAACATCGGCTGGTACCTGACTCGGCTTCTGGGGTGCTCCTGCCATGGGCTTTAGTCGCAAACGGCGAAGCGAGCACAGAACAGGGGTCAAGAGATTATTCTTAGCTTTCCAACCCTTTTTCTTTTCAGGGTCTTACCGTAATGACCGTAATGTGGAGTGCGCTCAGCGAATGGAAGGTGTTCCAGGCAACCATGTTTACTCCCTTGGTTAGGGCAACGGGCAATCACACCCATCCGCTAGTTCCGTACAACAGCCCCAGTCGAATGATACCTAGACCTCCAGTTCGCGAACTTAAGTAAGAATTGGAGCCAGCTTATGAATCTTTTTTTGGCTGCTGATGATATTGCGATTTTGCGTGTACACTTATCACTGAACACTTAATAGTCATGGCCGTCTGATGAAATGAGACGCCCCCTAGGCAAATGGACCCCACTTAACGAATTGGTCTTACATCGCTCCGTCACCTTGTCTTTGTTTGGGGCTTAAGTTGGGATTAGAGTCCCTTTGAGAAATCATAAACTTCTTCTGGTCGCAGAAATATCAGGGGAAACAAACGAGGTGAAATGACATATCACGAACTTAATGGCGGCAAAAAGCCGACATGGAATATCACCTTAGATATTCTGTACGTCTCTTGGTGGTTCCCGCGTTTACCGTAGCTGACCGCGAACAGATCCTGGGTCTTCTGGTCAAACCTCACGGTGTTGTTCAATAAATGGATCTTGGACTCGACGGAATTCAGTAAGTTGAATACAGTCGCGCTGCAGGATAATTATTCCAACTAACCGCCGTGTCAGGATATCGTGAGTGTGTTGCTATCTGAAGGTGTTTCCAATTGCTAAAGAATTGCAGCCATCCTTCTCACGACATGGCATCTGGTATTCGCTACGGTGGTCACTCAGGTCCTGGCACGGACTACGACCTTACTCGATAGCCGTAAGAATATCGAGATGAATAGCCGAATGTATGCACGCACGATGCTTCCCATTGGCCTGCTATACAGCGGCAGCCTCGTCTTCGGAAATATAGTCTACCTCTACCTCAACATTTCATTTATTCAAATGCTGAAGGTATTATCCCATCGCCCTGCTAGTATTATATAGCTCAAAGCAACGTGAAGCTGACAATTCCACCAGGCCGCCGGACCAGTCGTCACCCTCCTGGTCAGCTGGTCATGGGGAGTAGCGACACCTTCAGTGGAGGTACTGATAAACGTCCTAGTCATCACATGCAGTGTGGGCCTGGCCGTGTCAGGTGAAATCCAATTTTCACTACTCGGCATCTTCTACCAGATGGCCAGTCTCTTCTGCGACGCGAACCGGCTCGTGATGATGCAAATCCTGCTCTCTGATGACGGCCAGAAAATGGACCCGCTCGTCAGCCTCTACTATGCCGCGCCGGTCTGCGCTGTCATGAACTCCATAATTGCCTGGAATACAGAGCTCAGAGATTTCCACTGGAGTGTTGTCCCCAACACTGGCTATTTGACGCTGTTGTCAAATGCTGTGGTGGGATTCATGCTGAACGTGTCGATCTTTGTCCTTGTGAGTAACTCGGTCCCGCACATGCAACGAACAGGCTAACAATGTCTTCAGATCGGAAAGACGTCGGGACTGACGACGACGCTTGTCAGTATTCCGAAGAACATTCTGCTGATTGTTGCCTCGGTCGTGCTCTGGCACACGCAGGTGAGCACGATTCAGATCGTGGGTTATTCGATGGCTTTGCTTGGGTTGGTGTACTATTCTCTGGGATGGAGGACGATCAAGAGCGGGATAGAGAATATTAGGGCTTGGAGGAAGGACCCTGCTGGGAGTATATATTCGGATAGAGTCTAATTATATGATTTCATGCAATGAAAGTGTATCCATGTTTCCTTTAGAAAAAAATAATGGTGCTCATTATAGTGTATACGATGGATTTCGATGGACACAGGCTTACAGTTATGCGTTGAACAGTCTAGTTACAGTGCTTGTTGTGCTCGAGGAGTACGATACAGCCTCAACTGTTTGACTCCATCTTCCATCGCCTGTCTAGAAAATTGAATTATATCTAGAAAGGGTCTGGTTAGTCGTTAGCTTACCACCAGTGTCAGCATTTGTTTATGACAAGATTGACTCTACCGTCTCTCCTTGGTATTTGTAAGATCTGTCAAGTATCGCTTAAAGAAACCATGACCAACGACGCTCAATATACAAAACTTCGTAGATTGACACACCACAACTGAATCGTCTAGCCCCCCACACAACACGATCCCCAGCTGTACAGGTAAAGATACCACCGCTAACACCCCATGCTAAGCACCCTCCCCATCCAACAATTGCACCATACCCATAGAATGCGGCATCGAATCGACAAACCCATTCCTGGCATACAGCTTGCGACCCGGCACATCAGCTAACAAGTTCACATAGGTACCCATCAGTCTCCCATCCGGCGCTCTTTCCGGCGGAGGCGCCAGCGAACGAATTTTGCTCATGAGGTGTTTCAAAACCACATCGCCCAGGCCCTTGCGCTGGTGCTCCGGCAGCACGGCCATATCGGCGATGTGGAAATACCAGCCTCCGTCGCCGATGACACGACCCATGCCGACTGTGACTTCGTCTGTGGTGTCGTTTGAACGGGATTTGGCAATGTCCTTGTTTTCTGGCTCGGAGTTTCCGTTGTACGTAATGTAGCACCCGTACCAGCTACCGCGCATTGCGGCCTCCGCTTGGGCGGCGCTGTGGGGTGATAGACCCGAGGCGGAGCGGAGGTGGATGTAATCTCGTACTGAGGGGTAGCCTTGGCGGAGGGAGTAGCCGGGTGGGAGTGTGGGTGTATTTGACATGGTTGCTTTTCTGGTCGGATCTGCTAATTGGAGTTGGAGTTATAGAATAGAATGGTAACTACTCTGAGGGTGATATAAGTATTCAAGAGTTGTGAGAGTTGTGCGGGGTGAGAACTCCGTGGCTATCGGACTACGGAGTAGCTTCGGAGTTCGAGTTGTGGCTTATATGGCTTGGCTTCAGAAGCCCTAAGAACAGCAAAGGCGATTTTCATTGCATGCAGCACCATTCATCTGTAGACTAGAATATGGTTTAGCCTTTTGACTTGATTGATATTGCTTGCTGCCTGGAAATGGATGCATTATGTTCTTGTTTATAGTATGTTGAGACCCCGCCGTTGCGAATATTGTTGCAGGATCCACAGATACTGAGCCTGGTCCTTGGTGGTGCCCTTGCGTTGGACAATGGGACGAATGCTCTCGTCAACATTGCTTCGCTGGTTGTTGGTGATGCAAATGCCGACACTGAGGCGCGCGACAAGACACCTGCTTACTATACCTCGACTCTTTCAGTGAATGATGCTAAGCGCAACGAATCGCAGGAGTTTATAGTCTCGATTCATGATGCAGTCAATGAGAATGGAAGCGAGAAATACCCTCTTGATGTTCGGATGAATTGTTTTGTGACCAAGCTTGAAATTAATGATTCTGCTAACCCACCTCGCGCCATAGGCGTAGGGCTCCTCGACGGCAAATATTTGTACAAAGCCAGTCCCTTATCTAGCAATGGTAAAGCCGGTGTCCACTGCGTCGTGCGAGGTCATCATCGCTCGAGGGGTATATAACTCGCCACAAGTACTGAGCTCAAGAAACATGGCATCAAAGTCCCAGTCGACCTACCAGGCGTGGGGAAGAACCGTCAAGATCAATATGAAGCAATGGTACAGGTTCATACCCCGAAAGACATCTCCTCTCTGAAGGCATGTCCTTTCCGCCTCCACGGCCAATCTGACCCATGCCTTACACGCTGGATGAAATCAGTACTCGGCGACCGCGGCATCTACAGCTCTTCAGGTGTTCTCACATCGATGTTCTACAAGAGTACAGCCACTACTAGCGACGAAATTGACATCAATCTGTTCTCTGTTGTGGGTAACTTCCGGGGCTATTTCCCGGGCCACGCTGACAACGCCACTGCCAGGCACGACTAGTTCACCTGTACTGCGCTTGAAGCTTATCCTCGAAATAACGCGGGAACTGTGACACTTCGGTCTGCGGACCCGCTCAATCCGCCGGAAATTATGTTCAATTACTTCGACACCGGCATTGGCGACTACAGGGCAGACCTACAGGCTATGTATGAAGCACTCGAGCTGGGCTGTAGGGCTTTCAAGCATCAGCTCCTCCCCGTTTCTGAGGTCCTACCTGGTGCCAACGTTACCTCCCAAGAGGACATAGAGACTTATATCAAGGACACCGCATGGGGACATCCTTCTATGCGTACTTGTCCGATCGGCAGCGATGATGGCCCGATGGCCGTGCTTGATTCAAAGTTCCGGGTTCGTGGGGTGGACCGGTTACGCGTCGTTGACGGCTCTGCGTTTCCTCGTATACCGGGTACATTTCCTGCTCTGGCGATCTATACAGTGGCCGAAAAGGCCGCAGATGTGATTTGGAGTGAGATCAATATACCGATTGAACACACTAGATAACCTGTCCAGCCAGCCTCGCATTGCAGTCTAACTGTAGCTCATATACACTTAATTCTATTTCATCAATATCTCTCTTCAGGTCTATCCCCTTGTCCTACCAACCCCATCTTGGCGAACTTCCTCACAACCCCCAGAGTAGCATAATAGCTAAAGGGCAACGCAACACACCACAACCCCAGATTAATTCCCGCAGTCACAATCAAAGCCGTCGGCACAGCCTGCACCCCGAACCCGACCGCCACACCGGCAGTCTCAATCCCCCTCAGCAAAGAGCTATATCTGATCTGATCACCGGGCGAATCCGACAGATTCCCAATACACCAGTAGATATAGTTCTCGACCATGCCTAAGCTGATCCGCTCGAACATGTAGACCCCAAAGCCGCGCCCAAACGCGCTTTGGTCCGCCCAGTCCAGCACGGGCTTGGTATGTCTGTATTCGTTTTGAATCACCACGGCCCAGATCCACGTTGCGGTGTTCATGGCTGCAATGAGGCCGTATGTTGTTACAGCCCTTGCCTTCCGGCTTGGAAGCCAGGGTAGGTCGACGAGTGTACCGCCCAGCCAGGTGGCTAGCGTGCCGACTACGGCCGAGAGGAAGCTGCCGAGTGCCCGGGAGCGAACCGTGAAGTAGGTTGCCAGGTAGGTGCCCGGGTAGGCCTGGATCCAGCCGAAGTACCAGAACAGGGGCGTGAGGAGGAGGATAGATTTGCTTCGGGCGAGACGCCACATGGCACGCAATTCTGTGCGCCAGTTTATGTTCCTGGGGGCTTCGATGCGAGTTCCGTCGTCGCGTTGGACTTTCTCTGGGTTCGATAGTAAGAGGCCGAACACTAGACCCAGGCATTGGATGGCGATGAAGCCGAGATAGGTTTGGTATCCTACCTGCCCGCGTTTGTTGACGCTGTGGTTGATCCCCAGGGAGATGGCGCCGCCGATGATGTTTCCGAAATTCCGGAATGTGAACCACGTTGCGATGTACCGGCCTCGTTTGTGCTGCTCTGGATAGCCTGTGGCGATGGCGCCTTCGACGCTCCAGAAGAAGCCGGCACTGAGGCCGCAGGTTATGGAGCCAAGATAGACGAGCCAGGTTGCGCCGGTGCGGTTGTTCAGATATAGACCTGCGGCGTAGAGCGGGTAGCCGACTGACCCGATTGCCAGCGTGTAGCGGAACCCGATGATGTTCGTCAGCCAGGGGCCGGCAAAGCAGGTGACCGTCATAAAGGCGTACAACAGGGCGTTGGCGGCGTTCACCAGGTTCGGACTTTGTGAGCCCCCCACGCCCAGGCCGTTCATGGCGCTCCATATCCCTGGGGCACAGAAGGCGCAGAGGCCAACAACGAGGATTTGGAATAGCGTGCTGCGAATGAAGGATCGCCTTTTTTGCAGGTGATTCTCGCCATTGTCGGTTACTGTCGGGGATACTTGTTCTCCGTCCTTGCTGCTTGCTGTCATCGTGAGAACAGCGTTTGACCCCTCCTCTTTGTTTTTGATAATGTCTTGCGTGCTGGGGTGGGAGTCTCAATAACAGACTGGCTGACTCTTCACTCAGATTATAGATAGAGATCACTCATCATTCCCCAAGCACGCAAGATCATCCCCCCCTTGCATGATAACTATCTAACCTCGGCCATGGCGCGTCAAGAACCTGAAGGACCGGTAGATAAGGACCTAGACTTGTGACGCAATATGCAGAGGACCACTCATAACCGACAATCCTTGTCTTGCTCGAAGATTATCACAAGCAGCAGCCAAATGGCGGGGTTGGCGCAATCTTGGCGCCACTGAGCACATCATCGACCTATCGCACCGAGATAGTCGATGCGGGGATGGATGGCAGTTATATACCGAGCAGTCCAACCTTGTTCTCTCACGAAGACCCAACCCTTCCAATCCATATAGATAGACACAATATGACCACCTCCATCGAGCAATTGAATATCCCCAACCTCCTCCTCACCGACACCCCATCTCCAACCATCACATTCGAACCCTTCACGCTCCCCCCGACCAACCAACGCATTCTCGGCCCACCGCATCCCAGCAACACCGTGATCCCCCTAGCCCTACGCCCAACAGAGGACAGTAAACAGTCCCTCACTCTCGACGCCATCATTTCCACAATTGAAACCCTACAATCGCGCGATCAAGCCTTCACCAAATACCTCGCGCGCCACGGAACCCTCCTCTTCCGGGACCTCCCAATCCACAACGCGGACGACTTCAGTAGATTCGCCCACGCCTTCGGGTACAAGCCGCACGAGATCATCGGCATCGTAGTCGATCGCCCCGTACTCGCCCCGAATGTAGCCCCCGCCAACGAGGCACCGAAAGAAGTGCAGATCTATAACCACAACGAGTCGCCGCAGGTTCCGCATGCGCCGGAGTATATCTTCTTCTATAACCAGCACGCTCCGGCGAAGGGCGGGGAAACGCCGATTTCTTCGTCGTTGGAGTTGTTCCGGCGTGCGCAGGCGGAAATACCCGAGTTTGTGGATGAGCTTGCTGAGAAGGGCGTTCTGAGTCGGGTGGTCTACAATTTTGACAAGCAGTATGAGGGCGGGTCGACGTTGCGCCAGGCATTCGGGAAAGAGATCCAGGATGGGGACGATGAAGAGACGAGGCGCAGGAAGATCGAAGCGCAGATTGCCCGGTATGGTCGTGGGGGCCATACGACGTGGGAATGGACCGAGACTGGGATCGTGCTTACCCATCGACTGCCGGTGATTCGGACGCAGCCGGGGACGAATCTGCCCACGCTGTTTACTGGCCTGGCGGCGTACTATAAGAGGTTACAGGCAAATGACCAGAGGAAGAATGTGACGCATCAGCTCTATGGTGATGGGACACCTATTCCGGAAAAATACCTGGCGCATTTAGCCAAGATTACGGATGAGATTAGGGTGCTGCATCGGTGGCAGGAGGGGGATGTATTGGTTTTTGATAATATTATTGCACAGCATGGGAGGGAGCCATGGGAAGGGGAGCAGACGGATCGTGTGGTGCTGGCAAGTTTATTCGACGGGCCCTCCGTGCCCGGTGCTTATGGATTTGGGGATTGGGCACAGGTTGTGCAGGCACTTGATGGGTAGGGTACAATTGATTTGTCGCAGATTGGATTGGTATATTTATTATTCTCTTCGGTACTGTGTTGAACACACTCTCTTGCACTGGGAAGTATTTGTCAAAGGGGTATGAAGATATGTTCTGATTAGGTATTTATTCGGTGTCATGAGAAAGGAAAGCATAGTAAAACATAATGCACGAAAGCTATTTCCGGAATAAAAGATATGTCCCACCTGACCCGTTTGAGCACGGCGATTTGTACATGAAAAGAAAAGCCAACCGATCCCTTATTGCGTCTTGATCAACCACCCTACGGCGCCTATCGCACCGGCAGCGATCATGACCGTCAAGATCCAGGCTCCGGCCCGATCCGCGGTCTCAATCGGCTTCGACTTGGTCGGGTCCTTGCTGCTGTTGTCGTTATTGTCAATGTGGTGTTCCGCTGCGTCGGGATTTGTGTCGATGGTCTGCGGCGCCTTGCTCTCCAGGAGCATCAAGTTCGAAGTAATGCCACCCAATGCGGCCATCTGCACTTCCAGGCCCGACATCCCGTCCCAAGTGGGTTTGCCCCATGTTTCACCACAGAGATTGTCGGACCCGCCCGAGCACTGCTTTGCAATTGCTTCTGCAGAGCCTTGCAGTTTGGGGAGGATTCGGTCCGCGGTCGAGGGAACCAAAATGGCGGTATGGGCCAGCCACATAGCCGTATATCCCTTAAAACCTAATTGGTTGCGATCGCAGCTCATGATCGGCTCACAGGCCACCTCCGACAGCACGTTACCGCCGAAGTTGGACGGGAAGAACGTGGCAAAGGTGCTTTCTAACAAGCCATTGACGCGCTTCAACCACTTCTCGTCGCCATTGGTCTAGGTACAGATCAGTATGCTGGTCAGGAAACAGGCAGAGTCGGACGGGATGACCTACATAGTTATACATGAACGCGGCACCTGACATAAAGGTTCCGTAGTTGTACGTCCATTGGTTGTTGCCGGAGTCTTTGCAGTTGTTTTCATTTGACGTCGAGTCAGCCACGTACCACTTCTCGGTGCGGATGAGAGGTGAGCTCGCCGACCAGTCCCAGATCTTCTCGGCCCACTCGGCGTAAGTGTCATTCTTGGTGAAGCGGGCGAGACGAGCGGACAACTCGAACAGACCGCCATTCGAGATGGAGTTTTTCATGGTGTAACCCGCCTGGTAGGGCCAGATTTGCCAGCGCAACCCACCATTGCAAGCGGTCTCATCCCACCGCTCGATCTGCATATTGAACACAGTCCGAGCCAGAGACGTCCAGGTGGGTTTCCCCGAGATTTCAGGGAACCCGGTCTCCGACGCGGTGATACTGGCAAGACCCCAGAACATCTGGTCATCGTTTCCCTGGTTCACGGTTAACTATGATACCCATCCGTGGGACGCGTCTCACACCTACCAGCCATTGACTATAGTTGGCGGAGAAGTAATCGTAATTCTCCCCCGCCTGGAACATCATATCATGTGACACGACCTTGTTGTATTGGTCGACACCCGAGGTGGCCCAGTACTGAATCAAGGTCATGAACATGGCGCCAGCGACGTACCAGGTGTCGGTGAGCTTGCCGGGAATGCCTTCCGTCTGATTTTTGTCATAGAAGTCCATCATAGGATCGGCGATCTGCTTCCCCGCATTGGCCAACGAATCTGGAAATCATGCCCTAAGAACTCGTACTCTTTCACCCACAGAACCGAATTAGGAAATAGAAAGCATCGACATACCCTTACTATTCACCTGCACGGTGAGAGCCGACAGGGCCACCTGCCCCTGAAGCAGGAGCAGGACAGCTCCGCCGAGCTGTTGCCAACTTAGTCCGCGCATATGGGGGTGTTTGTGTTTGTTTGTGTGAGAGTCAGTATAGTATGTATTATGAACAGATTTATGCTTAATTCAGGATTAATCGCCCTAGTTTGGCTCCAGCTATGCGAAGGGCTGGTATGACGGAGCTTTATTTTTTCCCAGGGGCGACGGGACAGCCATTATTATTATGTGGTGGAATTTTAAAGGGGGGGAAAGACGAGGAAAGGCAAGTTTGGCAGTGAAACGCCAAGGGACCAGTGTATCCGCCAAGATGTCCACGCCACAGTCGCGTCCGCCAATGGGATCGCGGCGCTCCCTGCTTTTTCGGGGGTTTTAGCGCGCGCCAAGTCTCATCGCGTTTTCCTGGCTGCCTGTTGAATCTTCGTTTCTTTATTAGGGGTTCATGTCAAGTCGCAGAGGGCGCTGACCCTGGTTTGATCGTCTTCGGTTCCATCGTCTGTCTTCCCCAGACTTGTTGCTCCGTGACGAATCCTTTTGCGGTCCAAGACTTGCACAACGTGGTGCTCCTGGGTTGAGTTTCTCGGCGTCATTTCTTCCCGTATGCTAACCCTACCTTGGCGGCCAAAAGGGGCGCAATGATGGACGTTCCGGCAAGAGGTGGTGTAGGGGAAAGTCGGAGGACAGGCTATCTTTCTAACTTACTCAAGGTCCTTCCTCAAACTGTTTCCTCATGATCTCCAGCGGGTGGGGATCAATCACATTGAATTCCTTGCAGGTAGGTTTGCTATAAATAGCACTGAAACCGGCATTCATGATTCTAGACCCGACCAGATGACAGTCGTATTCGTTTACAAAAGGAACAAGATCCCACCATGCATACATTGTTTGTGTCGCTTTCTTTTCATCATCAAAGAGACTCGACCCTCCTTGTCGGAAGGAAATTGAAAATGAAATTGCGACTCAAGAATTGGATCGTCCCCACTGGAAAAACTTGAACTAGTGGGGCACGTGTCCTGACGCCTTGCCCCTTTGAATGATTTTGAACTCTTTCAGCTCTCGGGACTTCCGCATCCGTCAACGCACTCCCCTTTTCAAATTGCGATCTATCTGGTCTTGAACATAGCCACAAGTACTCCGTATTATGCAACTGAACAATGGAACAGTACCAAAAATGCACAGGAATGACAGGGAACTGAAGGACAAAACTGCGAATGGGCGGCAAAGGTTACAACCGGGCTAATGGCCCATCACTTCTCACGACGCCCAGCGAAGCCGGAGAAATATCCGCTACGCTCTTACAGCCCGTGAGCTGCATGCAGCGTTTGAACTCCGCATATAGAATCTCCAGCACTTTACTCGCCCCGGCCTCTCCGTCATACTACCGCGAGAACTGATCAGCGACACTGCTGCTTGGAGGAATGGAAGAGCATCGTTAGATGCGTGACTTACTGCAAGACCCCAGATGATCGGCCGCCCAATCCAGCAGCATTCCGCACCAAGCGCCAGGGCTTTGAAAATATCCGTTCCGTTGCGGATCCCCCCGTCGATGTGTACTCGGATCTTACCCTTCGCAGCTTTCGCACACTCCGGAAGGGCATCAATCGTGGCCGGAGTGCCGTCAAGCTGTCTGCCGCCATGATTACTCACGACGACTCCGTCACAACCGTACTGGATGGCAAGCTCCACGTCCTCCGCCGTGAGCACGCCCTTGATCCAGATCTGCATTTTGGTCACGCTTCTGAGCCAGGGGATTTCCCGAGCCCATGAATGCGAGCTTGAATTGACTCCCGTGAACCCATCCTCGTGTCGCTCAGCACGAATCATCTCCGATGTCTTCTCCAGCATGGGAAAGGCGAGGCCTTCGGGCGCTCGGAAATCATTCCGATGCTCACTGTACCGCACGCCAAGAATCGGACTGTCCGCCGTTAAGAAGATCGCGACGCAACCCGCCGCTTCGGCACGTCTGATAATGCGCTCCTGGTGTGCTCGATCTTGCATGGTATAAATCTGCATGGTGTGCTGTATCGGTCCGACGTCCATCCCCGCCGCGCGGATCTCCTCCACAGAATAATTTGCGAACGACGAAACACCCATGTGGACCTGTTGTTTCGCACACGCGCGACTGGTCGCCAGTTCACCATCTGGATGTGCCATTGCCTGGATGCCCGCCGGCGCTACACATAGCGGAAAGCTGATCTTCTCTCCGAACACGGTGGTGCTCGTGTCTGCCTGGGAGACGTCCACGAGTACCCGCGGACGCAGACGGTACTTCGCATAGGCGGTGGAATTCTCCGTGACGGTGACTTGGTCCGTCGAGCCTGCATTGTAGAAATCTGTAGCATCTCGTAATCAGTAACAACGGAATTGTGCGTGGAATGCTCATGTCAGTATCACCCCGCACCTCTGGATGATGCGGGTAGCTTCTGCCCCGCGGCGGATTTGATATCCTCGATGCACAGGATCATCTCTTTCGGCGATTGGGCCCCCATGATGCTTCGGAGCCTGGTATCAGGTGAAGGTAAAGTGTTTAACACAAAGGCCCGACTTCGTATGTACGTTGCAGATGGCTTTATCTGCTATGGACAATATTACAGAGGAGCTTCTTGTAGACTCACGTGACACCGTGACTGCACGCCCTACTGTGCGCCCTATCATTCCATTCGAGATGATCGGCCCTCTCGTCAAATGAGAATAAACTATCTGTATCGGACTTCGGTCCGACTCTCCTATCATCCACTCAATTAACTTTGTCGCCAACAGGTGGATGGTTCGACCCAAATATTATTCACAGGAACATCGCATTGACTTTGGCGAGATAATGCGGGGTAAAGTCTTTCAAGCTTATTCTATTAGGCCAATACGCCCCTACGTTTCTAGACTCGGGGCGACCCATTACCTCTAGATAATACTGTATGGAGTACTCTACAAGAAAGGTCGGAGAGTGCATTGGCCACGACATTTGCGTAGGCATGATAACTTCCTGTTTAGCATCGTCAAGTGGAGGAACTGATAATTCACTCAGATGCAATCTACATTAATTTTGATCTGCCCGGTTGATGTTCCATTATGAGGGGACAATAGTATGGCAAAATCCGAATGACTTTGTTTACCGCAAGTGTGAAGAGGTCAATACCTAGTTGCTGACTCGCCTAGATATAAATTAGCAGCGATTGCCGGGAGCTCCACATTAGCACCTACAACACTTGGTACAGCAACAATTGAGAGAATCCCGTCAGCTTTCCTCCTAGAGGCCTGACGTAGTACATCAAAACAAAATTATATATATATATATATACCGGATATCATATTTGTTTGATCCTCATGTAAACATTAACCGACCCCAGTACTGGTGTAGGGATCGGTTATACATCATAACATCCATCCCAAACACGTTTACTTCTTCTCCTCACCCTCAGGAACCAACTCCTCGAATCTCCGGAGATCCATCTCCTTCTCCAACAGAGGAATGACATAGGGATCGAAAGTCTTCCAGTAAGGGTTCTCGAGGTGATACTTCTGCGAGCCCTCATTGAGATACCGCTCCACGATACAGAAATCCTGCTTATCATGGACCGACTGCATCACGAACCAGGAGAGAGTCTCCTTATCCTTCGAGTAAACGGCCGAGGCCTCCAGGAGCTTGGCGTGGAGCTTGGAGATAGACTCCTCATCGGGCTTCGCGCGCATGTCTATAATCCCACCCCGGCCGAGTTAGTCTCAATCAATCACCGCGCTGCGAAAGCCATTCCGGGGAGATAACGTACGGACAACGATTGTGTAGACCATCTTGGGCACTTTGGGATTTGCTTCCAGGTGTGAAACGTGGAGGTTTGGAGGGGTAACGGAGCTAAGTTGCGAGTTCTTATATGGGACTGTGGGGCGGAGATGTTGCTTTTGCCCTTTGGGGCTTCTTCGGTGAATAAGGGTTTGGGTTGCTGGTGGGGGTGACTTGTTGGGGATTGAGTCGTTGGAGTATTATGATATCATCATATTAGGGATGTTTGGGATCTCTTGAATGTGCTCCTCGCTGCTTGCTGGTGTCATTCTTCGAGTTGGGTCTGGAGGAGGAAGAGAGAGAAAGAGCTCTAGAGCACGATATCCATCACAGCGATTTGGGATGACGATGCTCCAAGCGCTTATCTTATCGAGTTCATGTGTTGTGTTCATGCCTTGGGCAGTAAGCTTTTGATCACGTGTGGATGTTGTCGGCATCCCGGTTTCACCCGGTGTGGATTTGCATCTCCAACTCCTGAATCTAGGTCGCACACAACCCTGGTAACGGAAACCAGTTTTCTTGGGGGGTTAAACAGATTGTCCAGAAGTCCAAAAGATGTGTCAGTTTAACCATGCACTGCAAGTTTCGCTGTTCAAAGGACAAGGTTTTATATGCCAAGAGGCCCACGGAATGTGCTCCCGGTTTGCCGATCCGAGTGGAACTGATATGCCGAAGGGAAACCTATCGGGATTACCAAGAAACCGAGGGTCAGGGCGTTGCAGTCTTGATTCATTGCTCTTTAGGGTCTAGTCTCTTCGTGGCATCTCATACTACCTGGTGTGGCCCTTCGCGATTCATGGTTCTGTGTTTGTAGACTGCTATTATTCGATAGAAGGTGTACTATGAATCGCCGGACTTGGGCTGTCGCTGTGCTTATTGTAGTTTTGGACGACAGTTCCAGAGTTGGACCAGTTTGCAAGAACTGAGACGTAATATAGGTTCCGAGTCTATGGTCTGCCAAGTGGAATAGATAAGGAGAGAGATATAAACAGAAATCAGCCCCTGCTATCGTCAAAGCATCCTTTCCTGTCTATTAACATCAATTTGGACCACCGGACCAGAAGGATCGCACTAGTCCATGGACGTTGAAAGCGGAATCCTTCCGAATGGCGCCCAATATAGACCAACGCTCCCGTACTTTTGCACAGACCCTTACGGAGAATATAGATCTAAATATGGTCCAAAGTAAGACAACTGGTCCACATGGAGGAGTTCCAGTGGTAGAAATAGATTGGGGGAAGTATCCAAATCTCGACGCGCCCAGGGGCTGAGAGTATCTGATTGATAATCCAGATAACATCAAGAAATGAATCTTACACTGTGTGGTCCTCATAATAGACAAAAAGTTAATAAAATACGTATGCCAGGTCATAAATGAATCAATGTATCTACCCAGCTCAAACAACATACGGTATATACAGACAAATGGTGTGAAAAGAACATCCTCCATACCCTGAACGGATATTATAGATCCTATGGTATAAGTTTCTACCCAATCTGCCACGTCATATGTCTCTCTGGCACGCTATGCGCAGATCTAGTGTTGAATTCCACTTGAACATCATCTGTCCGCACAATAGCACCGAGAGGATGACTATTTTTCTGCCGTTCTTCAGCACCAAGGATACTCTCTTGGCTCTCAACGTGTGTAATCGACCGATCCGACCGCCGGTTTGTTTTATGCCCGGTTCTCTGGAAAGCGGAATCGCGTGGATAGTTGGCGTCTTTCCCTCGGGGGCTTCGAGTACGCATGTGTCCCCTAAGCGTCAGCTCGATGATGGGTTGGAGAGTCGGGATGCAGGATGCTAGAATGAGAACATTTGATTCCACGCTGGATTGGTTAGTATGAGTTTGTCAAGAGAGAATGTGCCTGTCTTACTTTGTCCACATGACAAGATCCGCGGTTGCGTCTGGGATTGTTAGCAATAGCTGGAGAGATGAGTTCTGGGGCTTCTCACATGTATAGTCATCCTGATTCGCAAAGTCTGGAAACTGCGTACTTTTTGCAATAGCGGTCGCCGCGGCACTTGCATCGATTAGTTATCGTCTACCAAATGTGACGGACAGTTAACATACATGATCCCCATACCCAAAGCCGCACAAAGTGCTAGGCGTTTCCGCAAGGGCATGCGGAGTTTCATGAGGACAGTACTGGGATATATGGCCAAGTACAGATCGACACTTGCCGACAGCGCTACCACGCAATCAGTTGTATTCCCCAACGATATCCGAGAACAGCCTACCAGCATTAAAGATGGCATACTTGATTAAAATTTGCACATCATTGCAGTTTGCGTTGCCCTCGGTGACGAGGCGGCGCTGCCATGCGGCCTGAGGAGGGTCACATTGCACAAATAACAAAAATATACATGCGAATGACACCGACGCCGTCAGTCCAATCATGGTCCATAGCCATATACGCTGTGCACGGCTTGGGTTGAGAATCCGAGTCAAGAGAACCGTTACTGCGACCTTGGGAACGGTGAAGCAAAAGATGCCGATTGCGAAGCTGATGGTATTGACCAAGCTTATGGTCTCCACGGTGCTTGGGTCCAGGAACCAGGCGTGTTTTCCGTATCCCATATGTACGTTTGCCGTTGTCATTCCCACGGACGTTAATGTTAGGCACTGTACACGGTAAGCTGTGAGACTCTGATGTACGAAGGTAATCTAGGGGCATTACCAGTGCCAGAATAATAATATAGTCATCAATGCCGGCATTGCGAATCAACCATTGACGGATGTACACACGTGCAGCGACGACAATAGTCGTAAGGGCTGATAATGTCCATACCACTGCAAGAATCCGAGGACCTTTATCATGAGTATCAGTGTTAGTCACACTGGCAGACATTGTAAAATGTCTGCCTTTGCCGTTACCTAGGACGGGGTTGCGGTAGAGATCGAGGTGAGAACATTGATCAGAAATTAGAAAAAACAACCCGACTTCGGACTTGTGTAGGGGCAGCCCCCACCTAGTATATAACTAGGGACGATGCAGAATCCGTGCAGACATACTGGGTTAGCAAACTTGGTAAACGTGTCGTTGAAAATGGAGTCAGGCAGGCCAGCCGAGATGAGATCGCGCTACACCATGATTTCTGCATAGCCTTGCCCAAGGATATATTGGCTAATAGCAGCTGGATCCAATCAGGACGAAAGGATGCAACAGATCAACGCTAGTACTGGGCCGTTGTGACTGTTGATGCTGGAATCCACTCTTTCGGAGCATCTTCTGCAATTCGGTCCCACATCAAAGATTTATAAGGCAAGAGTGGATATATATAGACTCATCCCGCGACCACCTGCCTTTCGATTCCATACCATATGACACGCCGTTTAATAAGATATGGCGAATATGAGCAGCTCATTAATATGCAGCAAACTCTCGAACAGCTAGTCGATTTTCTCGGGTCGTTGTCAGTTACATTACGTACAGTACATGCCAATGCGACAGGAGAACGGGTTGATGACACGAAGGATTCGATAGCTTCAGCTCCATATATGGAAGACCAGTGTGATCTGCCCAATGCTGTTTGTTGGATTTATCTAGAGGTAGCATTCCCCACCCAAGGCGAACTTCAGGCAGTAGCCGAAGAATGGCGTGTCTTGGCCATGTAGATCTTCGTTTTATATGGAAAAAGACCCTCTCGCCAATTATTCCTTAATCGTGGTGTTTCTCCATCGTTTCTCCGAGGCATAATTCTAAAAGGCGCGTCTTCACGGCCTCCCTATCTGGGGCTCCCTTTCCACTGCCTTCTTTGTTCCTTTGAACCCTCCAATAGAATTTCCTCAATACAATGAAAATGAAACATTGGCAGTTCCGGAACACAGAATAAATTTCATAAGTAATACCGAATGCCTCAAAAAAGCCTCAGCACCTGCACTCACTCTTTTCGAACTAATGTGACTCAGGGAACACCTCAGTATGGAGAGGCCGAAGAATACAGTAGATGACATATAGATTCCCCTGACAGGGAATTATGGTGTGATGGCCACTCCGTATTGTGGAGAGTTAGACTGCTGAAATCGATCCACACTTGGTGAGACATCAGGTACAACTGACAATGGGACTACCAGAAGATAGAAATGGATCGGATTCAACTGTGCCTGCCGCTAATAGGCCTGTGGTTAAGCTTATTAAATTCGGAAGCTTTCCGGCCGTAACAGCAGGATGGACTTATGATTCCGACCTGGTGGCAACCATGGGCCGGACTTGATACTAGCTGATTTATGCAGACGCTAATCCTTGCATAAGTTGCAAATTGTATGGCCATTGACAAGCCAAGCGAGTGAGAAAAAAAATTTGCAGTGGATAAGATACAAGCCGCATTCATCACAATGCTTGGCAAGTACCCGCATGTCTAGCATTTTTCTTTCCAAGCAATTTTCTCAAAAACAGCCGACCAAGTATGCCCCTTCATGTGTTGTCATTGACGCGTTTTGAACTGCTTCCACGAGAGGAAACTGGGGCGACTGCTGCAGTAGCTTAGGATGTAAGAACACTGTCGACTACGCCATCAACACTTCTGTCTCCCTTAATGGGCGTTTTCAGTTGATGGGCCGGCTGCAGGACGCTCATAGCATCAAGGGATTTATGCGAACTGAAGTTCTCCTGATTGCCAGCAAACATATAGAGTGGGCCGATCAGTTGGTGGAGCTTTCGTCCGATGAAACTGTTGTTAAATCGCCGAATGCTTCCCGGGACGGGACATGTTTCCGTGGCTCTTGGCTTCAAAGTTGTCTGGCCACAAAAGCCTCGGTACTAAATCATGCGTTATAGAGCCCAATACAAAGTTGAAGGTCACGCGTACAGCGTCTTATGTATCGGCTTGCATAGCACCTGATACGTCCTCCTTAGCGTTGCAGCTACTGAAAATTCACTGACGCGGGTTGGGTCATCATGTACCCTAAGCCTTGGTGGCATCGCTCTTGGAACTCTTCTGGTGGGGTTCATATTGCTTGAATCCACAAGAGCTACGCGTCTTAGACCACCCTTCCAGATTGAGGGAAATGATTGGTCATTTTTCTTCTTCTGTTCAACTATGTACTATATGCATGCACAAGATAGAACAGCACTTGCGTCTAAAGAATCTTTCTTCCTAGGAAACCCCATATGTGTCGCCTTGAATAAACGCTCTATGAAAGGTTCGTCCAATACCATTTAACATCAGGGTAAATTGTTTTTCTCCAACAAATCTTAATCTGCAATCTAATCGTCCTTTAAAACACTTCCTCGATCAGATGTCCATGTCAAAACTTAATTTGGGAATCAGATCTGATATATCCGAAGAATGCAACGATATATACAACACCCCACTTTCATTCGGCCGAGGATAGATAAGCTGTTAAGCTGTGACTGTGTACTGTTTATAATCAAGTTCGCCTGGCCAGCGGGCGTGGGGGTGCTACCTTGTAGGTAATACTAAGCTATCTTCAATTTAAAGATCAAGGCAAAGCTTCCACTAACCCAGGAACACACATTGGGAGAGCTTGACTTGCGAAACGAGAATTTACAGGACCGCGTCATTGGCGCAAAGTTACCCTTAGCTTAACAGCGGTTAGTCTAGTTTTATTCGTGGGTCTATGAGCCGATACTAAGATTCGCCAGAGCCTTGCCTTATCTTGATATCGTCGGGGAGCCGATCATTCGGCCTCGTACGGTTGTCCTTGCTGTGACAATGATCGCCGCACTGGTGCCGCCCAGTGACTTTCGGGTTTTTTTGTGTCGCTTGTGACATATTACTAATATTATATTTGAAGAGCTTTTATAGCATAGATGAGAATTCCAGTGGAAATCCCTGAGCTGCTGTTGTGCCGATCGCTGTAGCAGGTATTTTTTACGGGGTAGCAAGTCCACCTACCTCAATTAAACAGATATATATTTCCGATGTTGAGCTCACTCGGCCAGAAAACTTTTGATATGCTGCACATTGATTTAAAAAAGAAATACACCAAGCAAATCACCCTGTTTTTCTTTTTTCTTTTTTTTTTTTTTTCAGCTTCCCCGTTTGCTTGTCTGTATTGGACTGTATTAAGTAGACCACGGAAGAAGTTTTTAGCTTGAGGTGGTAGTTCAGCAAATAAAGGGGGAAGCCCCCATGAATAACGCACCAAAGAAAAGATCATGAGCCTCTCAAGACATATACACTTGAAGGCTGACCTAAAGAAAACAGTCGCTAATCACGTGCTCACCCACGTCGTGAGTATGGGTGAGGCTCGAATCCCAGCATGAGCGGCACCTTGCGTGGAAGGGATGCGAGGGTCTGCTGCCACATTCCCCTTACCACAACGCGTGACAGAACGCGTTTCTCGACTGAGTCATTTAAAGCTTGTACACAGTGAGCTCAAAACGAAAAGTGCATTTTTGCGCTTTGTCGCATCTCCATGGCGGCATTTGATTAGGTCAGTTACAGTGCAGACGTGGAGACATGGGTTCCTGGAGAAAGGTCGTTGGGAAAACGGATAGAAGGTTGCTTAATTGTCATAAAAAAGGCTCAAGTATCTAGTCCAGAGTAGGAAAAATGACGAACCCGATGACAATGTCCTATCCATTGTAGCCTTAATCCCTCACCTAGCAGATGGATCATCGGCACTAACGATACCTAGTGTCGGCAATGAGACTGTGCCCTACTTACCATTGGCTCGTTTATCAGCAAGACATGTCAACCGAGGTTCATGGATGGCTTGTTTGCATTTCTATCGTTTTTTGGTGCTTGTCCATATTGGAGCGGTGCATACCTTTGACCAAAGTATTGCAAGCAGAAGCATCCCGGTGAGAGGAGACATTGCGAAGGAGAGATCTAACCAAACACGAGGCCGGGAAGTAGTATATATAAATTGGCTTGACCAGGAATTGCCGAAGGCGCCAATTGTACTCCGTAGTGCGAAAATAGGATTTGAATCCCTGTCATACGAGGGGTGAGGATAAACGTGTAAGTTAGCGCACTCCTTACTCTTATAACCCCTACAATCCTGCACCTAGCACTCTATTGAGATTACGCAAATCACCACGATGGTCATTCGTATACCTATCCTTCTGTTAGTTCTTTGCGGCCCTGTGTTTGCACGCTCGGTAGCTGGATCGGCTGTTCAAACATCCAACGGCGAGATTATTGGCCATAGATCGCACGAATATCCCGACGTGATTGAGTATCTGGGAATTCCCTATGCTGCACCACCAATTGGGAAATTGCGCTTTGAACCACCAGAACCATATCAAAGGGGTCCAGAGTATGTTGCCAGCCACTATGTAAGTCTGTCTAGTCTCTGGTATTCGGAGCCACACTCTCGACCCCCCATAAATATTGACCAATATGTTTTGTAGGGATTGTAAGTTACACAACAGAAGACCAGAAATGTATTTCATCTGAAACGTATAGCGACTGCCCATACGCTGTGGGGTCAACGATTAATTACCCTCATAAAACACCACAGTTCGACAATATAATGAGCGCTTTCACCTCATCAACGAATAACAGTCACAGTGAAGACTGTCTGACCCTAAATGTCTGGAGCAAGAAGGCAGACAATTACACCTTAAAGCCTGTTGTAGTTCATTTCCATGGCGGGAGTAGGTTCCCAATGCATGCTCAAGTATTAAACTGACAATAATCCAGGATGGACATCCGGAACAACCAATACTCCTTTCTACCAGGGAGCAAACTTTGCCTATGTTGAGGATATTGTTGTTGTCACTGCGACATACCGAATGAATATTTTTGGCTTTCCCGGTATCCCTGGGAAGCAGTCCAATCTCGGACTTCTAGACCAGCGAAAAGCAGTGGAGTGGGTACGGGACAATATCCAGGCATTCGGCGGTGATCCCAGTCGAATTATAATGTCAGGGCAATCTTGTGGTGGCGCCGCCGCCGATTATTGGGCATATTCATATCGTGACGACCCTGTCGTGGCTGGCCTCATTTCGCATTCGGGAACGGCGGACAGCTTCCCAGCCAATTCCCCAGAATTATCCACACAGCACTGGGAGGAGCTCACTTCGTTGATGGGATGCAGATCGGGTGACGTGCTGGGGTGCATGAAGAGGCAGAATGCAACAGCATTATTAGCTGCATCGGGCAAGATCAAGCCTCCTGCAACCAGTAGTGCAGCCCGAACGCAGCCCGCCTTCCAGCCAACTGTGGACAATATCACGGTTTTCAGTGACTACGAACTGCTTGCAAGGGCAGGAAGATTTGCACACCTTGTAAGCTGTCGTATCCAGAAACTTCCTAACATACAACTGATCGTGTACAATCAGCCATATCTTGCTGGACATACCCACAATGAGGCTGGTTTCTATAAGATCTCAGCGTGGGCCAAAATATCTACATTGCCTGAGTCGGAATGGCAAGCGTTCAACAAGGAGACCTTCACACGCCCTACTGATGATGCAGTCATGGCTCGGATACGTGCGGGTGTTCCTGCATGGCGCTTCCGTTACTTTGCCGACTGGAACAACACCCGTTTGTACCCAACTAGCGGGGCTTATCATGGAGTGGAGTTGAACATGATTTTTGGCAACTCTCAAGCCGTAACTAATATCTCGGAAAGCGCCCACCAGGTGAAACTACGCAGAAGGATGCAGCATGCTTGGGCAGCCTTCGTCGCTGACCCCCACCACGGTTTGGAGAAACTGGGATGGCCCCGTTTCTCTCTGACTGGTATGTATTCAAGGGGATCTATGACAGGGGTGCACTCTAACTGAAAGTAGGGACTACATTGATCGCTTTGGGTGAAGAGAACAAACCAGGTGCAAGATTTGTAGATCCCGGCTTATACAATGTTGGTTGTTGGAACGACACGGCTTAAGAAGGCATGGATCCCGAAAAGAAGGTTATGACCACTTCCAACCTGCAAATAAGTTTTACCTCCCCCATACTCTGATATTAACATAAATGTACACAAATTGGAGTTGTAAATTGACAGACAGTTGATTACTACCAGGAACATTGGTGTACGCGAAACAAGTAAAAATGATCACTTTTCTGCTGGTGGATCCATTGTTCTTTGTGCTTCAGCATGGTCCTCAAGCCGTGCAGAAGGCTTGTGTCGGCGTCTATAATTGTTAATGAGCAGAACATAAGTATAAACATATGAATTATAAGCTCACCCTGACTACCTATGGAAAACTGCCCCAAGGCTGTCAATATCTCCTGCTGCCTTCCCGACAAACCCATGGAAAACGTGATTGCCGAGATCCTCGTTATGTGGGGAGCCACCAGTGCCACCTGCAGCGAAGGGGTTATTTGCTTCAAAACTGAGCGAGTCGCAACGACCCTGAGAGCCTGGATCGGCTCCCTTCAGAGTCATCCACCGGACTCTTTCATTTGGGGCGAAAGAATAGCTTGTGTGCAACTCCCCATCGGATGGTTGGCCAACCCTTCGGCTGGAATTTCTGCCCCAATGGACTTTTATTCCTTTCAACACCGTGAAATCTGCACCCCACGCATGGCCATACCAGGCCTCAACCTCACTCACTGGCGTATCACTCCAAAGCTCGTCACCGAAGCTATCACCACCCCTTCCTCCAACGGGCTTGTTGAAGATATAGTCGTTTCTGTTAGGCATTGGGGCTTCTGAAAGCTTCTTTATAGGGTAGATAGAATATAAGTTCACCTAGGCTTGACAAGAGCGATGTGTCTGGCATTAATGAGGAGAGAAATTTGAGATCTTAATGATATTTGACTGGGTATTTATATCTTCTGAGTCTCCACCAGAATAAATCTTCTGGCTCAGTAATGTCATTATTCTCATAGAGCTGAGTACTGGAATGTAACATTGTACGGCAAAATCCATCATTTTGAGAGTCTATCGTAATAAACTCTCGTTCTCTTCTTGAGTCCCATTTGGCATATACCATCTTATAATACATCTGTGGGTCAATACTGATGGCGTTATCCTTCATATGACTTTTTAAGACGCAAGCGGGGAATCTTCAATGTAAAAGAGTTTTGTGGCAATATTGCTCTGCAAGATGGAAGAATGGAAAAGGCTCTAGACTATGATCTGAAATACCATTAGCTAGTTTGCAATACTAGTGAGATCATGCGTGGAGCATCAAGTACCTTCTTCTGATCGTATGTAAAAAGAAGGGTACATTAACTGTTGCCTGTTGCGGAAATATAAAGATTACTATCAGGAGCTAATAATTCAATGGATCAAATATAGTATCCTATAAAAGAATAGCATCATACTTTGGCTCGTCCATGTCCAAAGGACAGTCAACTCTGTTAGCAAATCTGCTATTTTAATCGCTACTCCACACCAAGTAGAGGCAGATTATAGAGACAATTATGCTTGATCTTCCGGTGTAAACCCCACTCCAGGTCGGCGGGATTCGCATCCGCATCGCTGTATCACTTGTGGAAGCCGCCCGACGGAGTTAGGTTAGCAGCATGCTTTGAATTCTAGATAAACTTCTATTTTTTTTACTGATATGTCAACGACATTGTGTGCTCTCACACCGTACAAAGCTACTCAGTGTGGACATCTGGCCTCAGGACACCGGTACTATTATGCAATTACGAATCTTTGACACTTGGAACTTTGATATTTGAGACCGGAACCGGATATATAGCTCTTTTGTCGGAACGCCGATTTGCTGGATTATACTGGAACCACTAAACGGGACCTAGAACCTTGGGTCTTGCTCTCCATTGGTGATATGACGCATGGGCTGAGGTTCGATAATGTCCTAGATTTACCTCCCGGTCAGCGGTTTGAAGTTAAAAGTGATGATTGCATTCGTGTAACACAAATTGGTTCATGATAGGATGGTCATGGCTCGAATAGATCATTGCACTTTCTATAGCCCAATCCGTATCCTACGCAGGTGTCATTAAACGGAGAATGAAGGGACCGACCGAGTGCACACAGTTTAGAAAATAGAGGGCGTTTAGTTCTCCTCAGCGCTGCTACAGTATCATATACATCGAAAGTTACTAGTGTCAGGTAGTGCTGCTGTAGGAGGTCATGATTTTATTCCTGTCCAAGGGCTTCGACGACTGGGGCTGATATAGCTAGCAACTGCCTATGACCCTTAAAAGGATTGCTTGTTAGTAATACAGTTAACTGTGATCTTCTCATCAGAAAGAATTTTCAAGGGATTAGCACGAGTAATCAACACATGCATGAATAGTCAGAAGTAAGACAAGGATGCATTCACATGACTGGTGCTGTACCCTATCCCCATCGTCGCCTGCCGACGCGACCTACACTCTCCCGACGCATCGGTTAGCTTTAGTCCTGGTGCTCCTCGATATAGCCAATAACCAATTTAATTGGCTCATATGAAATGCCGTTTTAAATGCGAGCGCTGATATCCAATCAAATTATCGTGGTCGTGGTGGTGGAATGCAGGCGCGATGTTTTGTAAGCAAGGGGGGTTGATGTTGTAGATGGAATGGCGCCCCTGCGAAGAGTCGCACCATGCCTTGATACCGCGTCTGTTGGATAATAGGAGTCCCGTGAACTACGTCGGAAATGTGAATTTGTCCCTTCGTACCTGTTCCCTTTCTTCCTCAACAACTATCCGGATGATTTCCACGGTCGAGAAGGAATGACAGGCAATCCGGAGATTTGGTCAGCTACAACAGGTGTTCTCGGGCTATTATTGATAGCCTTGAATACAGCACCAGCAACACTAAATGTTGTTCACCGGCTGTCGAAAAGATCCCAGCCGATACGCCTGGAGACGTTGCTAATCGCCAAGCCGGGGTATCAAGACGAGGATGGAGAAGCTACGGAGTCGTCCTTGCTTAGCTTCGCTGATTCCTGGCAGAGAGTAACGATTGCGATATTATCGGTGGTCGGAGTAGAATTGTCGCTCGCGCTCGCGATTGTTTGTCTCGAGACTGGTCAGAGCTACTTCATTATCCCGTTTTGGCTACTCTTGGGAGGTTGGGTAAGTGCCGCTGCTACATTTGATGCTGGCATGATATCATGGTATTAATGGATGAAGGCCTTGCTGTGCTTGCAATCTGTTGCCTTTTTTACAGAGACCTCCACAGTAGAGCGGTATCGGCTTAGCATCTACTCGTTCTGGACGAGCACACTCACGGTCGCAGTCCCCTGCATCCAACTCAGCCTCTTTTGGTCGGCCGGATACGACGTCAACCCGGGACATGCGCAAACAGGCCTTCTTATCAGCCAGGTGGTTACAGCACTTCTACGTGGCCTTTGCTCGATCCTAATTCCCCGACGGCCGAATGTGTACCATGATGGACAAATTGTTGATCAAGAGCTCACGTATAGTGTATACAGCCGATTTACCTTCAGCTGGGTCAATGGCCTGATGAAGTATGCCGCAGAGAACAAGAGCCTCGAGATCGACAACCTACCGAAATTGCCGTTTACCGTTCGTGCGGAGAATCTATACACTCGCCTGGAGCAGACCCGCCAGTCCCGCAAGCTGTGGAAGGCACTCGTTATTGGGAACATGCGACCGTTGATCTGGCAGGCTGTCCTTAGCTTGGTTACTTGTGTGCTGGGCTTCGGACCGCAGATAGCGATGTATGGAATATTGAAGTCATTAGAGGAGCGTTCGGTAGCGCTCGGGAATAACCTCCATGCGTGGCTATGGGTGGCAGCTTTGGGAGTGGTGATCGTCGTGTCATACAGTATTGAGTCGTGGTTGTGGTGGATAATATCCTCGCAGCTTTGGGTTCCGATCTACGAGGGGCTTTCGTCCATCATATTCGCCAAATCGATGCGCTGCAAGGACGCCAAGGGGATGAAATCGACGAAGGACGACAGTGCACCCGATGATGAAGAGACACGAGAGGAAAAAGGTCGCCAGACAATCATGAACCTCGCAGCAGTAGATTCGAAGCGAGTAGCCGATTTTGCAACCTTCAACTATCTTATTCCCTCATGCATCATGCGACTTATCCTAGCTGCTGGATTCTTGGCCCATTTACTGGGATGGAAAAGTCTTCTCGCTGGATTATCTGTGTCGCTAGTGATAACTCCTTTGAATACATTCGTCACGAAGCGGTACTCTGCTGCGCAGCAGGAGTTCATGAAGGCTAATGACAAGCGCACTTCTACCGTGACTGAAGTACTTCAAGGCATCCGACAGATCAAGTTTGCTGCTCTCGAGCAACAGTGGCAAGATCGGATAAACGAAAACCGTCGACTTGAACTTGCTCTGCTGTGGAAGACTTCCCTCTATACTACCGCTCTGGTGGCGGTTTGGACATTGGGACCACTGATGCTTTCTGCAGTCTCTTTGACCGTGTACGCTTTGTCGTACGGTGACCTTCCTGCTTCGGTCGCATTTACTGCTCTCTCGGTTTTTGGAAACTTGGAGTCCGCTATGGCTGGCCTGCCGGACCTTATCTCCAAAGGTATGGAAGCCAAAGTCAGCTCTGACCGCATCGAGGAGTATCTTGCGTCCGCCGAAAAGATGCCCCATACGAGCAATGTCGATGAGATCTCGTTCGAAAGTGCCACAATTGCATGGCCCGGTCAAGAGGAAGAGACTCCCAAGCTTCCCGAGATGGACGATAGTTTTGTTCTCCGCAACTTGAATCTGAAATTCCCACCGAAAGGATTGAGTGTGATAGCGGGAAGGACTGGGTCTGGAAAAAGTCTACTTCTTGCCGCTATCTTGGGTGAATGCGATATTATACAGGGCTCGATAGGAGTTCCGCACGCGCCTTCGCTCGAAGAACGACAAGACGATCGAGCTACCCGTGACAACTGGATTATAGATACGGCCCTAGCCTATGTCGCACAGAACCCGTGGATGGAAAATGCGACTATTCGGGAAAATATTCTGTTCGGTCTACCGTACAACTGGCGGAGATACCGGAAGGTGCTGAAGGCATCGGGGCTGGAGAAGGACCTCACGATCCTACCCGACGCAGACATGACTGATATTGGTGCGAATGGCATAAACCTGAGTGGCGGACAGCGATGGCGCGTTTCCTTTGCTCGGGCTTTGTATTCCCGCGCCGGCATTCTTGTGATGGATGATATCTTCAGTGCCCTGGATGCCGAAACTGGGCGTCATGTGTATGAGCATGGGCTCACAGGGGACCTAGCGCAGGATCGCACCAGGATTCTTGTTACACATCATGTCGGATTATGTCTTCCTCGGACCGACTATTGTGTTCTTCTCGAAAATGGCTACATGACGCACGCTGGGACAGTGGAACAAGTGCGTGCTGCACATGGCTTAACTGATTTCCTTCAGGGGTTAAGTGCCGAGATGAGAGATCTACAGGACAAGGAAACTGCACGGGATGCTTCCTTCAGGAAACGCTCGTCTGTTGGCCCTCCACCTCCAACTGAAAGTCATACCCCAAGGCAATTCACGCAGGATGAAGATCGCGCAACGGGGTCTATACCCATGAAGGTGTACACAACTTATATGACGAAGGGGAATAGCTGGCTGGCATGGACATTCACAATGCTGATGTTTGCCAGCTTTATGGCTCTCTTAGTCGGTCGAGTAAGTAAAAGATCTCTGGTTGTCCTTTGGATATGTTTTCTAATTTTGTAGTCCTGGTGGGTTAGTCTCTGGACAAGTGCGAAACCGATGTCCCATACGCCGGAGACAACGACAATATGGGAAGAGACAGTAGACCGATTTAAGGCCGTTCGAGTCGACGATGACCTCAAGTTTTATCTCGGCGTCTACATAGCCTTATCCGCCGCTGCATGCGTTATCGGTGCTCTGCGACAATTTGCACTCACTTATGCATCCCTTCAATCGTCACGTCAACTTTTCCAAGATTTACTCGCAGTCGTCCTCCGGGCACCCATGCGTTGGCTCGATACGGTGCCTCTCGGTCGGATCTTGAACCGGTTCACGTCTGACATCTACACGGTGGACTGGCGTCTTGCTTTTGATCTCGGACATTTCGTGTACAAGGCACTAGAGCTTGCTGGTATTATGGTTGCTGGCCTTCTCGTTTCGCCAATATTGCTTGTATTTGCTTGTTTGTTGTTACTTTTCTGCCTTTACCTATCGAACTCATATCTTGCTGGGGCGAGAGAACTGAAGCGCTTGGAAAGCAACTCAAAGAGTCCCGTCATGGAGCTATTCGATTCAAGTCTGACAGGCCTCACAACAGTTCGGGCGTTTAACAAGGCAGACGTATACATTCGGAATATGTATTCAAAACTCGACCGCCACGCCCAAACGGTATGGAACTCATGGCTTTTCAACAGATGGTTGTCCTTTCGGATGAGCATTGTTGGTGCTGTTTTCTCGACAGGAGCAGCTGCTCTGGTTGTATATGTTCCCACTATACCAGCTGCACTAGCAGGTTTTGCAATCACTTTCGCCCTACAATATAATTACGCTGTGTCCATGGGCCTTCGCTTCTACGCCGAGATGGAGATGGACATGAACGCTACCGAGCGCGTACTAGAATACTCGACCATCGAAACAGAAGACCAAGGAGGATACGAGCCACCAGCTGCATGGCCATTGCGGGGGCGCGTGGAAGTCGAGGACTTGGTAGTCAGCTATGCGCCCGACCTCCCTCCTGTCCTGAGTGGACTCAGTTTCAACATGCAGCCCAACCAGCGAGTCGGTGTCGTCGGCCGCACGGGAGCCGGGAAGTCCTCACTAACTCTCGCCCTGTTCCGCTTCCTGGAAGCCAGAGAAGGTCGTATCATAATTGATGGTCTAGATATATCTAGGATGACCCTCCAGGCACTCCGCAGCCGCTTGGCCATCATTCCTCAGGATCCGGTTCTATTCTCAGGAACGGTGAGATCCAATCTAGACCCGTTCCACGAGTATACGGATGCAGAGCTGTACAACGCGCTGGAACGCGTGCACCTCCTGTCATTCGAGGATTCCATTACACTCGCCTCTCAATCATATCATGGCTCGTCCAGCGGTAGTGACACAGCAGCATCAAATCCTATGTCACCTACTGGTGGACCTTCCAAGCCTTCTAGCTTTTTCACATCTTTAGCCTCGCCCATATCGGAGGGTGGACTCAATCTTTCTCAGGGCCAGCGCCAGCTTCTCTGTCTCGCCCGTGCCATCGTCGCACAGCCTAAGATCATGATTCTCGACGAAGCTACATCCGCCGTGGACATGGAGACTGATGCGCTTATCCAACGGTCAATCCGATCCGAATTCGGGCGTAATGAGTCCTCCCTACTCGTGATCGCGCATCGACTCAGCACAATCGCAGACTTCGATCGAATCCTCGTCATGGACGCAGGCAAGGCAGTAGAGTTCGGGCCACCACGGGAGCTACTTGAGATTGAAGGCGGCGTGTTCAGGAATCTAGTCCAGAACAGCGGCGAAAGGGCCGTCCTGGAACAGATGATTCTCGGGAAAGCAAATTGAACAATACCAAACTACTAATGACTTGAGCATATGGCGCGGCCTCTTGATTTAATATTCATGACAAATTGTATAGCCTGTTTTATTTACTTCAGATACTCGTATAATATCCCATAGCCAAGAAATCATCTTACCACAACATGACTGTCTTTCACCTCGTAATTTTCCTACCACCCTCGAGGGCAATCGTGACTTCCAGCCACAAGTCTGTATCTCCTCTGCTCCTCCACCGCGCTGTTCCGCTGTACCACTCCCTCAAACTCCGGAACCCAACCTCTCGGTACAGCGATATCTAGTCTTTTCCAACTACGACTGGATGCCAGTTCCTCCCATGGTGCAATCCAATCACATTCTTCGTGGCCTACCCACTGCATCGGGTTCCCAGAATGATGGCACAATCCAGCTATTGAGAATCGAAGATCTTTCGCGTTTTTAAGCTCACAGAGCAGAATCCTGAAGACTTTGCCATAAAAAGACTTGAACCAGGGATCTATATGAGGAGGCCGCTTGATGATGCGGTAGATATCGATCTCAACAGACAGCGATACGATGAGTGCCAAATGGTCCCGCGGCATGACGCACGACAGGCGGAAGAGCTGATCGATACCATGGGTGAAAACAAATGTATTAGAGGTGTAAAGTACTGGGAGGGTTTCCAGGTATCTGTAGATCAATGAGCGATTATGCATGGTTAGACTCGGCATTAAGATACTCACGCTCTCCGACAACATTTTAGCCAATTCACCGCGTCTAGTTTATACTCGAAGCCCTCCTTTACCCAGGAGCGTGAGGCAAGTTTTAGCATTGCCTCTTCGGCGCCAGCGTACTCAGGACACTGGAACGTTTTGTCGAGGCAGTTTTCTGCATCGTCACACACTCGATGCCACCATTTCCATTGTCCTTGTTGGGGGTTGAAGTCAAAATCGAGATGAATTCGGCGGTTCCCAAAGGCGAAGAGATATATTAGATTGCGAACCTCGGGTGGAAGACGTGAAAAGAATGAACTTTGACTCTGCAGGTGAATTTCTACGGGTGATGAGCTATTATGGTGTCTGTTGTCACTTAATATAGACAACACGGAGCAGTAGTCTGGTGGGAGAGTTGGGAGGTGTTTGGAATCAGTAGGACACCCATTAACACGACAAGTAGCGTTGTCGACGCCGACCGATTCTAGGACTGCTCGAGACCAGTTAGGGATGCTGTTGATTGAGGCTGATGCCGGAGCTGGAGTTGGAGCGCGATCTGGTATTGATAACGACGAAGGCCTTGGTGACTCTGGGTCTCGGTTTTTACGGTTGAAAAGTCTATGGAAGAATTGGGCTGCCGCCATCTCTCGTTGTATCTATGCCTGACTGCTTCTTGGGAAAGTAGGCATGAAGGTGGATTTACTTCTTACCCCTCTGAAGACGAGGCTGAGGTTGAAGCGATGCACGTCCCAGCCTGTATCTGTTGATGATCGCCAGCCACGTTACCCCAGACTAACCTTGTTTGGAACAATAGAACTCAATTCTGGTGGAAGTCTTGGCTGTCTGGGGTTTAGTAAGCCCTATTTGGACACACACCCTGAAACCGGTTCAGTTTTTATGTGTTTTGAAACAACCTCCCCCTTTGAAAAAAGTCATTTGGTATGACGAAGAAAAAGCTAAAAGAGGGTTAGGCGAGGAGGGTGCGCAGGGAAAAAGAAACAAACTGAGTACGATGCACTGAGAAATGCTGACACAGAGTGTTTTCCGAGACCTACTAGTAATTCGTCCCCATCATCGCGTAAGTGACGGGCTCCGTTGTTTAGGTATAGTACTGCCATTCCTGATATTGGACTGTTAGGGTACGTCTTTCGTTGCTAACCTGGTCAAAATCCAACTTCTGGCTCGACGAGTGCGTTGGTACAGAGGACAAGACGGCGTAGGACCTGATGCACAAGCGATTAATAATTCTCAGACAGTAACACCGGGGGTCAGATGCTCCGTCCTGTGGAGTCCACGGCCATTGGAAATGAGGGCAATAAGTCCAAAAGCACGCCACTGAGGGGTGTTGGCTTCTCACTCAAGTCCGGCTGCCCATGAAGTACAGGAGAAGACGGAGCCGAATACGGCTCAAGCTAAGCTATTTCGTAACTCTAACTGAAATAAAGGTGTTCTTTGGACTCCACTTTAACGGACACCAACCACTAATGAATATTCATTACCCCCATTTTTCCTCAGACCGGAATATATCGGCAAGGGAGAAATCATTCCATTAGCAACAAAATTCAGTATGAATAATAATAATTTGGTAATGAATTCAAAGACCTGCCAATAAGACTCAACTGTTAGGTAAGGATCGAGACCCCACGGGGTCAACATCTAACCTGATTGGCATATCGGTAAGCAAGGTTAAGCTTATTTGGACATGAATTTCTATAGTTTTGGACCTCCGTTTGGAGTCATTTGGAGTTTGCTAATATGAATCCAATTTACATCGCAATTTCGGGCCAAAATCTGTTACCCTTAGCGCAATTCTCAATAACCGCCCCAACCAAAAGGTGGAGTCGGTGCGAGTGTATATAACAGGAGTCTTCTCTCCCAATTCCCCAGGTAACTCCTGACATTCAACCTTGTATCAGTTCTGAGCATAACCCTAGAGCAAAAATGGCCCGCAGCATCCACATTGCCGTCCTTGACGTTGATATCCCCCCTCGCAAACTTTATGAATCTCACGGCCTATGCAGCGCTCACTTTCGTAACATCCTCCAAGAGACTGCCTCACGTCTGAACGAGACCTCCCTAGCCCACGATGGCCCCATCGACATATCAGTGACTCCTTATGACATTCGCGGAGGACACTACCCTGACCTGCGCAAGCTAAGAGGCCATCCTGACCACCTTGTATACCCCGATACCTCTCAAATCGATGCCGTCTTGATCACTGGCGGCGCACCCGGTGTATACGAAATGGACATGTCTCCCTGGATGCAACGCCTGCAGACCTTTCTCAAGACAGTCTTTGAACAATACCCAGAGGTCCGAATCTTGGGTACCTGCTTTGGACATCAGCTCATCGGACACGCTCTGATGAGAAACCCGGCAGATACTGAGAGAGATGTCTATGTTGAGAAATGCCCCCTCGGGAGAGAAGTGGGTATATACACCGTTCAGTTGGAGAAAGACTTCGTCCAGGCTTTCCCACTGGCCTTGGGCCACCTGCCACAGGAACAGCTGAGAATCCAAATGTTCCATGGCGATCGTGTAATGGCGTTTAAGAAGGGGCTTGCTAGCACGCTTGATGAGAAGGCTTCTCTGCCTGCGCCGTGGATTAATGTCGGAAGCACACCTATCTGTCCTATCCAAGGACTGTATTACCCTGGAAGGGTTCTGTCCGTCCAAGGCCATTATGAGTTGGACGCGTTCGGCATGCAGAACATGTGCTTGGAGTTCGCACCGACCTTCGGATGGAAGGATTCGAAGCTTGCATTGTTCCTGGAGCAAGTTGGTCCACACGTGGCGGAGCGACAAGACGATGCGAGGTCCTTTGCTACCGCTGTTGTGTGTTTTTTGGCGGGTATGGAGAAGCTTCAGGTTGGAGAATAGGGCAAATGTATGTACAGGTTTTGTTTAAGACTGACCAATCTATCTTCTATTCAGCGTGTACCTCCTACTTTGCTTCATATTTCAGAGTTGAAATGGTTCATTAAACTCTCATGTGTTTCGTCGCGGCATTCTTGAACTAGTTCATCGGAAGCGGGAGCTTGTTGCTTTCTTTCCTTTCCTTGCCTTTTCTTTCAGTTTTTCCCTTTCTTTTCTCGCTTCCTTTTTTTCTTTTCGTGTTTTGTTTTTGTTGTCATACCCTTGCATCTACCCCCTTACAAAATCATCTTGGCGTTTAGCATTATAACTATTTATTGAGCAATTACGATAGACCATTTCCAAATTAACGTATGTCCTGAATTACAATATAATAGAGGAATATGTGTAAAAGGAACGAAATGAAAACATACTACAGAAACGTCATCCACCAACCCCCCTCCTTCAACCCCTAGCACCTACCATTCTCCAACCCGTTGAATCCCAGGCAACAACCTTAGTAGTAGAGAGGATTTTCCGGATCCGTCAAGTCAAACACAACACTAGAATGCGGCTTTGCACCACCCCTCGCCGGAAACTCCTTATTGAAATCAATCGACCGGTTGAAGCTCAAGCTACCATCCTCGTTCAAGTCGATGTACAGCGCCTTGAAATCAGCTGGGGTGTTGATCAACCCTATCTCACCTGTCTGCACGAAGTAATCTGTCACGACGAGATGCTTCTGGTCAGGCGTCACCTTGACATAGTGCGGGCCAACAGTTGGCTGATCCTCATCAGGGTCATCGAGACGCTTGACGTGGCTTAGATCGCTGATGTCCAGGGCGGCGATGTGGTTTGCTGTGGTGAGCGTGAGGTAGATGAAGCGGCCGTCTTGGGTGATATCCGTGCTGTTGGAAATATGGTTAGTGGGTTTGCAAAAGTTTGTATTGTGTTCAAAGGAGGACGTACTAGATTGCGGTTGTATCGCGAGCCTTGGGGCCTAGGTCATAGAGAAGTTCTGCTCTACCGGGCTTGCCATGGGCATCTTTCTGTCCGGGGTAGATGATCCAGACTTGGCCGAGGTGGACTGCGGTGGCGAGAGCAGCGCCGTCGGGGTTCCCTGGGATGAACTTGACATCTTGAATACCGCCGCCCTGCATCTTAATTAGCGACCAGGAAAGCAAAGGATGAGGTTTGTGTGGAAAGGACGCACATCGGGGATGGTAATGGTGTTGAGAATCTTCTTAGTGTCCAAATCCCACAGTCTAAGGGTATTCGCACGGCGGATTCCCGTGCTAGGTTTCAAGATACTGATGGGCTCAACAAAGTCCGAAGTGAGAATGAATTTTCTCTCCCAGTCGATGCTCAGGCCATGGGGAGAGAATTGCTCTCCGAGAATGTTGAGCGTTCCCTCCACGTCTTCGGGCCATTCATGGATGATGTTGAAGTCCGCGTCGGTCTCAACCAGACGTCCTGGCGCTGTGCCAACCGCAGAGCCCATGTAGGTAATGTAGAATCCACCTTCTGGTTTTGCGCGGATCTCATCTGCAATGGATGAGAGGAGGGCACGGTTGCTTTTCTTGAACGTGGGTCGGTAGGGGTTGGTGGTGTCGAAGTAGAAAGCCGTATCCTGATGCATTGTGAGGACGGGCATGATGGGAGGATGTACTGTGCGAGCTTACCTGGGTTTTCAACAGCGACAAGAGACCACCACCAACCAGGGTCTTGCCGTCAAGAGATGGTCCAAGGTGATGTGGGTCATTGCCGCTGGACGGGACATCCGTTACCCAGAGAAGAGTGCCGAAAGTGTCCTGTGCCTATGTTAGCTGTGTCCAAATTCTATGACATTAAAGAGAATGCTTACATCGTCAAGACTGTACGTAGCAAGGAAGTCTAGGAGTTGCATCAGATACTGTACAGAGCCCAACTGTCGGTATATACATACCCTTATGGAACTTGTCTCCGGAGCCAGTCCAAAAGTAGCCAATTTTCTTTGGCTTGATATCACTCGGGGTGAACGGTGGGCTCTCCAGAGGAGGGGTTGGTACTTGCAGGATGGGCAAAGGAGGGGCATTCTCAGTGAGAGGCTCAGTCACTCCTGGAATAAGTGGAATCAGGGGAGGCAAGGAAAGACATTTTCCGAGTGAGGCCAAAGAGACCGCGTAGATGAGAGATGACTTCATCTCGATAAAGATCTTCAGTAGGAGCTTATATCGAATGTTCAATGAAAGACTAGGGTGGGGATGGAAGGAAAGCTGATTTAGTTCATGAGAAGATTTGAGCAAGATACTTCTTTATATATTCGTCTCCCTTTCCCTCTTTTCCTACTATCACACTGAAGATGCTATCCCGCGTTGACTCATGGTCAATTGGATCTCCCACATACGACATCTTCACACAGGAGCACGCAAGTTTTGGTGGGAAATTATAATCCTCGAGAGTATTTGGAATACTGCAAAGAAAGCTAAGCAGGAAGGACATGCTCCGCGGCCTGTTGAGTCCGGCCATCAGTGTTTGAATCTTGGCATCTACAATAACGAGGACAGTAATTATCGCGCACCAATGAAGGTATGCTTGAGCATAAACAGCACTTATAAATCACGCCTCACATGCTACTTGATGTCGTGATCAGGTACAGATAGGTCAGTATGCAAGTGGATGCAGGGTACATGGTCTACTCAGGAGCCCAGGTCGGGCTATGCAGGGGCGACCAGTTCGTCAGCCAACTCATCTAAAAGATGCACCCAATGGACGAAGATTCAGTCAGGAATTCAGGCCATGCTGATTGCGAATACGAGTGTGAATATGAGCATTTGATCGTGTCGACCTGTAAAGGCGAACTGATTCAGGCCTTTATGTCTGCAAAGCGACGATCTCCTTGAACCTTAGTCCAGGAACTGTCATATCATTTCCAATATCACGCCACTTACTAATCTATCAATTGCCGAACCAACAGGGGTCTATTAAAGTTAAAAGGGCCTGGGAGAGCTTGTTGTGTTTTTGTCTTGTCATTGTCTGGTTCTGGCACCTCTCTGGGTTTCTCAGTTACAGAAACCTACTTAGACGAACCAAATCTCATCCAAAAGCTTGAATACCAAGAGACACAGGATAGGTTATTATTGTCTAACAAGTTCTCCCAGATCTGCGATCATTCTGTGATTGAGAAGTGGGCAGGCCAAATTCTTCCTATGCATGCCAAGACCATGAGAAGAGGCCCCATTCCATATAGGGTTATTTGACTGCCGATATCAATAGGGCAAGAAAGGGATTTACGAGCCAAAGGTATGTACCAAACCTGCACTAGACGTTAAATTAAGTTTCAGTAGCCAAGCGGAGAGTTCCTGGTGCCAGGTTGGAGCTTTTGCAAAGTCCCCAGCGTACAGCGGGGGACCCTGGATTTCATCACAATGCCAAGCATGTCGTTATACATCGGGAATGCTGATCTGCGCCGCTAGGGATTTGTCCACTACGCTTGTAGTAAGATAGTGCTTAGACCGTGAATGGCCTCATTTAAAGCAAATCATTGCGAATGTTTATTGAACTCTGTTGTTCCAGCGAATGTGGGATGGCTGGATACCACCACCGGGGTTTACATATCAAATTCGTCAATGGAGAGAATATGTCGTGATTATGAATTCTCGAGATGGGCCAGGGGATACAAAAGTATTTAGCTGGTAAATGTATCGTCATGTAGGACCCATCGTTACTCACCAATCTCCCCTTTGGCGAATTTATTTGTGGTTACAAATTTCGCATCCAAGGATCTCCTCCACCATGAAGGCCGCGAGCCTCGCATTCATCAGCATTCTGCCGACCGTTCTCGGGGCAGTCGTCCATGACAAGCGTTCCGGCTTTAAGGACGGCCAACCCATCAGTGACAACGGCAAAGGAGCGCCTCTCTTAGGTAAGACTAGGAGTCCCCAAGTTCATTAAAGCTGCCCTTCATGAGCAATCCTCACACACTGAATTACAGGCGGCACAAACAAGGCACTGGACCTCCAAAACCCCGATAACCTTGGCCAACCTACTACCGACAACGGCTTCGTCCCTAACCTCAAATGGAGCTTTTCAGACTCCAAAACGAGGCTCTTCCCGGGTGGCTGGGTACGCGAGCAAGTCATCCAGGATCTGCCGCAGAGCCATGATATCTCTGGTGCGCAACAGCATCTGAAGAAAGGTGCTATTCGGGAGCTTCATTGGCATCGTGTTGTGAGTGGCATTCTTTGCCTTCTTCATTTACGAAGAACAGACTTGTCTAACAATATATTTCTCCAGGCAGAATGGGGCTTCCTATACTCTGGCTCTCTTCTGCTCTCTGGCGTAGACGAGAATGGCCAGTTCACGACCGAAAAGCTTGAAGAAGGCGACATCTGGTATTTCCCTAAAGGTGTTGCGCACAATGTGCAAGGCCTGGATGATGAGAACGAATACCTTCTAGTCTTTGACGATGGCGACTTTGAGAAAGTCGGGTGAGTATTATTTCACTCCGCCAGAAGACCTCATACTGACAAAGATTTAAGGACAACTTTCATGGTAGATGACTGGATAACCCACACACCGCGCGATATCCTCGCGAAGAACTTCGGCGTCAACCCCTCAGTCTTCGATAAAGTGCCCGAGAAATTCCCTTACATTCTCAACGGCACGGTTAGCGAAGAGGCGAACGAGACCCCCAAAGGCACATTGACTGGTAACAGTTCCTATGTGTATCACACATATAAGCATCCCTCTGAGCCGGTGCCCGGCAGTGGTGGTACCTTTAGGAAAATTGACTCGAAGAACTTCCCCGTGAGTACGACTATTGCTGCAGCATTGGTGGAGCTTGAACCCAAGGGATTGCGGGAGTTGCACTGGCATCCGAATGTGAGTTGTCCCCTCGATCAGAAGTCTAGTTCGGTTACTAAATGTATGTATAGGCGGAGGAATGGCTGTATTTCCACAAGGGTAATGCTCGTGCTACTGTGTTCTTGGGTGACTCGAAGGCTCGCACTTTCGATTTTACCGCCGGTGACACCGCCGTTTTCCCTGATAATAGTGGTGAGTAATCAGTACCCATTCTACGTACTATATGAAACTAAGTTTTGATAACAGGGCATTACATTGAGAATACTTCCGAGACTGAGAAGCTGGTGTGGATCGAGATTTACAAGAGTGACCGTGTGGCTGATATCTCGTTGGCGCAATGGCTTGCCCTCATTCCTGCCGATATCGTGGCTACTACCTTGAAGGTCGATATTGAAGTCGTTAAGCAGATCAAGAAGGAGAAGCAGGTTTTGGTACAAGGCAAATAGTCTGAACCTTGCTCCGTTTGGCCACCTGTGAACTGGGTGGAAGTTGGCGAGGCGGTGTCGTGAACGCTTTCCTATTCACTTCTGGATATATCCTAATCTACATGACTCTGTCTCGAGTCATTGTATAGATTAATATCTGCAATATAGTTGTTTAATAATTTTTCAAACACAGAGAGCGCAGGCGTAACTTTCACCATTATATGGTCGACTTTCAGTCGTCCCTACCTTATGCAACGACCCCGTTGACTGATCAAACCATCACGAGACTGGCCCCCGTAATAACATTCATTAATACCAGGACCATATCGTCAGTCCTCCCAAATAGAGACATGCTTAATGTCCGCCCCCTCCAAGAAGTCCTTTATCTGAGTAAATTCCTTGAACCCATCCGACTCTGCGAATGCAAAATGGTCTTTCACCTCTCCCCAACCACTGAAGAGCACAAACTCCTCCTTTTCCATACCATCATCCTTCCTATCCTTGGGTTCCACCCGAACTCCACCTTTCAATGCCCTCGGAGCAATATACGCCTCCAAGTGCATCTTAGTCTCTTCGAACCTGTTCAGGAACGCTTCCTTCTCACCAGTCCGCAGGAAATAACGCCCGATAGCGATCACAGGGGCATCAACTATCGGTACCTCTCCTGACCTCCCGGTAGACAATCCAAACACACCCAGCTCAATAGGGTCAATGTCAATATGAATCATGTACACAAGATCTAACTTCTCCTTGAGAGAAGCAAGTAAGGACTGGTTTGTAGAGCTGGGTATCCAATCGTCCATGTGAGCCGAGACTGAACTCCAGCCTCCAAGAAGGTAGATGTACGATGGGTCTTCGACCTGGGTGAACAGATAAGTAGGGTACTTGGAGTAGGAGGCCTGGGCCTTTGCGGCTGATGATAGCTCCCTTCTAATGGCTTCTCGGTCCGTTGATGGTTTTAGGTGAAAAAGAGCTAGCTCCGTGATTGGGCTTGGGGTTTTTGTTGAGGTCATGTTTGTTATGAGGTTATTTATGGTTGCTTCGGTGGGGATAGTGGGGTCAGAATGTGCAATTGAACAAGATGCTCGGTGGAAACGAAGTTCGTATTGGGATTGTATGGGAGCTTCTGGGTTCGGCAGATTGATTTATAGAGTAAGTCTCCGTGTCCGCGTCACCTCTGTGGCCTAGCTTGAGGGGGTTGATCTACTAGGCGTTTAGGTTGAATCTACCCAAGGCAACGCTCTACGAGGCCGAAATATGCTGAAGTTGGATCCGAGATGGCAATTACCTACCATGATAATATATTTAGTGCAGATCATTGATTGATCAAAGCATGATGTAAATGGAAAGGTTTTAAATATATACTTAGACAGTGTGTAGAACAGAGGAGTTCTCTACCAAGCCCTGTACCTGATCTTACACCAAGAGCTTGAACTTACAATATAAAAACATGATCATATTCAAAGACGTTTGAATGAGGACCTGAGAAATTTGAACATCGCTCAGGTCTCTGGCACCTGCAGTGTCACCTGTGGGAAAATGTTGTTGAGCCGGGAGGGGCCGGGATGTGGACGGAGATAAACTGTCGTTGCACCGAAGAGTGCCGAGTTTCACCGCTTTCCAGATTGACTCCCAGAGACATATGTAACCTGATTGGAAGCAGATGACGTATCTTAAAAGCGGCGTGGGACAGCGTGGGACGGCATGGAACGGCGCTATCCCCAAGGAGGAAGCGATGTTTCCCGATATGGAAGTGGCATGCTCTGTCACAGCAGGCGGTGACGGGCGGCATGGCGACGGCCCGCTACTGTATCAACGGATACTCGGAGTTGGTGATAAGGAATATCAAATTGACGTGATTGACTGGGTGAGTCTGCTGACCTGATGAGACGGCTACGGCACCTGGCAGGGGTTCAAAATTTCCATTCTTGCGATGAAACAACTACCTCGCTAGAGCGCAGTAAACTCCGCCGTATACCCTTCACCCGCCATGGGCCTTGACGTGAATAGCTGCTCTACGCCGCAACATAAGCCCGAAGAAGAGGTTGTTATTATTGGCTGCCGTAAATCGGAGCTCGCCCTTGTCCAAACTCGTTCGATCATATTTAAGCTGGGCCACACGCTCGACCCCTCTGCCAACTTTCAAATTGCCACAGGCAGTGTCGTTGGCGATGCCGATAAACAGACATCCTTTGCGGTCCTTTCCAAGCTGACAGGTGGCTCAGATATTGGTAAAAGCCTATGGACAAATGACCTGGAATTGGACTTGGTGGCCGGCAAGGTCCACTGTCTGGTCCACAGTTTAAAGGACATGCCGACAACGCTACCACCGCATTGTCTTCTGGGAGCGGTCCCCGAGCGTGAGGACTGTTCCGATGCTGTTTGTATGCGGCCCGATTTGAAGTTCACATCCATCGATCAATTACCACCCGGTTCCATAGTGGGAACCAGCTCTTCCAGGAGGAAAGCTCTAGTTCGGCGGATTTGGCCTCATTTGGAGGTGGTAGAATGTCGCGGCAACGTGTAAGTGACACGTATCTTTTTCTCCACCGTTTCTTGCTACTACGCAACGCAACCACTGTCCGCGCAAAAAGCTTGATCCTAATACGGCGCCATTGTATATATTAGAGATACTCGCCTTGCTAAGCTTGACGCACCTTCTTCCCCGTTTTCATGCATTCTCTTGGCGACCGCAGGACTGTTACGTCTGGGACTCGGTCATCGAATCACGCATCGACTTGATACTAGTATATTCCCTTATGCAGTAGGTCAGGGCGCCCTCGGGGTTGAGATTAGCACGAACCGTCCGGATATACTCGAGCTGGTCCGCCATGTCGACCATAAGCCGTCGAGGTGGCGCGGGTTGGCGGAGAGAGCGATGCTTCGAAGTCTCCAGGGAGGATGCTCGTCACCAATCGGCGTGCGGTCTTCTATGGAGCCCCTGAAAGAAGAAAACAGGTTGATAGAGGGCACAAAACGAGGCCGTGATGGTAGCGGCGGCCACCTTAGCTTGCACGCCATGGTGCTGCATATAGAAGGAACATCGGAGATTGTTGCTGAGGATGCGGCTACTGTTCAATGCGACGAAGAAGCAGAGCAACTTGGCGTCTCAGTCGCGAACATGCTTCTTCGCAAGGGGGCCCGGAGCCTAATTCCAAAACAACTCTAGTTTCAACTTTTTACCCTGGAACGCATAAACAAAGAAAAGAACCAGCCTCAGATACCGTCCTTACAAAAGCATGACTGACATAGAATTAGCTCCTTGCAGACTTTACAAAGATGTACCGTAGAACTGTTTCACTTTCAGGTGCAATATAATTACTTCGCGAGACCATCTTTCAATTTCGATTTCAACCAGCTCTTTCTACTAGCAGCCGTGAGGTTCCATAGCTCTCGCGGGTCTAGGTCTGCGCTCACCGCGGACTATAAGAAGATGAGCTTTTGATTTAGCCAAAAGAAGGGAAAAAAAAAAAAAAAAAGGAACGATGGAAGCAACAAGCAGGTGTGTTCAACCCAGGTCTAAGCAGATATACATACGAGATACATCGTGTAAGCTTGGAGCACGGCAAAATTGCAAGAGATGAGGAACTCGACGCGTGCTAGAGCCAACTCGCAGCCGGATCTATACCTGGAGCGGAGGATCGACTGCTCCATGGCGAATGTTTGGACGCATTCTTCCTCTGTCATGGACATGATAGCAGCAGTAAGGACAGCAAAGAGCAGAACGGTGGCGCTCTCAGAAGCGTGACCAGGGCCCCTAGCCGCTTCGGCCAGCATTGTGCTGGTCGACGCCAGGTGGAGAATCATGGTGATAGGTTGGACATTGCGAAGGTATATTGGCCACAGCTTAGCGAAATGCTGCGGTGGCGGGTAAAGGCTGTCGATACTAGCCGCTGTCGTCCTGGGTAGTATGTTCAAAGCTAACACACTTGCATTATTGACTCCATGCTCACATCTTATTGCGCCGCTGTCGTTAGCAGGGTCGATTTGGATTGTTGCTGCTGCCTTGTTCAGAGGAGTCGTGGTTGTCGTCTCAGCGTAGGGATATTGCTGGCTGTGGACATGGCGGACATCTAACTGGCCGCTAGAGACGGAGATCGGAGTCGGTGGCTGGGGCTGATGCATAGCGGAGGAGCCATTCATGCCTTCCACATCCACACCCAAGCTCCTAAGCCTTTCCTCGTAGAGTCCGAGCCGAGCAAGCAGATTATCGTTTAATGTAGAGGTTGAGGTTGCGGCGGATGCCCCCGGGGAGGATCTGGTTGACGTCTTGGTTGTGTTTCTTCTTCGGCGCCTCTCCGTTTTTGGAGTGGGAAACTCACAGGCTACATCTAGCTTGCTACACCGTGAACAAGGATTCAACCGGTCACAGCGCAGTTTGTGTCGAGCACACCACAGACATGACAGAGGTTGCAACCCGTTGCTAAGCGGCGATGAAGCGGTGAGCTCCATAGCTGTATACGGGACTCTACATCGACGATAATGTGGGCGCGAGTCTTATATGGAAATGAGTAGATTTCAGCATATGTAGTTAATATGACTGCACAGTGATGAAAACAACCAGCTGTTGAAATCTAGCCCTATCTTCATTGTACAATGGGAAAATATCGGAATGGGGGTCAACAATGAGGCTATAAGTAAGATGTGTAACGTGATCATGGTCCTATAGCGTTGTCAGCTGTTATTACATGTCTGATGGGTTAAATCTACTACCTAGGCTTCCCACTTCCTACTTTAGTGAGAGAATATTCATCTGTGTTGCAATTCTCATAGGCTCGGGTTCACATTGGGCCCCTACGGAACTGAGAAGACAATGCCCGCCCGCATCCTTCCAAGTCCCAAGTACGACTAGTCCAGGATCGGAGTAACTATTAACTAGGTACTCTATAGTAGTATTCACACCCACAGGCTAATCCACGTCTGGCCCGTCGCAGTACTTTTCAATCAGGAATCCAGACCTTGTCTCTCCGTGTCGGTGGCTTGCATACCAGCCTCGATATCTTCCAGATTCTCGACTCTGTACACGCCTTTGGGTTGGAATACCGCCAGGGAGGGTTTGATAATGAGCGGGAACTCGGCGTGATTCTCACGTACAATGCGAACGGCCTGCTCAAAGGTCGACGCCCGATACGTCGCGCAATGTACCGTCGAGTTTGTGGTACGATCAACCTAACAACACTCTGAGCTGCTGCAACAGCCTGGGAAAGGCCTTCAAGCGCAAGCCGAAACCCCTTTGCCGTTCCAAAGTGTTGGGAGTCGACTGTTTGCTGCTGGTGGGCATCTGACCCCTCGAAGATGAGGCAAGTTTCATCTGCATTCTTAGGCCAGGAAAACGTAGAGGACGCAGTCACCTTTTGGAAAACCAGATCGATTGAATGCCGGGGAATGGCATTCGATACCGTGCTGGCAGTATTATTCACCTAGTGTTTACAAAAGAATCGCGCTGCAAGGTTCCAACGTGTTAGCGACGTTTATTGTAGAAATTCCGTAGAGAAGAAATCTTGCCTTTCGATTCATTCTGCCCTTTTACAGCAATTATGCCCAGCATCCTGAAGCCACATTCGAATTAACCACCGATCAAAAAAAAAAAAAAAAAAAAAAAAAAAAAAAAAAAAAAAAAAAAAAAAAAAAAAAAAAAAAAAAATAAAATCTTTCTCAGAATTGTTTAGAGTCTTTGTCTTAAGTGTCTCTTCACCCCTTGTGGTCTGAAGATAGCTTCCCGCATTGGAAGTGGCAGCGGCTTTGGCGGTCCCTGACTTTTCTCCTCCCATTCAGAAAAGAATATACTCAAAATATTAAAAAAACATACAAAAGTAATAGCAGTACAGAGTATAGTATATAATAGAATATAAAATAGCGGAATATCCAGAGAATAGAAGAGCAAGTAGACAGCCTACGGACTATCTCTTGCCGGACCAGAACAGAAGTGCATAATATAATAAGCCAATAATAGACCATGCCTCTTTTCAAATCCTCTAGAGCGAATCACCTTTTCTTTCCAATCAACCAACCAGCCTGGAGGCCACGGAAAGTCAGTTGCGTTTCATTGTCGGGTGTTTTTCGAAACACAAGGTTCAATAGGCTATTCGGGAACAAGCCACCGTCGAGTCGAGAACAACACTGTCTGTGTCTAGAACGTTGGGATACCGTGGAATGTTAAAACGTAAGGACTAACTACCTTATACCTGCTGTATTTGTCGTTCCAAGCCAAGCATCCTCTGACAAATGAACATCCTCCGTCTCGGGTATCAATCTCATGACCTCCTTCACTTGCTTGCAGCCGGATATTCCAAAGGCTATTCCTGAAATCTACCCAAGATATAAATACGAGATCATGAGACGAAGACATCCCAAACTCCAAATAGTATCTCCAAACCTGCAGAAATACATAACCTAATTACTGCCTAATTCACTTAACCACCAAAGACCCTTACTGAAAATGTCCACCACAACCCTCCCCCAAACAATGCGGGCCCTCCTCCAACCCAGCATCCAAGAAACCCGTCTCATCCAAACCACTCTGGGCATGCCAATCCCGGACCTCAACGCCAATGAGCACCTGATTCGCGTCCACTGCGTCTCCCCCTGCGCAAACGAACTCAACTGGCTAAAATACTTCCCCCCGCCGAAGCCCCGGACTCAAATCCCCTGCTACGACATCGCCGGCACAGTAGTCAAATCGCCCGAGAATTCCCCTTTCTCTGTTGGAGACGAGGTTTACGCTCGAACCAATTATCTCCGACCCGGTTGTGCCAGCGACTACGCTATCGCCGTCACCGATGAACTGGCGCATCGACCGAAGAACCTAAGCTGGGCGGAGTCGACTGCCGTCCCGCTTTCGGCGCAAACGGCTTGGCAGGCTTTATTCGTTCAGAGCGGAATTGGGGCCTTTGACAGTGACGAGTGGAAGGGGAAGAGGGTTCTTGTTACTGCTGCTTCTGGGGGAGTGGGGATCTGGGTTACCCAGATTGCGAGGCTGGTTGGTGCGACGGTTGTCGGGACGTGTGGATCGAGGAATGTGGATTTCGTGAAGGGATTAGGGGCGAGTGAGGTTATTGATTATCGCAAGACAGATTTACGAGCGTGGGCACAGGAGCCGGGGAGCATGGTTGATGTGGTTGTTGATTGTGTTGGGGGGAGGTCGCTGGCGGATGCGTGGTGGTGTGTGAAGGATAGGGGTGTTTTGGTTAGCATCTTCCAGCCCCCGGAGCAGGTTCGACCAGAGGGGTTGAAGGAGAAGCGTGTTAAGAGTTTGTTCTTTGTGATGGAGCCAAAGAGGGAGCATCTTGAGGCTATTACGAAGCTTGTTGAGGCCGGGAAGTGTCGGCCAGCTGTGGATAGTATTTGGCCTTTGGAGCTTTTTCAGGAGGCTTTTGCGAGGTTGGATGGGGGACATGCTAGGGGGAAGATCATTTTGGATTTGACTCTTAATCAGTGAGGTTAGTTTGGTGCCCGAGTGTGATGTGACTATGATGAATGGCGACATGTATGCACCACGAATTGTTCTTTTTGTCGGGAGCTAATTTGATATACATATTGGATTTGGATATCTTACCGTAACTGTGCCAAATGGTGCTTTTTTCACGTAGGTAACATGCTGATGGAATGGATAACTATATGAGCCTGTGAACAATATCCAGGGCCCGGGATGGCTCGCGAATATCACTGGGTATGTTGGACAGCCAGTTGAATGTTTTTGGCTAGGGTAACAAGGCTAGGGATTCCTTGTGTGTTGTGTCCGTAACTTGGTATATAAGAAGATTCCAATCTTTTATCAAACTATTCGAAAGGCCTCATCTCTGTTCTACCGCAGAGACAGGAAATCTCGTTGTGTGAGACCTTGTTATACAGTGCTCTGCAAACAGTCGATCCTTCTAATATGGAACCAAGGACAGATAGTCAAAGCAATTTGTGCAGCTTGATATCCCCGTGCGCTGAATAGTACCAGAGAAGCAAGAGTGGGTGATCAAGCAAACCATCTGCTTTTAAACCCATTTAGTACTAGTAGTATGGACCAGTGGAGACAAGAAGAGGCGATAAGATAAGAATTTGGGATTTTCAAAATGTCATGAAATTCAAATGTGAAATTCAAATTTGACATTTATGAAATACCACAGCATTATGAATCGATATCATTCAATACTGGCATTTTGGGTGAAATTGACCATGTTTATCCAGTATTCCAGCAAAATATTCAAGAAAATGGCACGTTGAATGGTGACGAAATGTGATTGAAATGTCAAAAAGTCAAAATGCCAAGAATTTCATGAATTTCAGCATTGAGTTGGAAAGTTATGCATCACATGCACCATGACTAAGCAGATGCATAAGGAATAAATCTCACATTGGTTCCCTGGTTGCGATCTTCAATTGTGATTCAGCTGCCGGGAAACAGGACTCGCATTTCTAGGATTAGGCGACAAGGATACTTCATATCATCTTGGGCGCTCTAATTGAAGATTAATATAGTATTTGTCTAGATTTAAGCACTGGTCCTGTGGTAGCATTATGCATTGCATCGCCATTGCTTCATAGACACCCCCCGCATTATAATGTCTACCGATCCCTTCCCCTCCATTCTGGTGAGTCCAGAAGAATTTCACAATGTTAGAGGATCTACGACACGCCGCATCATTCCGGTAGCGGCAGGGCGTGAGGCACTGCGCTCGTCCTACGAGAAACAGCATATACCAGGCTCAGTGTAAGTCTAGTTGTCACCCCACATACCCTACCGTGTCTAAAGAAAGGAACAGGCTCTTTGATATGGATGTGATAGCAGACAATGCGTCACCATACCCCCAGATGCTTCCCACAGCAAGCCACTTCGCCCACTGCATGGGATCAATGGGTATAAAACCGGACGACATCCTGGTCGTCTACGACGCAGTGGAGATAGGCATGTACAGCGCACCACGCGTAGCATGGGCCTGTCGCCTCTTCGGGCATAAGTCGGTACATGTCTTGAATAATTTCCGTCTGTATACGGAACAAGGATATCCTGTTGAGGAAGGAAAGATGTCGCTGCTTCCGGAAACCGTTTACCCTGTTCACGAACCAGCTGCGAGCCAAGTGATCGCATTTGAGGAATTGCGGGACATAATTTTGCACCAAGCAGGGAATTATCATATCATAGATGCCAGAATCCCAGGCCGGTTTTCGGGTACGCAAGAAGAAGCGGATACCACTCTCCGATCGGGGCATATGCCTTCTGCGATCAATATTCCGTTGGCAGCGATGTTGGACGCGGAGTCGAAGGCATTTTTGCCCCTGTCAGAACTGAAGGAGCTCTTTGAGAAGGCGGGTATTAGTGCCAGTACGCCGGTTATCTTGACTTGCAATTCAGGAGTGACTGCTGCCGCATTGGATCTCTCATTGCAGGTGACCGGTCATGAGATGGAACGAAGGGTGTACGATGGGAGTTGGATGGAATGGACAAGGAGGGCGGAAAGTGGCTTGGTAGTCAGGGACTGAATTCTACTTCCTCTGTACATGCTTGTTCACACGTTCTAGCCGTTTGTTCCCCTGATATTTTGAGAGCAACGTGAGAGGAACCGAACTCTAGATGGCGCTGTCTGCTCAAATGACGAGCCCTTTGTTCATGTAAATATCTTGATAATACTACTTGATCATCTATGGTACCCCACCGTCTTGGGACGACAAGAACAATCATAAGTTTCGTGTTATTTGTCACATTACTAGGTTATGATTTACCCTAAGACGAGAGACATTGAACAGGATCAAGTTAAGGTTACACGCTGCCTAGCCAAGTCTCTATACAAGGGGGGTATTTGACCCGCTGGACGTGCTCCCAAGTGTCCGAGGATATCATAAAAAAGATTGATCGGTCACTCACATCCAGTGGTTATATGTGTATCTGTGGAATATTCGCATGCAAGAGACTAGTGTCGGGGGCTGGAGCCCGACGTTGACGATAGGGCCAATTATATCAATGTCCGGCTCAGTGGTGGCAGGCCTAACGCTGTGTTGCCAGCCAATTACATTCAACCTAGTACTTAATATCGGCAAATTACGTTTTGGTTAAAGTCCGACGGATATTATATGCATGTTCGTCGTTGTGCTGCAAGGAGCGAAAGAATAAGATTAAAAGCAGCACGCCGTCCTCAAATCTTGCCCTCGCTTTTCAATTACCAAATACATTTATAGATTTCAAGGCGGAGAACAACTTGGCTTTCACAATGACAGCATTCAGTCCTCTGCTACCACCGTTTACCGTGTCAAAAGAGTCGACAGGCTCTCGGGGAATACTTCAGCCCCCGCGAATCCGGCCCTTGACATCGGTAGCAGTTCGCGACAATTTAACCCTTTCGACATGGCTTCTTCTGGGCGGACTTCTACAAGGCCTGGCCGTCATGGTCTTCGGCACCTATGCCCTCATCCCTACAATGCTAATCCTCCTATACCGCACAACCGACCACTTACTGATGGCTGCCAACATCACCCGAAACCGCTACATTGGCGGCGTCATCCAGACAAAATTCTCCGCGCAAGCGCCCAATACTGACGGCACCTTCGGAAAGGAACTCGCCTCTGAGTCGATTGTGGTCTTCCACCTAGGGGCCCGCTCAAACCACCCCCTTGGTCTTCTCGCCCCAGGCTTCCCCGAGCTCAATCGACAAGTCATCGCGATGAATCGTGAGATGAACTCCAATCCTGTCAAGTACGGCCTCCTCGGCAGCTCGGCCTGGATTAAGCAGGATGACTCTGCGGGTAATGACGTTATGTCAATCTACTATCTCCGAGATTACGACGCGTTGCATCGGTTTGCGCATGGCTCGCTCCATGTGGAGGGCATGAGGTGGTGGACGGAGATCGTGAAGGACCATCCGCATATTGCGATTTATCATGAGACGTATATTGTGCCGAAGGGGAAATGGGAGAATATCTATATTAATTCGAAGCCGACGGGATTGGGGGACACATGGTTCCCTGTTGCTGAGGAGGGGAAGGGGGAGGGTAGTGTGTCGCGGTTTGTGAGACCAATTGTTGATGCGAGACATCCCGCTTTGAGATCTGCTTCTAGGAGGCTGGCAATGCGTCAGCTGGAGGGGAGCGAGGAGGCAGAGGACGAGCTGTACGATAGGACATGGTAGTCGAAGGGGTGGTGAGGTTGGTAACTATCAACTGGTCTTTTTGTCTTTTGAGTCTGCAATTTGTAGGATAAAGCGTATTTGATGTGAGCGTTTTCGTGTCATATATATAGTGTCTTTGACCTGGTTGGGATCCAGCAATGTGTAAGCATCATCGCTTATAAGTTCCTATATCCACTAGCCCACTAGCCCACTAATAGGCCTCGTAGACCAAGGCCACTCTTCCTCACCATCACATCATCCCTTTCTCCTTCCTCTCACGCTGAAAATAGATAGCGCCGTCAATGTCGTTTTGATCATCAGAATATAGCCTTTGGCTTGTCCATTGCTCTATGATTATCATGACTATGTCCAGCAGAGGTACTAGAGGTAAATGACAACATCTCCTGGACCCAGGTTGATATACAGTTATTACGTCCGTCTACCGAATCCACCTCCCCATCCATTCCTTATTAAGCTTCTTCGCCTCATCAACAAGTCCCAGCTCCAACAGCAACTGCACAACACCCCTAACAGACGAGTGTAAAGAGCTACTCACCCACGCATGCGTCGGAGCCGTATGTTCTCCGATGAAGATCGTATTATGTTCAGTCTGATGATAAGCCGGGATATAGAGCCGATGTTGCTCGACATCTGGCCGACACCATGAGGTAGCAGTATGCTCATCCTGCAACCAGCAGAGTCTTTCATAATCACCAGTATACAGCTCACGGGCCTGTTCCCCATGCAGTGAAACCACAGCATCCAGCACAGTCTGCACATGCTCTTCATCTGAGAAACTGACGAACCGATCGCTCCAATCTCCACCACGGTAATGCATGATAAGACCTGGGCGGGATTCATTCAGTCCGTAGACGGGATAGTACAACGCTCCAACAGAATTGCTCGGCGGAGTAGAATAGCCCCCGAAAATAGGTTTATCGCCTTTTTCCCAGAAGCGTTCCGAGAAGAGCAGAGCCACCTTACAGGCAGACTTGAACCGTAACCCAGCTTCACTGATCGCGCGACCCAGCACTGAAGAAAATGTAGGCAAGTCCATGAACCGAGTCATGGTAAAGGGCACCGCCATAATCGTGTAGTCATACGTCTTGCTCTCGTACGTCCGATTTCCAATAGATGGATACCACGACAAACGCGTCTGCATGCGCCCGTCAGGGTGATCAACAGTCTCCAGCTTCCGGATCTTCCTGTCGAGGACAAGCCGATTGCTCACATGCGGCAAAAACGCATCGGATAACCGGTTGAATCCACGATCAATGCAAACCCACTCCGTCTCCCCCAAGGAACCAGGACTCCCATCCAACCCAAGGTTCGAATTATGATGCATCTCGTCCCAGAATATATCATAATCACTACCAGTCCAAATGGCATCGGTCACATTCACACTAGCATTAAACACATGCTTCATCATCGCCTGTTCGCTCCACTCGTCCAGTCCACGATCCATGACAGCCCGATGGGCCCGCCACACATCCCTCTGAATGAACTTCAGCATCTCCTTCGCACTCAATATCTGCTCCATCTTGCTCTTGGTCTTCTCATACTCAGCAGTAGCCATAGGATCCTTAGTCCCCAATCCAGTTTCATTCCCATATACCTCTCCCCGCGTCGGAATAGACCCATCAGCCAACCGACCTGTCCCGCGTGCCAGCAACTCATTCTCATGATGCTGTATCCACGGAATAAAATCAACCTTCCACTGACTCTCATTCCCATTCATATTATTCAACAGCTCCGCGAGCTGAAACACCATTGCATGGTCCGAGTATTCCACCGTCTCGCCATCGTTATACCGCACCCTAACAGGCAGCCGCATGGGCCCCATTTCGGCCCATTCATCCGTGCCCCCAACGAGCTTCGTCCGGAACCGTCCTCCTACCCGGTCACTCGCTTCGAGTATTTCCCAATTGTGGATTCCGACGCTATCGAGGAGGAGGGCGGTTGTGAGGCCTGAGATGCCGGCGCCAACGATGGCAATCGTGGTGTTTTTGTTGGTGGGGTTGTGTGCTCCATTTGTGGTGGTGTTTATGGCGTTGACGCCGTCGAACCAAGCGCCGAGGGCATCGAAATCTTGCAGCTTGGGTGTTGCGGTCGTTAGAGGGAGGAGGAAGGGGAGGAGGGCGCGCGGTCTCATTTTGAGGGGGTTGAGAACGAGGGTTTGCGGGCGTGGGGTTTCGGAAAGCGGGTGGTTTGCTTCGAATTCATTGTGAAGTTATACTCAGCTCGGTAGGGACCTTGTAGATGCTTACCTTGGGGATAGTTTTGATCAGCTTGTTCCTGGTGTCGATCGTTATTAGGTGCGTCCGCAAGGTACTGGTTGGCCGCACAAAGACTTTTTGGATGGAAAATAATTATGCGGTGTAGTGAAAGAGAGACAATTATATATGAAAATAATCTTTCAGCATTCAACTCTATCTGATTAAAGGGGGTATAAAGTCGTGAAAGCAATGCAGAGCACAAACCCGAAATCTATATACAAGAACACCATCGATACGCCTTTTTATCCATCCAGAAAGCCATTAAAAGTGTGGGGCATTCAAAGCCATCAGACAAATGAGTCCAGCAACCAATCCAGCACAAGGCAGGGTCAGAACCCAGCCAATGAAGATAAATCCAAGCTGGCGCCAGTTCATCGCCCCCATGTCGAAGTTCATGAGAGCAACACCGGTAGCGGCTCCAGTGAGACACTGAGTGGTAGAAACTGGGAGACCCAGTCTAGAGGCCAAGAGGACAGTCACGGCGGCTCCGAGCTCAGTGGCGAAGCCACGAGTGGGCGACATCTGGGTAATCTTGTTACCCATCGCCCGCATCACGTTGTAACCATAGAACCAGAACCCGGCACCCAGGAGCAGACCAGCAATGACGAGGAACCAGACAGGGGTTTCCGATTTGGTGTTCACCGCACCGGACAGGTAGGTGGCGTACGAACCAGCCCAGGGTCCCACGGCGTTCGCGACATCGTTGGAGCCGTGTGCGATGGACATCATCATGGCGGAGACAACCTGACAGTAGGTCCAGAGATGCTCGACGCGGTCGTCGTACCGGTGGGCACGGGCGTGGACGGCGCGGAGGTGCTCAGAGTCGTGGGTAATCACATCGCGGGTGACACCCTGGAGGAGAATGAATTTGATCCAGCCCCACCATTTGGCCGGGTTGAGCCAGGAGAGGTCTTGGACAGGCTCGAGGAAGCGCTCATGGGGGCCAATGATGCGCTTTTTCGGTTGGATCTGGGGAGTAGCCATGGCTGACTCGGCGGTACGCTCGATGTCGGAAATGTTCGTGTCTTTCTGATCGGATGCTTTCTCTTTCCCGCTATCCTTGTGGCCGGCGCGGACTTCGCCATGGGCATCTTCGTAGTAGTTGGTGACGAACTTGTCACCCTTGCCAGGCCAGTAGAGGGGGCAGTCATCCTTGAGAAGCCAGGGTCCGAGGGGAATGTGGTAGGCTCGGATGCGAGGGTCTTGTTTCACGAGGCGACGGTGGAAGTAGGGGACGAAGAAGACGTAGGAGATGAGGAGACAGCCAAAGAAGACGCCGAGGATGATGCCGACGGCTTTGCCGGCACCGAACTCCTCGAGCGAGGGGGCAGTAGGGGCCTCAACAACAATGAAAAGGGCGAGGATAGCTCCGGTCACGGAAAGGTAGAGGGGAATGAGACGCATGCCCCATTTGAAAGAATCCTGACGCTCCAGCACGCTATACTTGAGGGTGCCGAAGATCAGAGCCGAGAAGCCGCAAGCAACAGCCGGGGCGATACCCCAAGACGCCGCGATTTGGGACACACTGCCACTCTTCCATCCCCAGGAAATTTCTGCTTGTGTAGCGAATCCGACACCGACCAAAGCCCCGACAACGGTCTGCGTGGTTGATACTGGCCACCCGTAGTGCGTAGCCACCATCAACCAGGTGGCGCTTCCAACCTCCGCGCAGCCCATGGCCAACATGAAGGTACCGGGTTTGCCCATGAAGCGATCGGGGCTGATAATGCCCGATTTGATTGTCGAGGTCACACGGCTACCCAAAGCCACGGCACCGACGAACTCTGTGATGGTAGCCAGGATACCCGCCTGCCACATCTCCAGAGTCCGGGCAGCCACGGACGTTGCGTATGAGTTAGCCACATCATTGGCACCGTTTCCGAAGGCGCTGAAGACGAAGGCAATCGAGGTTATTGCCAAGATCCAGTCATACTTTGCGGTAATGGCGGGAATCATGTTGGGCGGCGTGCCGAACCACACCGAAGGGTAATGTGGAGGGCGAGGAGAAGGATTGGTAGGGCTCTGATGTGGTCTTGAAGGACTGGATATCTCTACACCTCAAAAACTGTTCTACGGGCGGACGAGTATTAAGTAGGAACCCTTCTCTGCTGCACTCGGGAGGATTGCTACACTCGGCGAGAACGTGCTGACAGACTTCACGCCAAGGTATCAAATTGCTGCATCTCATCTCGGCACTCCAGCTGACACTGATTGGTACACTGGAGAACGTGAGCTCTCGCTTCACAGAGATTGGTCGAGGGCTCATCTTCCGCTCGCAGCGTGCCCAGAGGAGCGGACTTGGCGCCAAGTGCTGCCGAGACGCCATCCGATGGTACTGGAGATGGATGACACCCAATCAGAAGGCCCTCTCCAGCACGTTCCTGACCTTCTGGTTGAGGATGAGGTTCGAGATATCGTTTAGGGTTGCTGCACCGGTGAGAAGAGAACCCTAAGCCCATCTTGGTATCTCGGCGCGTGACTTGGCGGAAACCTTCACACCCGAAGAAGCTGGCATGATTTTGAACTCACGAGGGGGTTTGCCACTTTAGGGAAATTGCTCGGGGTGTAATGATTAATTGATATTCTGAAATACAATGCGAGGCATTTCCTGGCCCACGTGGGAGACTCTGCCGCAGTTCGTCACAGTCGTGGCGTCAGAGACTGGCCTCGGACCTTGAGTGGGTCATGAAGGCAGTGCACACCCACACGACCACTTGCCACTGCGCATCAATTAGAGCTCAACACATATTCCTCTTGAATTCGGGCAAGATGCCTCCGTAGAGCGTACAATGGAGTATTCTATTGGGGGGAGTAGGATATGTCGACGTTGCATCATGCTGGGGTGGGGGCTTCTGAGATTACAGATTGCGTTATCAAAGTAATATTCCAATCAAGGCGAGATGGCCGAGCGGTCTAAGGCGGTTAGTACCACTATGAAATACTCATCTTCTCAAACATATAACTAATAATCTCTCAGCTGGAGTAAGGTTCCAGTCTCGAAAGGGGCGTGGGTTCAAATCCCACTCTCGTCAACATCTTTTTGCTATTTGTTTATAGTCTCTGTTCTTTCATGGACTCCTTTTTTGTCAGTTCTTACTCGCAAGTTCACAAATACAAGACATAGAGTCCCAAGCTAAAACTCTCTACCAGCGACCTATATGTGTTTGGATATCTTGCACTCTAGTATTGGCAAACCATGATAAACCCTGCTAATTGAACACCGATCTTCAACAATTGAACTCAAAAACCTCTAACTAGATCTTCATATAGTACCTTTAAGTCTATTATGCTTTCTGTGGTAGCAAAATATACTGTAACATGTAGAAAGACTAAGCAATTGGATCGAGTTGGATTCGAATACTGTTCTCGACCCTATTCTAGAAGATATATTTCGAGGCTGCGTGCGACGATAGTATTTGACAACAAGAGAAAGTTACTTAACAATTAATCCGGCTACTATTCGTGAATAAGTCAAGTCTGTCTGGATTACATTGGCGTGATTTTTACTATCGGGTTACGCCGAAGAATCTTTTCTTTTTTGCTTCTCCTGGGTTGCATACATAGTTAAACTCAGGATACCTCGCTGATCAATCCAAATTACCTCTATGAGCGCCGTCACTCTAACAGAAGAGCAATGTTTATTTCATTTAATAACGCATTGATCGTCGATATCATCATAACGCTCGTTGTCCTGATCATATATTGTGTCATACGCTCCATTCATATGAGGGTGGATAAAATCTTCATCAATTTGTCCCCGCAAAAGTAACGCCAATGGGTGTGACAACTTTCCACTTCACACTGGATGTGACCGCGTCCACTGATCTTTTCCGTCATGATTCCACAACCCGGAAGTGGTCTGACTCGACGGTCTTACAGCACGGAACAGTGTTCACAGCGCCAATTAGTGACTTCTATTGGCGTTCACTAGGCGGGCACAAATCAGTTCAAAGTATGGTTTGGACTTCTTGTACAGGACAAGAATACAACAACCATGCCCAGCACCTATCTATAACTCAGCCAATATAAAAAGAGAGAAATGTGCAGAAATGGAAGGACTGAGGAAGCGCAATTGACGCAGCTTAACTACCGCAATCCACCATCATCGAGAGACATGTTCATGGCAAAATTATAAGGCTGATCGAAGCACGCATCCACAGCCACCTGGTGGATGTTTCCTAGAAGGACCCATTCTGCGGGTGACGCAAATTTGGACTCGGCCCACTGGTCTGGGGAGAATTTATGGATCCGGTTAAGGATCTCACGCGCATCATTGGTGAAGACGCTGGGTGTTGTAGGTACCTTGTTGTGGCTTGTATGTCCAGACATGGTCAGTACTATCTTTACGCTCACTACAGTCTACAGTGCACGACGTACATCAATGAGCAAAAGTGTCAGGATGCCTGCAATGATGAGGTCGCTCATGCGTCTATGTTCCGCGTTAATATCATCACTTAGAGATCGAATCAGCTGGCCGCGATTTCGGCTCCAGCGCATGGTAGCGGGGTCCGTTTCTCGCGCGATTCATTCGATGACTTAAGGTCATGCAGAAAATCACGAGTGGGGTATTATTAGGGTAAGCCGTAATCGCCATCTGGAAGATCAGAGGTGTGACTGGGTATACGGCAGAGTTTTGGCCCAGCCTGGCGATGTAGAGTAGTACTTTATCTAGCGAACATGTCAGTGTGGCCGACGAGTCATCTGCCCGAGACCTTTCACTGACAATACTAGTATTCCGTCGCCTGGACAAACACATGTAGATCGGTTTTCAACTCTATGAGGACTGACTACAAAGTTAGGGTTGACATATTGATCCGTCGTTATTTCATTGGTGTCATTTTACTTCGTCTTCCGACTCCGAGAATTGATTCTTCCTCGTGCCAGCCATGTTGACCTGAGAGGCTGCTTATCATTGTATCCCCAACAGATAATCCCGGTCGCTGAGCATCGTTTACATGGAGGTCGGGTGAAAGCAGATACTAAGCACCGTCGAAGGCATCCCTACCAGTGAGGCTTTCGATTGTCCGCCATACCTTTCGTAATGAATACAGCCAAGTACGAACCTAGATTAACGGAGTCTGACTAGTTACCGTCACTGTTGGTGGTATTTTCTGGAAAGAGTCTTTGCCAGGCGATGATGTCAAATTTGAACACTGCATGATGTAGTGGCAGTGCCAAACTAGTTTCATAGATAGCCCCGAATCATACACATGCCTTATGTCGATATTTTATGTACATAAGTCTCGTAGTATTTTCAGTCGCTTTGCATTGGTGATTTGTTGCAATTGCAGTGCAGACAAGTGATACTTAGATTACCCAAGGTGATCGTAATCAAGAAATACGTTGTTCCTAAGCCAAACTGTGGCATCAGGTGATGCCACGCGCTTTGATTTCGCTCAAGTGATTCCTTAGGAACTCCCGCCTCACGACTTGAGTTTGACTTTGGACCATTCCCCCACTTCTTGGGATCCAGTTCTCAGTATCAGTGGAGTGACAGATTGGCCAACACTGCCTCAACCCAAAGCACGACAGAAGACGAAACACGAAAAGGCGAAACACATAACCTCCTAGCAAGCTTTGATAGCAATACAAGCCTGAGATGGAACTTCAATATCGAACATAAACCTATCCGGGTTGTCAAGGAACGCCCGGCGATACCGTAGACACCGCTTGCTAATCAACAGCTGGCCCCGACATGATACGTCCGAAGCGTATTTAAAGAACGATTTGTTTCCCCGGACGTTGTTGCCACGACGGATCATGTCATCCACACGGCTTGCATAGTTAATGCAGTCAGCGCAGTAGGCATGCCGGTCCATCGCTTCCGGTGGGACCCGCGTGTTGTTGTAGAGTAAGATGCCTGCTGTTCATTAGTTATGGGCGTTGAAGGCTTTCTATGGGAAGCACCGCAAAGATCTCGTACCGCATCCTATTATAAATAGACAGCATGCTGTAATAGCCGCCGAGATAATGGAGATTCTCATTCTAGGATTGGTCGCAGAGAGCAATGCTTCAGGGTGGACTTCTACATTGAATGGATGTCAGAATGGATGCCTATGTCACTAACCTAATCGGGCGATTACAGCCCCCTCTCCGATTACCATTCCTAGCTTAGTGCATCATTAACATGGTGACACGTGACCATCTGTTAGGCATCGATTTTTGTGCCCTCATGTAGCATTCAGGGGCAATACAATGGATACTTCCAGTATTAGAACAGGAATAGCTTTTGGTCCCCGAGGCTGACCATTTGAAGAAGTGCTAGTTCAAGGTTAGACAGGAGAAAGTCATGAACATGGACATTCTTCGACATCTATTGGATTCAAATATAGACATGAGAGAACGTTTCTTGAGCCACTCCTTCCATACTTGGATGAAGGACACACCATCTCTCCATATCGGGACCATGCAAACAGAATTGCCGCGGCCAGTCTAAAAGATCTGCGTACCCAGGTGGCATAACCGCCAAGACCTCGGATAGCAGCGATTCTGCACGGCTTTCCATAACCCAAAAACGCCGGAACACATGTAGCTGTGCGCAGTAGCAAGCAAGCAATACAAGGGCAAAAGGCTGCCTTTTCTCAATCAAGCTAATGAACCCGTTGCGGACTGTAATCGGCCAAATGAAAATCAGGCCGCAGGCGGAAGGGCTGTGGGCGCGTTCAATACGTTGGCAGGCTTTCTTCAGCTCAATGATGGCATGCTCTAGGATTGATCTCTCCTCTTCTTCAAGTACTTCGACTGTGAGCCGATACCTGAGTCTATGGATCTGGTCATTAAGGCCATGGAAGAGACGGAGTGGTGTGTCCCTATGAAAGCAAATTAGTTGGAAAGACAAAGCCACGATGACATGAAAGGGAAAGAGGTCACATACACTTTCTCGCTCCAGTCTTGAGAGAACAGTGGCCCAAGACAAGACTTCTGAATTAAGGGAAAAAACTCAAGGAGGGAAGTTATACCACGGGAGAGATTAAACATCTCAATCACGCTGCTCAAGGGCTGTGCATCCTTCGAGTCTGTCGGGACACCACATATCCAGACCATGATGACGCTCGAGAATGCGAAGAGGGCAAAGCAATTCTCCGCGGTTGGCTTGCGAAGTATAGTTCGGAACGTTTGGAGTCCTAGGGCCATGTGGAAAGTGGAGCTGGTGAGGTAATGACTATGTTTTTCGGGCTTGACATATGACAGATGGAGTGCGGATAACGACAGGATGCCGTGCATGAGAAACTCATAGGAATAAGCGATTTTCGGAACCTCGATTCTCCACACGTGGTGGATATCTTCTCGATCTGATAAGGTGGTACATGTGGAGGTGCAGTAATGGTGCATCAATTCGGGGTCTTGACCGTTCCACTCGCGCCCGAAGTATGCGGTATCTGTTAAATTGCGCTGAAAGACGCTTAAGGCGGCATCGGTCCGTGCAGATATCTTGGCAAGAGATGTGCCGGGAGCTGGGGTGCATGCAACGAGTCGTTCAGCATGTTTCGTCTTGGGTTCAGGTTGTGGTGTGCCGATTCGATGCTGATAGCTGCACGAAAGACTGCGACGGGTACAATTTAAACATGGATCGGCTTCATCGCACTAGAGACTATTAATAAGGGAGACATAAAATAGACCGGCAATGCCGCTGTCAAATCGGGGTACTCGCCTTCACTCTCCGTTTTTTGCATTGGTCGCAGCCGTTGCGAGACTTCTTGTGTGATCTCCGGGGCGGCATGTTCCGTCTGGAGTAGCAGCGATGCACCGAGGTCTTCGTTATTCGTTAAAACCGAAATAAGATCTCTGTAGGCCCAGATATGGGGATCGCGAGCAGTATCTGTTCGAGGTGTGGCGTATTGAAGTAATACGATAGCGAAAACGAACACCGATTCGAATCCGGGGCTATGCGGATTTAATTGGCCGCCTGGACCGAGAGAATCCACATTTCATTAAAAACTTCCCTTGAGTGGTGGGTCTCAACTATGCATCTTGGTAACAGAAACGTGGAGCAACCCAAGGTCACATAGATTGCGTTTCCATAGCAGACTCGCTGTCAAATTCAAGAGAGCTCGGATAAGGGCTGTAGATCAATAGCTGGGTGCAGTCCATATTAGTATAGATCATCACGATATACTTTTGAACGCCAGTAGGGCCCCTGTTATCAAACCACCGGGCGAGCGGGCAAGTTAAATTGTCATTCAATCTGAACGACTTCCCACTATGGCACATATATAGGTTATTATTCCTATAAGTGTACGCCGAAGCACCCGGGCTATTTACTTTATCTCAATAGATAGCCGTTACTGTGACCAGGCTTGGCCACTCTAGGGGCTTCAATCTTTACCAGTAAGCCCCTGGGCACGCGAGTGGAGACTTATACCGAGCGGATCCGGAGGTGGAAACGATAACGAACTCGAATTCGAGATCCCCTTTAAAACATGAAGGTGGCCGCTACAAGGAAAGATGGAAGCCTCAACTTAGTGCAATCTATTCTATCCTTCCCCTTGTGGTTCACCATTACATGTGATATCAGTCAACATGAGTGGTAACGACGATGGTGGAATCGACTTTAAACTGTACCGCTATACACCATCACTCGTTGCGGCGGTACTCTTCATTGTTCTATTCACTCTAACAACCGCGTATCATCTCTGGCAAACTGTTCGTCCAAGATGCTGGTACTTTTTAGTCTTTGTGACTGGTGGGATTTGTAGGTCCATCTCTCCGTGGAAATCCACCAAGTTAACCCTAGAACGCGAGACTAAACAAAGACCAGTCCAGATAATAGGGTATATCTGTCGCGTGCTATCGCATTTTGACAAGGAATCCGTACCCATATATGCCGTGGGGAATACTCTGATTCTTCTCGCGCCCCCTCTTTACGCTGCCTCTATATACATGACTCTGGGACGCCTCATCAGATATCTCGATGCAGAGCATTTAAGTCCGGTATCTACCAAATGGCTAACGACAATCTTCGTCGCGGGTGATGTGATCTCATTCCTCGCACAAGGGACAGGTATAGAACAGTCCCCGCGTTTCCACCATCCATTTTCCTGTAATGCTCACGATATTTAAGGCGCCGGAATCATGGCAAGCGGCACCATCAGTGGGATGAACACTGGCGAGAACATCACCATCGCGGGTTTATGTGTACAACTGGTGTTTTTCAGCGTCTTCATCATTGTGGCGACCCTCTTCCATTACCGCATTCACAAGAATCCGACGTCCCAATCGGTTGGGAGTTCCATCTTTCCTCGCAATTGGCGCGACGCTACCTGGGAGACTGTTATCTTTGGGTTATACAGCGCCAGTGTTCTGATCCTCATTCGGTCGATCTTCCGCTTGATCGAGTATGCGCAGGGCAACGATGGGTACCTAATTAGCCATGAGGTATTCATGTACGTGTTTGATTCGACACTGATGTTCATCACAATGGTGGGGATGAGCTTTTTCCATCCATCGAAGGTTTTGAGTCCGTTGGCGAAGACGGAAGCGTCTTTAGGCCGGTCCTATACGATGGCCACTGAGCTACGCGATGAGCCTGTATGATTTACGATTTGTATTCTAGAGCATGCTGTCACTGGTTGTTGTACATATGTGATAGATCAACTAACAACGATGAATTTATACATTAATGTATTGAACCGCCCCTGCTACAACATGAAGCTGTCGCCAGCAGCTACCATATAGTGGGCCTCACTAATCACCACCAAGATCTATCATCGAATGAAGCGCCGTTCAAACTGACTCCACCAAACTGCGCCAACACCATAACACCATACTACAAATACGGACCCCAACCCAAACACGAGAGTCTAATAACAAACGGCGTCTTGGCAGTCGTGCATTGCCACGAAGGAACCAACACCGGCCTGAGATCGATCCTTCTCGTCCATACACGCTTTCCCCAAGTTAGGGTTCTCGCAGATCACCTCACAGCCACCCCATATGACTACGTCATGTTCCAACATCTAACCTTCATGACACTCAGTATACCATCTGGCTATAGAATATATTTTAGACTGCCCAACTTTTTTGAGCGTAGCCACGCGGTGAAATTCTCGCAATATTCAACATCGATTTAGCCACTACTTCTTCACTTCCTCAAATCTAACCCAGAAAAAAAATGGACTCAACTTCAGACCCGCCCCCTCCATACTCCTTAACATCAACCACCCTCGGAGAAGAAACCCTACCTCCAACTACCCTCATCCTATCAAACAAACTCATCCACACCGAGGCCGCCCCCTCAACACCCCTCTACGAGATATCACAAGACATAGCATCTCTCCCCCAAAAGTTCACATCCGTAAAATTCGAGCGAATAGAAACGGACGCGCCCTCAAAACTGGAAAGCAAATCCCCCGAATCGCAGAAGAAGCACATATTCTACCTCGCTCATCCGGCGCATGCGCGGTACCGGAAAGATGTCCCCGCATATTATATCACTGCCGTCTCCCTTGGATCGTTGGGTAATATCCGCTTTGAGGTGAGTAAGGCGCGGTTTCAGAAGGCGGAGTTTCGGGCGCTTCTGAGTGCCGGGAAGAGGATGGACGATAAGCCGTTGTTTTGTGAGGATGTGGAGATTACCCTCTTTACGGCCAAGATGAAGTGGACTGGGGGTGGGTATCGGTGGACCGATGCTAGGGGTAGGGATGTGGCGTTTGAGGGGGGGAAGGGCGAGGGGGGGAAGTTGGTTGTTACGGCGTCTATGGAGCAGGATATGAGGGATGCGCTGGTTGCATTGTGGGTGTTGAGGACGTGGTATGATACTGCGGAGAGTAGCGAGGCTAAAGCGGATGGTGAGTGAACGTTGACTCCATGGTCTTATAACGCCCTCATGGTTTATGTGTTTAACCCTTAGACAGAACTAGCGGCCTGGATGCCACCCTCAGCGTATGCAGGAATGGATTTTGGTGTCGTGAAAAAGTCGGGAGCCTTGGGGGCTCTCGGTGCACTTGGTGGCGCTGGTGCTTGATCGGTGCGTTAGCCTTCATACTGCTCAAGTAGAGGTATTAACTATCATAGTGGCATGTCTCACATCGCAGACGGGTCTGGGTTGGAGATAGAAAGATCTGATAATCGTTATATGACTCTCTATCGAATGCGCAATCTCTAATCGCTGTGCTACATGTCTATAACATCTAAAACAGATTGCTCAAATCTTAGCCCCATAAACCTTCATCAACTCGCCCAGCGGCATCTTCTCTTTCTCCGCCGGCCTGCCTTCATCCGGAACACCAAACACAAGCTGGGCCCTCATCTTCCAACTCGCCGGCACATTCCAGTTGGCCGCGACCTTCTCGTCAATGATAGGATTATAATGCTGCAGATTGGCACCGAACCCCTCCTCCTCCAACGCAACCCACGCCATCAACTGATGCATCCCACTGGTATGCTCGGACCAGGGCTCGAAGTTATCCGCATAGAGAGGGAACTTCGCCTTCAGGTCCTCCACCACAGGCTGATCTTCATAGAACAGGACGGTGCCGTACGCGGCCTTGAAGCCGTCCAGCTTTGGCCCGGTTTTCTTGAATGCCTCGGGCCCGATGAGCCCCAACAACACGTCCTTGGTGATGTTCCAGAGTTTCTCGTGCTCTTGGTTGAGGAGGAGGATGGTGCGCGTGGTTTGCGAGTTGAATGCGGACGGCGTTTTGTGCATGACCGAGCCGAGGATGGACTGGATTTTGCTATCCGCGATGGGCGATTCGCGGCGCAGCGCGTAGTAGGATCGGCGGTTGGCCAGGGCGGCCAGGAGGGCGGTGCTGCCTTTGGACATTGTGGTGTATGTTACGCGTGGTTGGGGATTGGTCTGGTGTAGTGGATTGCGAAGAAAGGGAATGGTGGAGCTCGCTAGGGAGGAAATTGGGGAGTATTTATAGATTTCTAGATCAGATACATCGCCGGTTGTTAATAATTGAATTTAAATCCGAAGCGACTGGAATTTCGCTAATCTTGTTCGAGCCCGATTGGCGATATAGTGTAATTAGGTTAAGAAAACCGATCGACGCTTGAATATCCTTAGGTAACCATGTGTCATTCTGCAGTGTGTGTTGAGGATGCCATAAGTCTTGGTCATCCTTAGAAACAAAGTTAGGTAGTGGGCCGTGCCGAGGCATCTCTTAGCTTATCAATGAATATTACTTAACTGGCGTACCTGATCATTGTCTATAGAATTATCCCATGATCGCTCTTCGGTGATCGTGAGTAGGATATTGAAATTCTATAATATGTAATATTCTCCCAGTCCCAAGGTGAAGAACCCAACCGAACTAAGTCACTACTCTCGCTTTGATATCTTCCAGCTCGGCAGTCTCGAAACACCATCGCGATATGCCATTAATTAATTGAGACATGCAATCAATACATGCTACGCACAGGCACATTAGTCATGACTCAAACAGATACACATCAGCGACATAGGTCTGTTTAACGATTCCATGAGGACGGGAGGGCCGGCGGCTTTGCGGAGCCTGAGCGCCTGAGGCTAATTCACCCTCAAGGGATCAACCCTATACCAAGCTGGAGGTAAAGAGCATCCAGTCACGATAGATCGCAAACTTCATTCTATTCTCGATTCTCATCGAACCATGTATCTGAATTAGTATATATCTATTCTATATATTATACACCTGAGGGGAGATACGAAAACCCGGGTGCTCATTGGATGTCTGTGACGAGTCACCCTCATGTATTGAAGCACTCATGACTCGCAATCAATAGCAGGGATCATCAAGCAGTCACGCTTTGGTATCATAGGAAGTCAAATTCTAAGCCTAATTCAGGACATCGAGCAAGACTGTGCCGAGTTCCTGGTCCCGTGCATCGTCCTATCGGTTGCGGGCAAGCCACCCGGTCGCGGAGGTCGGTTTTAAGATCGGTGCCATAAGGATTGAGCGTTTCCCGTTGAAGGAATCGTCAGATCGTGTTCCCGGTGACTCTTGAGGTCCCAGCACAGCATTTGTCACCATGTTCACGGTCTGAGTGTTGGATAGCTCAGCCTTCGCCCAATCTTTGCAACAGAACAGGTTGAAGGGTGAAACTGCGTCGCCGTCTTGGGGCGGCGTGGGCAACCACAGGTCTTCCGTTGTGGAATGCCACCCTCCCTCCAGGCCATCCGGCTTGGTCAACATTGTCAGTTTATGAAGGGTGTATCCGTTGGCCTTCGTGGATGTCTGTTCCGTATAGAAATCATGCACGCGGGCATGCTCGGGGACGACGGACGCATCCTCGGTGACAGCGACCTCGTGCGGATCCAGACACGCTTCTTCGAACTCCATGATCTGTGTAAATACCACGTGGTAGTGGCTAACTTCATACCACCATTCTTTTCTCGGCATCCGCCGCAATAGATCTAATCCTTTGCGACGGAGGCGCGGCCAGCGGCACTTCCAAGCCACAGCGTGGAGCGGGTATAGCAAACCGAAATCGAGACAGAGGGTTTTCGATAGCTCATCTGGGTAGCGGTCGGGGTCCGACACGATCTTCTCGCCGATGCGGACAATCTCCTCGAAGTCCGCTCGGTGCTCGTCCCAAGCGCACTCGCAGCCCACGCGGTACGTCGTCGTTCCCATCACGGTCGAGTACCACATCAGACGGAGGACTTCGGCCGCATCCTGCTCGTTCTTGTTCCACGTGGAGCCCTGCCGTCGAACCAGGTCATCGAAGTTCGTTTTCCAGCGGTCGCGCGTCTGCCGAAGTCCGCTGATGATCGTTAGCAACCCAGCATCTGGTAGCTTTCCTGACTGTAAGTTCTCATCCAATAACTGGAATACCGCCGCCGTGGCGGTGACCAAGTCCACCATCGCCACCCTGACTTCGCGGAGGCTTTCGAATCTGTCCGTTAGAATGAGCAGTCCGGTATCAACCGGGTTCAGCAAGACCTTTCGGCGCGTGCCGGGATGGAACTCGGAACTGTTGAGGTTGAAGAGGCTCAGGATCGGGGCCAATTCCGTTTCCACGAAGTGCGACTGGAACGACGAATACCCCTGGCCCCACGGCACCTTCGGCCGACCGCCGGTCTTCTCACGCCATGCCCACAAGAGATTAATGCCGTTCGAGATATGCGACGCTGCGGCGGACGCGTTGCCCCGAAGGAACTCAAAGGCCGTGAACAGAATGCTCGCCATCACGACCACGGGGATCGCGCCTGTATCGGCGGCGCTTTTCTCGATCGTCGAGCGCAGCGCCCGGGTATACAGCTGGACGGCCGGATGTGGATCGCCCCCTGCGGCATTAAACGAGGGGAGCAGTCTACTGCCTCCTTTGTGCTCATGCAACGAGCCTATTGCAGCGATGGCTTGGCGAATGGCGGGTTCCACAAGACTGAGTTGGAGGACAGAGACCTTCCAGAACGAGCCTTCAAAGAACCCGGCCAGCTGGGAGGACGACTTGTGAAAGAAAAACTCCAGCGCGCGTGACTCCGTACTCGACTTGGCAGTCGTGACGGTCAAGAGCGGCTGGGAGATGCTGGATGGCGCCGTCTGCGAAGAATAGCCGTCGCATTTTCGTCCCGTACTGATGCACCTGAACACTGCTTGTCAGTTCCACGGCCCCATCGCGTCTCACGGCGTCTGCTGTGTTAGTCGTACCGGGTGCAGGCGGGCTTGCCTTCATCACACTTCACTTTCCGGATCCTGCGTTGCAGATGGTTTTAGCACCGATTACCCCCCTGGTCTGAGCTCCGGTAGCACTAACTTGCAGGTGATACAGCCCGTCCGCACTTTCGGCTTACTGGCCCGCTTCCGTTTCACTGGCGTCGGCATTTCCGATACGACTAGAACTCAGAGCCCTATGAGACGTCTAGGTCAGGAATAGATGTCCTGGCCAGAATACGAGACGCACGATGATCGACGTCTTACCTCACGTGATCGCAGGATACGTCATACTGCCTATTTTGGACATCACAATTGGAGACCAGGCGATCCAGTATATATAGCATAGGGTTGCAGTTCCATATATCTTCCCCCCTGGGAGGTGGGCGAGGCCTCAGCCCTAACCATGATTGGCAACAGGTCGCGTTGGTCTCATTTGTAGAAGTTGTGTAGCACAAACTATATATAACCACTAACGGTCCGTCGAAACGGTTTCGGGAGTATATCTTCCGGGTCAGTATGCACCAGTCTTTAACGATAAGCGTGGAGGTAGAGTAAAAGTTCCGTCCCGAGGCCTTAACTGGGACGCCAATCTCAGATGTTCATTCTCTCGATATCCACCTATAACGAAACTAAGTTAACAGGATTGGCGTCCCTGTGGAGTCTACCACCATAAAGGTGTGGTACAACGCATCGCAAGGCGTCCACAGGTACAAAGCCCGATACAACACAAAGAGAGTCAAGAGTGGGGTCGGTCTCAGGCACTGACAGTAGCTCTACAATGCCAGCCAGCCAAGAAACGCACAGAGTCTTTGAGACCTACGTTGCCGAGAGAAGAGACAATGCACATAGTAGCATCGGGGACCTTGGACACGCATGGTGATACGCCAAATCCCATGCGACAGGGGTTGTTTGGCTCCAGTGGGCCTCCATTGTCTATATAAGCCGCCGTCCCGTGCAAAGGAAATGGAAACGTAACACACTCGAGGTGACGATGAAACTGTCGGCAATGGTAAACGGACCGGGTATAGCGTGGACGCCGTACGACCGCGAGACCTTCCAACTTGGATCCTGTATCGAGCACTACGGGGACCTTGAACACTTAGGGCCGGGTCACACCAAGAAAGCCTCCCGATAGCTTTAGTCGGAAACACGGGGCGCCTAGAGCCCGACACTAGATTCCTGACCATGACACTTAGTTTATCCGGACTATTAACATGGTAGAAGATTGCCAAGGCGGCTCATTAGCATGTCATGAAACTAATATTAGTAAAATATGGATGGGACAGAGTCTGGGATACACTTCACAATCATGACATGCAACAATCAGCTGAGATAGAGTATAGATAATGTAAATAAAGAGTTCGTATAGAAACCAACATCCTACGCGCCACGGCAGGACACATGCAATAATTCGCTCAGAATACTTGACAACCCAATGCGTAGATGCAAATTCATTATTGACCGATCATCACTGGGCGTTCAGAGCGCCCGCTGCCCATACACGATGTGCAGTCGCGAGTACAAATGGAGCGAAGTATCGCGCAATTCCCTCCGCATGCCTGCCACCAGCGCCTCGATCTCAATCCGGTGCCAACCAAGCATTCGGGTAAACAGCGCATAGCAGTAGGGCGGCATGGCCTCGATCATGTTGACCTGATGGTAACGACCGAGCTCCTTGAGCTTGGGGTCTTTGGGCCAGGGGCTTTGGGGGAGCTGTGGCCGTTAGCGTTTCCTGTGCACGGGATAGAGAGTCAATACGGACCTTGTACACGTCGTCGCGAACGTTGACGAAGCCGGCGTTTTCCATCTGTGTTTTCCAGTTCTTCACAGTGTCGAAATCCTTGCCGAACTTCTTGGCACTCAGGTGCATGTGCTTGACTCCGTCCATCATCGATGTTGCTTTGAGATGTGTGCCGTCGTCGGAGAAGCAGTTGACTTCGATCGAGGCAATTTCCATCCATCCACCGGGCTTCAGATTGGCCAGGGCCTGCTCGAACAGGCGGTCGTGATCGCGGATGAAGCCTTCTAACTCACGGCCGTGGATGTAGTCGAAGGGCTGGCTGTAGGACCAGGGCGCTTCGAAGTCATCCACCTCGAAGCGGAGGTTGGGAGGAATCCTAATCAGTTAGTTATGTCCGAACGACCGGGACGCATTGATCATACCATGACGGTTGAATAGGACTGAGATCGTTCCCTAAGCCGACCAGTCAATACTGTGTCCTTCGTAGACAGAATGAAATACCTACCAATCACTTCTGATTCGGGATGTTCACTAGTCTCGTCAATATTTAGGTAGCCAATGCCTCTCCTGTTGGTTGGACTTACTCTGCAAAGTCGATAGCCCAGATGCCAGTTCCGGTGCCAATATCCAGGACCCGAGCGGGGTTCTTGATAGGGGCCGCATGCAGCTCTCCTTTCAGGATCATCCGATAGATGTGGTGGCTCTGTTCTCGTTAGTTTGGCCATTCGATTGTTCACCGATGCTTCCAGTAGGCTCAACCAACCAAGTCCAGACGGTCTTGTTCTTGCTCGTCATTAGGCTGTCCAAGTTAGTATAACTCCTCGAGAAGGCAACGGAATACCCACCAGAATGTATTCACCCTCATGATACGAATGATATCTGCGACCATTCTGTACGATATACTTAGTAAGCGCCACAATACCGTGGTTGAGCCAAGAAATAATACCTCATATCTGTGCGGTTAGCAACATCCCCACAGAAATATGACCTGTTACATACTGATAGTTCATAGCACTTGACGTAATACTGGTGGTATAACTGGCGTCTCCCAGTCTACAATTGTCAGCCCGTCGATTTAGGCGAGATAGGACTTCGCCACTTACGATCCCGCATATAAGGAATCACCGTCGGTATCCGAGAAGTTCTAGGAAGTCTAGTTAGCTGAATCTTCCCCCCACTACTAAGATAAGAATGGACCAACATCAGGTTCGATGATGCCCTGAACATGTCCCTGGATTTCTGGTTGCGGTTCTGGTTGTGGTGCTTGCTGCGGTTCTTGCTGCGGTTCTCGTTCTGGTTCCGCTTGGGGTTGAGCTGGAGTTTGAGCTGGAGGTTGGAGTTCAGGTTCAACTTCTTGTGGTGGGCTCTCCGGTGGAGTTTCCTCCCGGGGGCGTTTTTGCGTTGGTTCACTACGGGATTCCATTCTTGCTCAAGAATTGGGGACGGAGCAATACGAGGACAATTTCTGGGAGAAGGGAAGAGTGGGTGATCGTGAAATGGTAGAAATAGAATTCAGATTAATCTGGGGAATGGAACTAGGAGGGAAAAAAAAAATCAATACCGCTACGAGCTAATTATACGAATAATAGTAATAGAATTAATAGCGGTAAAAAGAAGGGATTGAATAATAAAAATAAAAATAAAAAAAGAAGGGGAACGCCGACGGGAAAGGGGAGGAAAAGGTCCTGAAGAATGAGGAATTGTGGTCCCAACGACAGCGAGTCTTCAATCAGACTCGTCAACAGGCTGCATAGCGGGACCGCCGTTGAGAGATTTGCGGTGTCTTAAAAGCTGGCCAAGTTTTGCGAATGGGCAAAGTACACAAGTCCCGTTCGGCTCCTGGCACTATTCAATCCATGCCATCATCATATTACGCCCGTCACTCATTAGTTCGCATTTGCACGGATGCACCACCAGTGTGCCGCGACCGTCGATCGAGGAGGTCTGGTGGCTCTTTTGGGAGGCCAGCAGCGTTAGCCGCTTATTAGTCGGCGTTAGTGACCGTCTAACTGATCGGTTAGCTGGTTGGTTCAATGGTTGGAGGTCCAGTGGATCCACTGGCTGGGTCTTTTGCCATTTTTCTGTGTTCAGGCATTTTGGCCTTTTTCTTTTTTTCCCCTTTCCCTTTCTCCATGGCCCCTCGATTAGGGCATAACCACGTCCCCCATTCTTTGTATCGAAACAAAGGCAACCGTTTCGCCACGTCGAGTTGGGTAGCAAAGAAAGAGAGATCGCACGGCTATGGACATAAATTCGTTAGGTCTTATCGTATTGTAGAGGTTAGGTAATTCTGCTCTGATCCCAGAGAAAAGTTGCCTCCCGGCCTCCACTACCCGCTGTCAGCAATTCCAATCACGCCACGTCACCGTGGTCTCAATTCTTCAGGCTCATGTGGTCCCCGACAGGCTATGGAAAAGAGTCCCGAGCACCTGTAGGGATAGTGAGCCGTTTCTACTGATTCCATGTGGCGGTGGGGGGCTACATCCTCGATGCACGAATCTTATCCAGAGCGAAGTCATTGACCCTTGTTGGCTCCACAACGCCCTCTAACGGATCCGATGCATCACATCCTTAAAAAGGCAAGAGCCGTTGGTGTGATGGCAATGCGACTCTAGAGTCTAAACCCTGTTGGTGTGCACAGCACAAACCGAGCATGCTGCACCAGCTTAAGCAGTCTAGAACAAGCTATGAGGGCGAAGGAAGGCCCTTTGCAGCTGCCGCATGATCCCAAAGTACGCGAAACCTGACAGCCAATCAGGCCCTTGCCTTTCGCTAGTGCGCACTGGTATCTTTGCAATTTGATTACTGCTCCGGCGTTCCGTGGTTCATCGAGTCTGGAACCCGAATTTAAACCGCACTGGAGATCGGGGGACACGAGGGGGAGAGATCGGAGGTTCGTCCGGTCAACTTACGAAGTACTCTTTCGTTCTGATGCTCAAGCCCCTCACTGTTGATTTTTAAGTTTGATAAGACACTGGGGACAGAAACCGATTAAATAGCATCTAGCGGCTAGATAACGGCCTTGTCCTACTTACGGGCTTGTCTGGTTCTCCCCGGTACACAATCGACTAGGTCCTGATTAGGGCTAACATCCGGTGGTCACATATTCCGTAGTGGCAGACTAAGGCCTTCTCTCACAAATCTTAGTGCGTTCCTTCTAGGAATTGTGCATAAAGTGCATATCCATCTCCTGATCCCGTGGCGGGGAGGGGCGCCGTCTCTTGGCGTGCTTTAATACCTTCCGATATACGAGGGTTATCGGGTGGAGGGGGGCCGCTCGTCGGATGTTCCCCGTTTCTCTCAAGGTGTAAGGGCTTGTGCACCTCAACAAGCCTATCACTCCGTCTCGGTCCTCACGATCTTCGTATTCATCTCATGCCTCCCTCCTGACAAGCAGTAGCGAAGAATGGTTGGCGTACCGCGCAGCACTGGCTGTCGCGCCTGTCTCCAGCGGCGGGTCAAAGTGGG